TATATATTTAATAATAGAAATATTTCTATTCTATATCTTATATGAATTCTATTCTAGTATTAAACTATATATTAAGGATAATATTCTAGAAAAAGAAGTACTAGTAATATAGGAAAAAGTATAAAGAATTTAAATAGAACGGAAAGTACTAGAGAAATAATAGCAAGAAATAGTAGATATATAGAAAAAGTACTATAATAAGAAATATATTAATAAGAAGTTTAAAATATATAATAAAGTCATATTTTATATAAAGAATATTTAATAGCTATAACCTAGTATAAAGCTAGTAAATAGATATCTCGGCCTTTTTAAAGTTCTAGAAGTTATAGGAATATATAGATAGGTATATTACTTGGAATTACTATTATTATATTAGATCTATAATATTTTTTATATTTTTCTTTTAGAACTATAATACCTATAAGCTAGTACTATAGTAGAACTAGAGCCGGTTAAGATTAAGGGTAAAGAGGAATTCGAGATAGAATCTATTATAGCCTATAGAAAGAATAGAAAAGAAAGAAAGTATCTTATTTATTAAAAGAACTATTTACTAGCAGATAATATATAGGAATTACTAAGTAATCTAGAGAATATAGCTTAAGAATTACAAGAATACTTAAAAAAGAATAATATTATAATACTATTAACTAAATAGAGATATAAAAGATAAATGCTTTTATTAGGAAACTATTAAAAAACTATATGAAAATTATTAAAAACTCTAATTTCTGTATTCTATAAATATCTTATTCTTATAACTACTCTCTACTATTCTTATTATTATTCTTATTAGGATTCTCTCGAGAAATAGGTAGTAAATTAGCCTATAAAGCTATTAGCTATTAGTAAGAAACAAGAAAGAAGTAAACTTATTTAATACCGAAAAATATTAACTATACTATTAAGAGTATTTTATATTTATACCAAGCTAGTAAGAATTACTTAACTTATTCCTTGGATTATTAGAGGAATCCGTTAGCCTCGAATAATAGCTTTAATATAAGAAGTATATATAGTTTAATATAGAAAAAGGGTAATAATAGCCTTTTCTTTTTCGGGTAAAGAATAGGAAAGATACTTATATATATTAATAGCTTAAAGAAGGCGGTTTAACCGTATTATATATACTTGAGAAATCTTGAATAGTATTAGAATAAGAAATAAAAGAAGGAATTTATAATTTATAGGATTATATTTCTTATTTTTGGAATAGTAGTAATTATATACCGAGCAATTATTACTCTTAATATAAGTGAGGTCAGGAAACTTAGTAATATTCTTAGAATATTAAAGATAGTAAGGGCGAATTAAGGATATAGGAATATTGGCCGAATAGGTAGTAATAGGCTAATAAGTACCAAGAGAAGTGTTTATCTTAATGGATAAAGAAGTAGAAGAGGGAATTGGAAGGGGACTTGAATGAAGCTTAAATAAGGCTTGAAGGAGCTTGAAGAAGGCTTAAAGAAGGAAGGCAAGGGACGAGGAGGAGCTAGGTATGGTATTATGGTTGAGGAAAAGGAAGGTTAGTTAGTGGGAAAAGGGAGGCCTTTTTATAATACCTTCTCCCCGAATAGTGATTACGAATTTGGAACCGGCTTTATACTAGGAATACCCAGAAAATTCTAAAGAAGGGATTTATGAATAAACCAGAAGATCAGATTAACTTTTCCAAGCTCTTAGGCCTATAGAGTAATGATTTATTTGCGAATGGAGGCTAAGTTGGGATTTATGAACTAATTAGGAGATCGGATGAGCTTTATGTCCAATAGTATATACTATATTCGTACTACCTTTGCAAGGGGGAATCGCCAGAGGCGATTTGCGAACTAGCTAGGAAGGGTTAGTGAACTGTATTCTCAACTCCATTACCTGGCGTAATAATGGGGTAATTATGGGGAGTCTTTGGGGAAAGCCAGTGGCCAGGAAAGTTTCAGGGAGACATTTGTAAAGCTATTCGCAGTTTTCCCAGGCCTCTTGGGGACAAGGGCCCAGAGGGGGGGTTAATGTAATAGGTATACGTGATGGCGTATGGACAGGTATCAGATGTCGTGGATCTAGTTTCCTATTTTGGGTATAGCTTGCGATCGGAATCGTATGGATCGTATGGGATTTCCTAATTAAGTAAAGGGCTTCGCATGCCTGGCTAAGTACTAGGGAATATATAGGGAGACGCTCCTAGCTTTGGAAGGGGTATTGATTAGTCTCTTGTTGGAATTAATTCTTGGAATCAGTTATACTTGCAAGCGTTACTCCGCAGCTTACTTACCTTGACTACTTGTGCATTACCCTGCTATTACGTGCCTTACACGAAGTCATTATATGAATGCCTTATTAAATTGGGTACTACTCGAGAGAAATACCTAATAATTAATATAATATACCTCTATTAGATATATAAATAATGAGAAATCGCAGAAGTCAAGTAAATTAAGGGAGAATTGAATCCTACTAATTCCATAACGAAATCGAAGCTAATAAATACCCTCAAGCGCCTAATTAATACGAATACTATATAATTGGATATAGAGAAATGGGTCGAGTACGAATAGGGCGGAAAATAGATATATGGAATAGGAGGATATTATAGGAGGGGAAGTCACGTGCAAAAGGCCATAGCCTTTGGTATGTAACCAAAACCTCAGAAGCGACATGGATATATAGAGCGTTTGGGAAATCTGGCACTAGGCCGGATTAGGGAATTTGCATGCGATCGGAGGGAGATACTGTTTTTCGCGTTTTTAGAGAGTTTCTAGTATTAGTATAGCTATTCCTCTGGGAGTCACGTGCGTAGTCACGGGATACGGGATACGGGATATGGGCAATGGGATATAGGATACGGGACATGGTCATGTAACCTCACATCCCATTAGTGACTCGACTAGTAGACTAGACCCCTTTAGGCTTAGCAGATTTAGGGATCGCATATTAACACCACAATACTGCGATCCCTACTTCTGAATAATAACTTCACCAACCTTACGCAATTAGCATTCCACGACTACGTAACAGTGCTATGCGTTCCTGGTGAACCGATAGTATAATATTAAGATATTTAAAGTAAAGAAAGTAAACTTAGTATTACCGAAATTTATATTATATAAAATCGCCTCTAAAGACTTTAAAGAGATATTTTAGAATAATAAGACTAAGTTATTTAACTTTATTATATATAAGCAAATATGGATCCAAAATAGCTTTCAAAGAAATTCTAGTCAGAGCCAAAATGGTATTTGTACTAAGAAACAAGACGGGGAAAGTATAACCGGGCTTTAAAAGAGCCAAACCGAGCCCCTTTGGGCGCTAAAATGGCCTCTTAATATATGCTTAGGCTAACCCCTGCCGCCATCCACTTTTGCTCACTATTGCTCACCCACTTCTCACCTTTGCGTCACCCTAACTCACCTTAGCTCACCTAGTATTGCCGATAAAGCAGCCCTGCTCACCTTTCCGAACAGAAACAGATTTCGTACAGGTGAGGATTCAGGTTAAACAACCAGTTGTTATTTTGGCATTTGCGTTGGATAATCTGTTCAATGTTTTGTCGGGGACTGCGGCTTATACTGCTGTTTTGGTGGTGTTTGTTGGGACTAGTAGTCCGTGAGTTGAAAGTTTGGGCAACTCCTGTTTACCTTTACTTGGTGCGCGTGATTTTTGGGCAGATTCAAGGAAATGGGAAGCTTTGGCGGGTTTGGTATTGAACAATTTTAGTTAAACTGTATACGTTCCTCACCTCTTCTTCTTCGTCACTTCAACCAGAACGCCGTGAAATCTTCACCCTTCGCCGTTTCGAGATACTCTCCTTGCATAATCCCGTGAATATACGCCTCCCCAACAAAGCTCCCCGGAGTATCCGCCACATCAGGTTCAGGCTGCCGAAAAATATACGCCGCTGCCCCCGAGTACACGATGCAGGCCAAATCTCCTACCTTTGTTTTCTGCGGTGCCAGTCCAAAATATCCAGTCGTGGTGGTTATAAAGGTCCGCTTTGCGCACCGACTCACAACCGAATTACTGTAATCTTGGACTCTCTTGGCAGACTCTGGTTTCAGATTCGAAGCACCATCAGAAATCTTTTCTCGATCAACCCAAGTATCAAAGGCGGCTTTGACGTTGTCGCCGAGCTCTTCTCCATTGATTGTTCTGTTCGCAGCTACGGTTCTGGAGAATGCTTCTTCATAACCACCATTGGAGGCGGCATAAGCTTTTGATTTGGAGTTACGCACGTGCTCCATCCATCGCAAAGAGGCTTTCTTGGTTGCATCGAGTCGTTCAGCCCTGCGCAGTGCGCTCACCTCAAGGTCATCTCCAGTGTATACAGGCACTTCAGGTGTTTCCTCAGTCCCAACTCCATCAACAAAATCAACCGTGTCCACAACAAATCCATGCAGGAAAAGTATTTCCTTGTCTTTTGAAAACATGAACTCGGGCTTTTCTTCTCGATCTCGTCCAAAGAGCCATTTCTCGGTAGGCGGCCGAAAAAAGCTCTTCATTGGGTATGGTGAGAATCCGAACCCAATAAAGGATTGGAATAATGCTTTTGAGTTCCAATCAGGACACCACGATGGCAGCCCAAAAGAAGTATCTTTCTCAACCTGTCCTTGATGTAAATGCAACAACCCTCCCTCGAGAAAGCAAAGTCTCGTTGCTTCAAGTAAGACCATTCGGTCGGATTTGGCGGCCGGGTCATACTCGACAGTGATCTGATTCCGGGTCTCTTCTGCGATCAACCCCAAAAGCGCGTAAACTTTGTCCCTCAGGTGCAAACTTTGAAACAGGGCCACATCCATCAGCCACAACCCTAAATGTCCGCCAAGCCATCTTCTCCGATGATACTCAAACATAGATGTAAACGGACACTCTCTCCAAAGGCTGCGAAGCGGCCTGAATCGTTCCCTATCCGCATTTTCGGCATCCCAGTGAAGATTCCTGAAGACAACGAACCTTTCGAATTTGACCTCTTCGGCTCCACATTTCACTATTGCATTCGGCGAAAGCATCATCTCTTGAATTACCCACATTCTCTTCCACCAATCTCTCTTGAGCAGATGTCCGAGGCCCTCCAATGCCAGCGACGGGATCTCGGGGTCGTAGTCGTCGAAATAGGGTTTATCAACTATAGATAACAACTTCATGGCCTCGTCGCTGTGATTCTCCGCTTCACCCAACCATAAAAATGTCCATAAGTTCGCATGTAGATAGATGTCACCCATCATCTGCACTTGGTAACTCTTTTCTGTACTGTCTGTCTGATTGATGCAGATGGCATCAATCCAGATACTGGTGGCCTTCTTTTCTGCCCGAAGCCGGTTTAGGGCAATCTCTAAGCTAGCTGTGATGGTGGTGTCAACGCCGTTGATTCGAATTGGACGTCGATTGTGCCAGTCCCCCCAGACGTACGACAATGCCGTGTAATCAGTGTCCAAGTTGGCGACGTGAAGTTCTCCAGTCAGTAATGAACTTGGATCCATGTTGTCGTATACTGATAACAAACGGATTTGTTTCTTCGAAGCGTCAAGTGGAGGATGTGATCCATATATTTCTAGGGCTTCCTTCGCCAGACCTTCTTGGATTGCCTTCGTTAATTCGGCCTTTTGACCAGCCTGGTCCTTATGATAGTCAGACTGGCCAGTCATTTTGAAAGAAACAGATGTGAGTTCAAGGTAAATGTAGATCTCAGCCCTGCAAAAGTCTTGTATGCGGTGGGGTAATTTTGCTTTTTGAGCGCTATTGCCAAAACCCAACCACTAATGCTCCTCCACGCGCTATTCTGATTAGTGATCCTTCAGCTCCGCCTTGGCAGTGGCTGCTTCGTGACACCTTATATTTTTATCGTCTTTCATTACATTACAAAATAAGAAAAGCATCACGTACATGGAATATTGGTCTTATATTGTAATTTGTTTCTGACTCAGGAATAGTAGAATTATTAGACCTTTAGAAGAGCTAGGCTGAATCATGCGCCTCGCTTGTTTTCCGGGCTTCTGCTTTAATCCCTAGATTTCTGTGAGTAGATGGTCCCGAATTAGAGGCTTTGATATTAATCCGTTATTATTTTATTTTTAACTCAGTTCTTACGGGCCTTGATTTTCGAGGAGGCTCGCTTTTGGCGGTGGAGACTATAGTGCAGAATAACAAATCACATACAGCATATTGGAGCTTGTACCAGGCCAGGAGGTGGAAAATACATATTACCTTCAATAAATGCATTCAATGGTTCACTGCACTCATATTCCTAGGATATAGAGGATGCACTGCATATAACTCGTAGCCCCTATTTTCTACCTCGCTTACTTATCCCGTAACAAGTTGCCCCTTTTCACTTAGCGAAATTGACCAACCATCCCAAAACTTCAACTCCAGAGACGAATGAGACCTCCAAATTCACAAAAGGGAGGAATCGTTCTCCTTGAGCGATTGAAGAGAAAGAGAGTGGCCTTCTCAATGTACGGCATGTGACGGAAAGCCTTTTTAAAATAACCTGGGATACTTTGTGATTGCACAAGCGGCATGCTTGGCGTAGCTCTAAATCGGAATACAGTCATTAACAGGAATACGATTCAAGAGTAAGACCCATAGCCAGGGGCTGGGACAAATTTCTCGGCTCATTTTCTTTATTTGATCGGGGTGGCATTTGCCTGCGAGGTTGGCTATTTGAGAAAATAATGCTGATGGTTCCAACCCCGTCTCTCAGTATGTGAGCTTTTCAGTACTTTGGAATCCTAATATGAGACCTCGCAGTGTGGATCTCTATCCGCTAGCAGGATTTGCTCCGTCTTGGTATCTCTCTTTGCCTCTGTGACGCCAACTGAATTCATCTATTCCTTGGGAGCACATGGGTAATTTTTGTAGATTTTTGTATCTGATGATTGAGAGGTTACAGTGGTATGGCTTAGTAGATCAGCAGGATTTTAGGAACATTTGTTAGCATCACGGAAGAAGAATGCCACTCTTAATGAGAGGATGAGGTCACTGAAGTGAATCCGGAACTACATTTGTTCTGGTTTAGTCCCGAATTGCTTCCAATTCACGAATGTAAGATTATCACCGCAAAAAAAAAAAAAAAAAAAATTGCTGCACCTTAGCCCCTAATGCACCTAGCTCGCCCATCTCTTACTGCCCGAGTGAAGCATGCGCCTGGTTGCAATGCCCCTTTAATTAATTAGTACAACAATGACGAGCATTTTTCTTATAAAGGAAATTAATAGAGTTATAGTATAATATACTGATAGTAGCTCCTTATTCTCTGTTTAAAGAAATACATTGTTGCAGGCAATTTCTCTCAAATTATAATAAAAACTGCTACTACCCTGCTATTGAAAACGCTGCCGCTGGCAGCAGCGTTTTTTTTTTTTTTTGCCTTGTGAAAACCGAGATTTACTATTCGCGAGGTAAAATAAACACTGCTGCTCGCGGCAGCGTTTTTAAGGAGATTGCCCCTTGTTCAGAAAATTTGGGTAGTGGGGGAGGGCTAACTAATAAGGATCTTGTATACTTAATTAATTGCTTGCTAATTAATTGCCTATTAAGTAGTCTCCTTACTTCCTTTATTATTAATCTTTATATTGCCTTTCTAAAATATATCCTAGATGTGCTATTCCCCAATGGGCTATGCCAGTAAGGAATATATGGCTATTCCCAAATGGGTTATGCCAGTGGGGAATATAGCTATTCGCGTATGGGCTATGCCAGTGAGGAATATATGACTATTTGCGTGTGGCACATGCTGGTCACGTGCACCAGCAGAAAAAAACGCAGCGCCCCGCAGCGTTTATTTTCGGAATGAATGGCGTATGCCATTCGCAAATTAAGGTGCCAGCTAAGAATAGGGTAACTTCCTCGAAGATCATATGCCCATTCGTGAATAGGATAATTCGTTGTTGAACCAGAACACATCTGTCCAGCTATCATATCTGTGGTGAATAGTCTAATAAGCCGACTCCGCCTTCAAAGCTCACCTCCAAAACCACGAAACGAGTTTGGATGTTACACAGCTTTTTTAAGCCCCTCTGACCAAAGACGACCCAGCACTGACTCCATAAACCTCGCTTCATCATGCGTGGTGTTTCGCTTGGCGTCGCCTTCTGGCTCTTACTGATTAGTATGTATGCAATCACATCCTTAGACTATCATTTACCAAGTTTCCAGCCTCCGCATTACAGTTTTCGGGGTCCAATACCACAAACATCCTCGCTGTGCCTGAAGTTCCTGTGTCACGCCTTGCATTCAGTTGGAACAACCTCCAGTTCAGAATATGCCCCTTGGCGGCTCGATCGTTAACGGCTATCGGTCCACAGACGGGAACGGATTTCGCGATGGCCTGCGTAGGCAACTTATTGCTGATGACGCCCGAGTGAATATGATTGGCAGCAAGAAAACTGGAGCAATGATTGATAACGACGTAATTCTCTCACGGCAACAAATTATACAACGATGCTGACTTTCCATTCTAGAATGGAGGATGGCCAGGCTACGTTATTGCCCAGACGTTCCACACAACCGACTACTCCATCCCTTCTCAACCCAACGTCGTCCTACTACACGTCGGTTCGAATGACATGACAGTCGACGATGCTGCTGCTACTTCCACCGCCCATCTTCGATTAGCTACCATCATTGATAAGCTCTTTGATTCTATCTCAGGCGTAACGATAATTGCATCTACACTCCTGCCAAGAATCGACCCTACGATCAACGCGAGGACCCAGATTTATAACGGCAACATCCCCGGGGTTGTCCAACAACGCCAGCGTCAAGGAAAGAAGATACTCTATGTTGACTTCTCTTCATCTTGGTTCAGCACAGCCGATATCCATGCCGATGATGGGTAAGTCTTGCCAACGGTAGTACACCAGCAGTACCCCTTCACCAGTTAACAAGATTACAGACTCCATCCTACCGACGCAGAATATCTGAAGATGGCAACTGTTTGGAACGGTAAGTACCTGGCTTCCAGAGACACGTTCAAGTCTTGAAATAGGGCTAAATTACTTTAGAGGGCATACAACTTACTCATACACAAGGATGGCTAACACCGCCAAACGCAGTGCCTGGTCTCTCGGACACCGTGAACGATCCCTTGGACCTAATAATACAACGCGTTGTAACACTGTTGGGTATTTCAATGGTCAAATAGGCTACTCTCGGATGCGGCGATTAGGTGGGCCTCGCCGGCATCTTCTTCCAACTTTTTTGCTTGAAGCGCAGATGAGGCTTGGGTGAAGTTTGGTTCAGACGGTGTGTTCGACGACTTGAGTTATCCTTGCATCTCTCGAGTGGTTCGTGGGCATCCTGGTTTCTACGTGCGATCCTTTGCTCTCTAAATTGCTTGGCATGCCCATATAGATAGCCGAGATCTTGCTTTATTTATTCTTTTCGTTGCTTTGGTGGGGGAACGATGTTTTAAAATATTTTTTTATGGAGCAAGACATCTAGTTCGAGTCTCCATAAAAAATTTCAAAGTCTTGCCGGGTGATGTGGTGAACTTCCTGGCTGTCGCTGCCTCCCAAATTCTGACCGGAAAACTTCAAATAGTAAGTAAGCCTTTCACTGATCTTTTAAAATTTTCAACCTCATTTCAACAGTGTCTCTCTTATCTTCTAATCACACTTATCCCAAAAAAATATAAAAATAAAATAAAATAAATGAGTGGTTCAAACCTTTCAAGTGTTGAGGGTGGGTTTTGGAAATAGCCAAAACTTTCTAGCACAGTTTCATGGGATAGTGGACGACGCTGACAACCTTTGCGGCTCCGATGGCATTCTAAAAAGCAGCTCTGACTGTGGTGATATATTATAGTCCAAATACATACGAATGGATTCAGTTGGCCCATTCCACACCTTTCAGCAGCCTTGTGAGCCAGGGCCACCACGTGATCTGCTTTCCTGCGACAAAAGGGGGTCAGTCCCTGCTTCGAACCGCCTCCTTCAATCTCAAGGACGATGAATAGCATTCCTCATAAGTGTGTTAATAGTAACAGACGGGCAGAATTGAGGAATGTATGGTTAATAGACGATTTGATTCACATCATCAGAATCCATGCGCCAAAAAAAAATTTATTGCCAAGCCCAACACCACCGATGCTACGACCACGCTCACCAAAAATTAACACATATTAATACAAACTCCATCGAACCATCGCCTCGCCACCCTACCACTCATTATTCCTATCATAGTCGACAGTCAAGAAAAAAAGAAAAAAAGAAAAAAAGAAAAAAAGAAAAAAAGAAAAACAAGAAACCCTCGCACAAGTACAACGCACTGATACAGATACATCTCAAACCTGAATGAAAGTAGAATGAAACTCATTAGTCATGGCCAACCAACCCAGCCTGAGGCGCATTATCAGGATTCAAGTTGGTACCCGCGAACCCAAGCTGCGTGTTCCAATCATCAGCAGTTTGAGCGACCTTGCCACCGAGCGCCGCTAGAGTAGTAGTGCAAGTAGTAAAGCAATTACTCAAATGATTACTTTTTACGTACTGCTGGAGGCTGTCGAAGAGCTTCTTACAGAAGTCTGTAGCGATTTGAACCTGAGTGATTCTTGATGCAGGGACATAGCCAGGTCCGGTATTGTTTGCCTTCACAAATGTCACATTTGAGGGTGTTTTGACCAACCAGCCAGCAGGGGCGATGTGTCCATCCAGAAAGGAATTCTATCACGACCAAGATATGTTGATTGGCTCATAGAAGTTGTTGACTTGGGCTCGAAGGCGCACTGGTCAAATACCATCTTCGGCCGTGAAATTGGAGAAGCCATTGGCGACCAAGACTTAAGCGACAGAGAGACCGACTGTGTTCAATGGGGCGGTCTTTGAGGAAGCGGAGAGGGCATTGGCAATGTCTGAGCCGAGGACTCCCGGATCAATTGGAGGGGTGATACCGCGAAGAGCCTCAGAGGTTGGGAGGGTTGGATCGCTGCAGATGGATGGGATATCGATATTGAAGCTGTTGAAGTTCTGCTCTGCGGCCTCTAGCGCGCCGTCGCCAAATTCAGAAAGAATCAAGTCGGCTTGTGTGAGCTTGTAGAGTGTCAGCTTTGTTGATTCCTCCGGGAGAGTGATGGCTTACCTTGGCGCATGGATTGGCGGCACCGAGAAGTATTGAAATGGGCTGGCCAGTGAGGGTTTGCTCTTGACCGGAGGAACCACCTGGATCAGAGGAGATAGCTGAGATGGGAATTTGTTCTTGGCCAAAGCTCTATTCGTTAGTCACGGCTATCGACGACATGACAGTACACTTACCGAGCTTCAGCGATAGCCACCAGGACAGAGAGAAGAACGGTTCGGGTATACATGATAAGGACCGATGTTCGAAAATGTGAAGCAACTAGAAGGGATATTGAAAGTGAAAGTTGGCAAAATGTTGGGCCGGCCTGAAGGGTTTGAATGTCTTTAAGGAATGTAAAGAATGTATAGTTCACAGAACTAAAAGTGAATGTATTTTGGGGAGAGCGAGGAAGTCGTACGGCGATGAGAACAAGATGTGCGGGAGGAACGACCCAAAGTTATATACAACTCTATCAAGTGCTCATGCCTTTCATCTTGGCAGCTGTCACAGCATAGAGTTGCACTCCTGCGAATCCTGCCGCCTGGTTAATACAGATCAGACCAACCAACCGTGTGTTGGTATGAAAACTTTCTGCACCGCTATGAAGGGTTCATTAATAGCAATGGCATGACATGCAACCTGCAAAGTGCCTGGTGCAGTGGCCAAGCTTTTGGGGCGGAGAAGATTAGGCGTATCGTCCCGTGGAATAGGGCGAATTTGATCAAACTCCAACGATTTGCAGGGGGTTTCGGGTGATTCCTCGAGAACCATAACGCGGAGGATGGCCGGATTGGAGCAAAGGGCATCAGACTAGACGCAGATTAGATATCGGACGACAGCGGAGTATCATCTTAGAAACCGGCAACGATTGATGTGGGATTGAACCTTGCTGCGAAATGAGAATGGATTCGCCAATTCCGCGCAGGACGTCTGAGATCGAATGAACGCCCGACGACTTGGGAAGAATGAAAATGAAGTTTTGGTTGGGCGAAACATAAGAACAAACCTCGAATGGTTGCGCCTCGCTTGCTCGGGAGTTTTTGCGGCTCAGAGGTCATGCACCGCCAACCGAGGGGTCCAGATGACTTCCAGATGCGGCGGGTTTGACTTTTGATAAAGATCGCCTCTTAAGAGAAACAACGCGGCCGCTGTCTGTAGCTCGATCGATGTTCCAATGTACCTTCGAAAGTCAACTCTGGATTGCATCTGTGTCCCATTTCGGGTGTCCCTCTTCCTCCCGAATTGCCAATCAAATCATCTTGTCGGCTGCACTTGACAGAATCGACGCCTTTGTTTCAGAAGCGCTCTCCTCATTTTGTTCGGTTCCCGTCCACAATCGTGCCAAGTTCCTCGATTATGGTCCTCGAATGGGTGTTGTTTCGGTGACAAGTTCGGTGCCGTTACGCATGATCTCACAGATTACCTGGCTTGTTGGCAGTTGGTATGAACCATATCGTTGCAAAACTATTGAGCACGTTCGAATCGCTCGTTGAGGTCCTTTGGGGTCAGTCCTAATTTTACTTTAATGAGTGGGCCGTATCATCCGACCGTGATATGGTGTTTTGTTCGGGACCAGGCCAGGACGATCACGGCATGAAAAAATGGGCTGGAATTTGTGATAGACTGTCATCCGTCCTTGAGATATCTGCGCATCTTGGATCAGTCAACTTGGAAGTGTCGGTCAGGTTGTCAGAAACAGGTGTAGACTAAGTCTACTAGTACTACGCAAGTAAGTAAAGAGCGGGTGCATCGGGAGTTCCCAATTAGGGTTGCCAAACGATCGCACAATTTGGGCTGTCATAAAGTAAAAACAGTTATTGTGTCTCATTGACACCATTAACACCAGACACCAGAATCGTACGATTTCACTGCTGCTTCATGTTACGTCTGGTCAAAGCTTCAAACTTGTCGGTTCCGAATGACCGTTCAGGCATCGTATGTGCCCTTGTAGAGTCCCCAATGATCTTTGCTTCCAGAAGGACGAGGTAGAGGCCAGATGTTCCCAGGTTAGCGAGTTAGTCACCAAACCAAGCTCTATGTCCCCTGATTTTTGAAACTGCAACTGGTCGTGATGTGAGGACTTAGAATGGCGAGAAGCTTGGTGGTGGGTGGAAGACGGATGTCTAGCCTTCCGAGTCCAAGAATCTGCGGGACTGCGCTTTGAGACTCCATGGCCAAGGCTGTCATGAAGTAAGTTTTATTTGGACTATAGTCCAACAAATTGGAGCTTAAAAGGTTCTGTGAATCGGAACTTAAAAAAGGGAAATATCTGGCCACTGCATAGAGGTTTTATGTAAGATGACGACGCAAGGCGAACGTGAAGGATGAATGAAACGCATTGATAAGGCCGCAGGAACATATTCATACACGATACATCGCCCTAAACCACTACAGAAGATTGCAGACCAAAAAAAGGAGGCTGGTAACAGTGTCGACGAGATAGCTGGCAAAAATGTCAATCGTGATCGGCTGCACTTGCGCCAAAAAGCATCAGGTCTCGTGATCGGAACGAATCCAATTCTCGTGGACATGACGTGCTCAATCACGATCTGTTTCCCTCGCATTAGCCAGGGTGGATAGCAAGACGTATCCAAGAAGGAACAACTCCAGATGCTGGCTAAAAGGACCACACGTGCAAAACATCCCAACGAGGATGCTAAGCAGATGATGAGATCGAGAATGGGAAGTCCCTTCATCGGGCAACCATCGCAGGAGCAGGACATTAATATGGTAAGAGAACAAAATGCCATTTCCATAATTGCGCAGAATGATGGCGAAGATGTGAGCAACTCGCTGCCTCTGATGCTGGGACCTCTGGAGCAAAACAGAGAGCAGTTGATCTCCGAGCATATGCAGGCGTGCTTGGTCTCGGGTGCCCTCCCCATTTCTCACTTGGAAATCAGATTAAGGATCCGAGTCTGTACCGCATAATGGAGGCTGATTGGCAGGTTGTTTCTGTTTCGATGTTAGGAAGGTTGTGTTGATAATGAAGACGACTGGTGGCGAGAAGGCTGAGGGATGACAGAAAGTGGCGCCTGCCGCGATTTCTACGCGACTTCCAAAATAATTCCTCGACAACAGACCTCCCCAAACACATCACCATCGCCAACTCTTCCATTGTCCCATTCAACTTGCCATTACACATGAGGCGATGGAAATGATCGCCCCAAGGCGGCATACACTCCGGTAGCCTTAAGCTTTGGATTCATTCTCGATGTCAGCCTCATCCTCCGCAGCCTCGAGCCTGCTCTCGAGACCCAGGGCAGCAGTCCTCATCCTCGCAACGGTCGCCGCTGCATGTGCTGGCTATTACTTCTTCGAAGTAGACTATGGCGATGCCGACGATGCCGAAGTTCAACAAGGCGCCGGCCTTCATCGAAGCAATGCCGTCTACCGCCGCCGAAGACGGAACACGGGCGCGAACCCAGACGACGGCTCCTCGTCTACATTCGTAGACGACCAAGTTGAGAACGATGGAGAAGGACATATCGTTGCAAGGACACTGACGGATGGGGAGACGGTGGTGGATGACCAGGGATTTCAGGAGGAATACGGATGGGGGAACCTCCCGCAGTCATACCAGCGCAATGGCCAAAATGTCGTCCAGCTACTATTTCGAGTCTCGGAAGATGCTACGAGACGGAATGCATATGTTCATAGGGGATGTGCGTGCAATAGCTGTGGAGTGGTTCCCATCAGGGGCGTGAGATATCGATGTGCGAACTGCGCAGACTACGACCTGTGTGAAACCTGCGAATCACAAGGTCTACATATTAAGACACATATCTTTTACAAGATCAAAGTACCAGCGCCGTCGTTTAGACCAAGACATATCCAGCCCGTGTGGTATTCGGGGGATCCGGATAACGTGGTGAGGGTTCTGCCCAAGGAAATTACCACAAAGCTCTCACGAGAGACTGGATTCGAGAGGCCGGAGCTGGACGCATATTGGGAGCAATGGACGTTTATGGCGAATACAGATTGGAGAGATGACCCGGATGATATCAATTTGGCGATGGACCGGAAGACGTTCGAGCGTTGTTTGGTCCCGTCAGGAGGATACAGACACGCGGCTCCCAGCCTGATATTCGACAGAATGTTTGCATTCTACGATACGAACAAGGACGATCTCATTGGCTTCCCAGAATTCCTCCATGCAATCGCGTATCGAAAGAAGAAAGACAAATGGAACAGAATATTCGAGGGGTATGATATTGATGGGGATGGCTACGTTGACAGGAAAGATTTCCTCCGGATGTTCCGCTCCTACTATGTTCTCTATCGACAGATGCATAGAGACATGTTGGAAGGAATAGAAGAGCAGCAGATGAGCAGTACGGATGTGCACAAACTCGTCAACAGCCGGCAGCCTCTCAGTAGTGCCTTTGGACAGGACGGAAGATATCCCGGTGCACCAGAACATCGCATTCGAGAAGGGAAACTTGCTGCAGCCAATGGCGAAGTGGAAATCGTTGATGGAAAAGGAGTAATGAATGAAAGTAGTAATGATACAGGAAATCGGGAAGATGTTTTCAGGAGAGACGCTCCTCGGATGAGTAGGAGCCATTGGGACAGAGATAGGCATCGGAATAGCACCGGTTATTGGGACGCGATGCTAAACCCTCCGGAGACTGTGGAGCAGATGCCAGAGGTTCTCAGGAATCTTCAGAGGGTCAGAAGTATCGTTTCTGACCGGTTACCGAATGATCGCCGTGACTCAAATGCCCATCCAGCGCTCAGGGCCGCACGGAATATGGACGATAGTGACGAAACATCTAGCGAGGAATCTGATGGAGAATCTCAATCAGGGCCAGAATCTGATCATACTTGGCCCCCAAACTTTGTCACAATCAGAGATGAAGATGCTGAAGCAATCGAGGGCCCTGGCGCTCGCGTGGAAGATGTCAGAAAATCGAATCGGCGAGCGGTAACCTCTGTTGCTGTTTACAGAGAACGTGCACAACGAGAAGTCTATGATCGATGGCAAAGACGACATTTTTACACGGATGAAGAAGATGGTGCAGTACCTCCGGCTGACTGGAAAGAAGACGATGATATTTTAGCCCATACTGGTATTGCTGGTGAAAGCTCAAAGTCATCGCGACCGACTATTCATTCAAGGTCGTCATCAAAAGTTCGATTCGCAGAGGATATGGACGATTTCGATACTCGGTCAAATCCTTCCACTTCTTCGAGAAGCGTTCCTGAGCGATGGGGCGGCATGGAAATCCCAGATGCTGAGAAAGATGCTGGAAAGGAGATCCTGTACCAAGTTACGCAACAAGCTTTCAACGAGCTGCTAGATCTTCTTTTCCAGGAGAAGGAAGATCTAGCTGTGGAAGCAGCGGCACTCAAGACGGATCGTGAAAAGTATAAACATTTACTCGCAGAGCCTGCTTTCGTGCAATGGGCATTGAAAAAGCAACTTGAAGAGACGAAGACGACAGAAACGGTCTCTCCTCCTGCAGATGCTTTCACTACGCCTGTATGGACCAGTTTTCCCGAAGTAGAAGTTGAGCAAGTTCGAGAACGGCCGTTAGAGGAGCTCCTCGCTGCTTCAGGATACGAGGTTGCCACTGATGCAAATATTTCCGAGCTCGAGGCTGCACCAAGATCACCCCGGCATGCACGAGAAGAACCTCGAGTTCCCATCAGCGAGGGATCTGGAAGTCAGGAAGTCCCCGGATCTGCACCTCATGTCCAATCCCCAACATCACCGGCCGAAGCGCTCTCTATCATCGCTCCTTACGACGACGATCGCGATCCAACATCCCCACAATCTACTCCTCCCCAGGCTACACCCCCAACCTCAAGTCCGGACTCACCAACCCCTTCCTGCCGCGACCCGACACTCCCTCAATTCCGCCCAAACTCTGCCCCCGAATCACTCGAGTGGATTCGACCCGTTGGATTCCTGCCCCTCACCCGCGAGGAACGAGAAGCTCGGAACCTCACCTTCTCCGACCCTGAGCCTTCGGAGCGCGGCTCACCTCCATCTTCACCTACAACTGCGCCTAAACTGACGCCTACACTGACGGCAAGAATGCACGCAGGAGGCCTGCAAGAGGATAAGCCACCAACTCAAGAGAAGTTGTATAGGCTTTGGGAGTTGGAGGTTGCTTCGAAGCAGGCGGAGGCAATGGGCGGCTGGGGAAGACTGGATCTCAAGGAGTTTGAGAAGAAGGTTAAGCAGCTAGTCAGTGAGGGGAAGGGAAACCAGATGGATTATTTGGGGAGCTGGATTGAGTTCTGTATTCCGTAAAGGGGGGTAACATAGCATAGCGGGAATTGCATTAATGAGAATGATTGTACATTTAGACTTGATCGTTCTCTGGATTCGTTTGAGGAAGGATCTGCACGACCCGCGGACTAAGAAGGGGACGGGCTACAAGTGTGGGCCCCACTCCCGAAGTTGAAAGATGCGAGTTGCAATCTGGTTCTGAATTGCTTCGATTCTGAGTCACCAACTCTAATTCTTCCTCTCTGTCATATTTCCCTCCTTGCATCATCATATTTGTGATGTTGAATATGGCAATTTTTGAAGATGCCTATAATTCGGCCTCTCGACTCTACAGCAAAGTCCCAGATTTTCAGGCGTAGTTCTGTTGGAAGGTCTGAAAACGTAGTAAGTTTCGTTAACTGAGAGCTGGAGCTGTTCGGGTAGAGCTGTGGCGCTGTGTCGAGGTCATCGTTGGAGCGGACGGGTTTAGATGGTCTCCATGTACCTCTCCCCACCCTCTTTGCCCTCTATTATCCGTCAGCTTGGAGACACGAACCGGAGCCCTTGGTTCCCTGCAAGATTTCAATTCCACCCCGGAAAACGAAAATCGCCCAGGGAACCAGCGACCAACAACGATTTGTACAGATTTGAGAAGAGACATGATCTGGTTGCGATCGGATAAAGCTACGGGGTTGTTCGAGGGGTGGTAGTGGCTGCATAGGTTGTTGGAAGGCAGGGTTGAGGAGGCTAGGAGGCTGGCAGTGGGTTACGTGCGGTATATGGGGAGTGCGCGACGCTCTACCTCCATTTCTATGAATTTGGCGGGGGGCTCGGTTAATGTTGGGAGGATGGAGTTGTTGGATTTGCAGCTTGAGAAGTTGTGGGTTGGTTGTGAGATGGCAAGGTTGCAAGGGAGGAGAACTGGAAAAGGTGGGAGAGGCGAAAAGGGAGGGAGGATGAGGAGGAAAGGAGGAGGAGGGAGCAGGGGAAGTCTGAGCAGGCTTTGAGTCGTGAGTCTTTCCTTCAGTGTCTGGGGGGGGGGGGGGGGGGGGGGGGGGGAGATGAAGCTAACGGGGTCGTTAGGTGGCAACTCGTTGAAACAGTGTGCTAGTATTGGATTGAAAGATCGTTCGCGGTGGATTACACCCACAATTAGGTTCGTAGAAGTGAGAAGAGTTGATGTTGGCAATCAGGGGGCGAGTTGAAGGACAGGGGTAAGGAAGCGAGCAAAGTGGAGCCAAGTGGACCAAGAGGCAAACTACTGCAAGGTCAACCTTTTAGTCCCAATTTGGCAATTCTAAGAGATGGATGCTCTCTTATCGCAACTCTGTTTCCGGGCTCTCACTCTTCACTCTGTCCACCCCCTCCTGAACCCATTGCGAGCTGTCAATGTTCCACTCTAAAGCAACAATCCCAATGTAGTCTCACTTGGCTTTGGAAGCATGCCGGGAGGACAGGTGACAGCGAGCCCGACGGTCCTGGAAGAAAATTCCTCGCCCGAGGCAGTTGACGAGCCGCTGAAGGCGAAAGCCAGACACAGCCGGTCACGGGGTGCGTGTACCAGATGCAAGAAGAGACGTCAGAAATGTGATGAGCAGAGACCTGCCTGTGGTCGCTGTCAAGAGAGCGGGAGTGAAAATTGCACTTATACGATTGATTTACGATGGGGAGGGAGAGCTTTCAAATCCTACACAGGGAATTCAGATATCAAGAAATACGGTATGGACTAAACAAGTGGAATAACTTGGGCTAAGTGATACTTAGAAACCGAGCCAGGGACATTTGTCTACGTTGCTTCCTCAAAGCAGACGTCTCCAATTATGTGGCATCCACCACCGCCAACGTCTGAAAGACTCAGCAGATCTCTCTCCCCTCTCGACTCTACCAATCCGACGGAGCAGCTTCTCCTGCACCACTTTGCCCAGTCAGCGTCCAGAATAACTTCATGTTACCCAGGCATTCAAACATCATTCAACTCACTTCTCCTCCCAATGGCCATTTCCTACCCCCCTCTGCTCTCTGCACTCATGGCTCTCTCTGCAATCCACAGAAACTCACTCTACACGCTCCCTGCCGCTACACTCCAGCAACCCAGTGAGATTGACTACCTCAAAGCCTCATCCGTTACTCAGCTCCGCTCGGACCTGCTGCTCCCCGCTCAACGACAACCCCAAATGCGAGACGCCGTGCTGGCAACGGCCCTCACGCTCTGCATGTGCGAGATCCATTCCGGCGCCGACCTCCCGCGCTCCTGGCGTCTGCACCTCGAAGGCGCAACAGCCATCCTCTCCTCCCTCTCACCCATGCCCGCCTCCACCTCCTTCCACCCAAACAACCAAACGGGCCTGTTGCAGCGATGGTACACGTCCATCTCAGCGCTTGCCGCCATCTCGCCGCAAGGCCTGCGAGCTGGGGATCTCCATCCCGCTACATCACCAACACCATCACTAGATCCACCTCTCTCCGCTGCTAATGAGAAGAAAGAAGTCGCTGTTTTCCTAGACGACTATTTTGGCTTCTCAACCGATCTCGTCGACATGTTCAAGGAGATCGGCGCCGCGGCGTGGGAACGACGGATCCTCTCTTCAAAATCTCCTTTGGCGCTGGAATCAGAGTCAGAGGCAATGCGCATCCATGTTAATCTTTCGGAGGAGGACCTCGCCACCGAGGCCCGCAACCTGGAACTACGCGTCTTGGACATGATGACTCGGGATCCGCCGCCGTTCTACCCTGGCGTACAGGAGAAGTTGGATGAGGAAGTGAGAATGGACTTCTATCTCTGCAACGAGGCGTACCAGTGTGCTGCACTTCTGCATATTTACAGAAGTGTAATGCTGCTTGAGAGGGCGAATGTGAGGGTGCAAGGCTGTGTGGAGAGGATATTGGGGTGCGTGGATAGGATTAAGCCGCGCGAGGGGCTGAGTCCGTATATTGTGCTCACGATGCCGCTGTTTGCTGCTGGGAAGGAGGCACTGGGTGAGGAGAGGGAGAGGGTTAAGATAGCGATGAGGGGGTTGGGGAGTCGTCTGAGGTTGAGGAATGTGTGGAGGAGTTTAGAAATTCTGGAGGAGGGCTGGGAGAGGGGGAGGGGTAGCGGGTGGGAAGGTATGTGGAAAATCACTTGCTTTGACGCTACCGTTTAGGGGATTATATGCTAAGCTGATAAATGCAGATGCGGAGAACTGTGATTTTATTCCATACTAGGAGTTTTGCAGTGCGTGTTAGGTACAGTATCACAGGGACTCAACTAAGGAGTCTGTGGTCTCGGCTTTTCCAAGCGTCATTGGCTTTCGCCACTTGGGGCCAAACTTCTGGAGGATGACATAGGTTGGGATCACGCCGAAGGTGCAGATTATAGCTTGCACGGCAAAGGACCAGGTATATCCTATTTCCAGGCGTCAGTGACATGGTGTGTAGAAAAAGATTAGAAGACTGAATGAACATACCCGACGACTCAACCCAAGTATTTATGAACCACGGCTCCGCGAAGGCAGAAGGCTAGCATAATGTCATGCGAAGTCGATTCACAAAATTAAGATTCGAGAATCCGAGACTTACGTTGATGATAACCGTATAAAAGGTGATGATATCCATGGCATGTTCGTAATAACTGTCGACGATATAGCTCGACAGCGCTGTATTTCCAATCTGCAGGCCCGCGCCATCTGTACATTACACGCGTCAGCCACGTTTCGATGCATATATTCATCCTCCACTCCACTCCACTCACACAAGAAGAACGCAATCTGCCCAGTAATCCAATGCCACTCTTTGTCAATACTCAGCCCCCAAATCAACAACCCCAAGCTCGACAACACGGCAGCGGGATAACCCATCCACAACCGCATCTCAGGAGTCCTTTGACCGTTGTTCCGCTTCGCGAGGAACATTACCAACCAATCGCTCAGTCGTCCAGAGAAGAAGACCTCGGCGATGACGGTCCCGAGGATGAGGCCGAGGAAGAAGAGACCTTGGACTTGCAGTTTGTAGGTTGCGTATGCTGCGGGCTCCATCGTGAGGAGGGAGCAGATCCTGTGATGAGTTAGTTGAATTGAGTTATCGTTCCATGCATGAAACCAGCGAGCGAGCGAGCGAGATGGATGGATGGATGGAAGTAACTGACCACCAGTACTGAAAAAAGACAAACGAGAAGGTGCTGATGACGACGGTTGGGTAGGCGAATATCTTCGTAGCGCGGATGATGGTGTCCCACGGCTTCGGGTGGATCACGCCAGGGATCTTTCTAACACTCTGTTTCCCTCCTGGTCAGCTAATTCCGGGATGTTGCGAGAGGTTACAGGAGGAAGGGAGGAAGATTTACCAAGTATCCAAGCTCCTTTGTTCTTTTGATTTTCGAGGTTTCAGCGGACAGGGCTTCTTGGTTATGGTTCCCTAGAGCTCCTTCCTCTGATGCCAGCACTAGCGCGCGGGGAAAGAGGGTCTCTGGGAGGAACAAACATTCTGCTGCCAATAGCGCTGCGAACAGAATCGTAACGTGGTATGCGATCCACTACCGATGCTGAAGTTAGAAAGGATGAAGCAAGGAAGGAAGTGAGTGCCAGGGAAATGCTGTGCGTTTTGGTGTACCTACGTATTGATCAATCGTGGCAATGAAAGCTCCGACTAGTTGGCGAATTGTCAGTTCCATTCTTTAATCCAGATCCGTCATAAACTAGAAGATAGAGGGAATCTGAAGAATAGATAGAAGCTCACTGAAACCACCACACAGTCCACCTAGATCAATAGCCATAACCCAAAGCCCAATCCTAAAGCCTTGTTCATGCTCGAAGGAAACATCATTGATGATGCTCAACCCAACCGTCGCAGCAGGGCTCGCACCGAAACCCTGGAAGAAGCGCGCAATCATGTAGCCATGAAGACTTATCCCATGGATCGAGGTGCAACCACTTGCCACCAACGCAATGCAAGTTCCGCCGATGATGACAATCCTTCTGCCGTAGATGTCTGCGAGGGCGGAGCAGAACAGCGGTCCCAGGGCCAGACCAAGAGACGGGATCGCAAAAGTCCAGTTCACTTGGGTGTAGGTGGCGTGGAATTGCTCTTGCAATAAGGCGAATGACGGGATTGGTGCGGTGGTCTGGTAGGTGAAGAGGAAGTAGAAGAAGCAGACTATCGAGATGCAAGCGTATTTTTGGGGCTGAGACCAGTTGAGAGGATCCAGTGGGTCGCTGGTGGGAGGAGGAATAAGAGCACTGCCGGCGGGATCGAGTCTGAGAGTCCCAATATTTATGATCGATCCTCTGGGATCAAGCGTGCGTACTGGAGCAAGAGGCTCGCCCTTTTCTGGATCGTGGTCGAGTTGTTTGGCTGCCTTCTCGGACATTGTGAGAGGTGGAACTCAGGGGTTCTTGGGGAGTCCTTGTTCTTAAAAGATGAAACAAAAGACAGTTTGAGCTGCTGGCTTTTGGAAGAGAGGTCATTGCAACAAGGTCTTATATAGAATAGGGAGCAACACTTATCTTTCTCCAGAGTTGCTCTGGATCCGTTTCATTTGACGAGAAAACTTTGCAGGGATGGAGCCAAGGATTGTTGGCACTAGGGATGGGGTTGAAGGCGGGCGCTAACCCGCCTTTGGAATCTCTAAGAGATCGGCAAGGATGCTCTACCCAATCATTTTTCTCTCCACTCCTCGTCGCATCCTCCGACAGCGCTGAGACTACAGTAGGTAGGACATGGATACTTCTCTTCCCCGCTTCAGCTGTACTTTCAAGATTTTATCGCGGGCAAAGGTAAGGCTGATTCGCGCCAGTCTCGAATAAGCATTTTCAAGAGATGCCATCCTGATTCCGCCCAAGAGGGTTTTCTTCATCGCGGGATGAGAATGGCCCAGGCATGTGTCCTCAAGCGAAAAGGATGAATCGGCGAATCTCTCTTCTTCATCCATCCTTCGTGACTTTGCTCCAATATCCCCAAACATGGCCCACCAGATCTCAACCAGAATCAGCCTGCGATGGCTCCCAGAGGCGCCTTCTGAACCAACAGACACTCTCGTCTTCAACGTCGGTGCCTTCTTCCTCGACCTGCGCGTGCTGAAAGCCGATACCTCAATTGACTGGGGAATGGCAGGAGAGCGCCAAATCCTCTCGAGGGAGCCGCGTAAGCCACTCACTTCGAGCCATGGACATGGCTCAAATCGAACCATCTCTTTGGCCCGAACTACCAGCTAATCTCGACATAATGCAGTGCAATGCCGCTGGATCAAGATAATCGATTCGCTCGGTTCATCCGAGCCAGACGAAGGCACAATTACACCTCTTCCAAACGGCGACGATCTTGAGACTGGGAGCATGCCGTGCGCGGAAAGGGGCATCGCGGTCACCGAGTACGAAGAAGTGTGGAGGAAGCTTTGTCCTCGTCCTGGGCCGGAACACGGCTGGATATTGCAAAGTGTGGCGGGGAAGACGCTCCTTGGGAGGATAGGCGGTGGGTATTTGGCTTTGAGTAAAGAAGAGGGGCGTAAGTTTGGCGCTAGGAGCGAGGAATGGGACCCTGAAAATGGGTGGAAAGTGAAGTATGCAATTGGTGATGTGGAAGGTGTGCCGAGCTTTGCAGGTACTGGGAGTGAGCTCTTGGATGGCGAGGCTTCCTGGAAGATCGGAGAGAGAGTGTTGGTCTTTGGTAAAGAATATGTGGTGTGTGCTTTTGAGGACGTTAAGTAGTCTTCCGTAGCTGGAGGCGCCTGCTCATCGACTATTCTGATGCAATGTCGCAGTCCGGATCTCAGTTCCGAGTAATATTCCTAATTCCACAATATTTTTTGAACCTCCCGGTGCGGATTTCTTGACCCCTAAGGAGATGATGCTCATCTTCATTATCCTAGCTCTTGACCGTACAGTACAAGAAAGACACCACACTTATATATGACGGGCTCCTCACCAGAAACGCTGCGGACCATGTGAGAGGCTTTTTTTACTGAGCAGTTCGATCTGCGCTCTCAGTCTGAGAGCGTCACCGTGAGGTTTGCAATGGCTCCCGCGTTTCCTGAGCAGTTGGTCTTCCGACCCATCTGGTTGTAACAGCAATTGCAAGGTACAATAATGTAATGATACCAATTAATAACTTGAAATAGCTTCGACACGGCGAGGAACAGCAAAATATGCTTTGGATTTGAAATCTATCACCTGAAATAGGACTTAGCAAGAGTTTCTAGTATGAGGCTACTATGACATACCTCTCGGTCGAGCCGATGCCTCTTCAATCTCCGTTCACATTGTCGATCAACATCGTCATCCAGATACTCCTGCATCGACAGGACTCTTGGCCGCGGCTCGTCAGATACAAGCCGGTCCAGTCCCTTGCTCGGAGGCCCAAGGCGCGAAAACATATCCGTGACTTTCGCTCGATGACTAGGACGGACCTTGACCCCTGACATTTCTGCCACGTTTATAGGCGCAACAAAGCTTGAGCAACGGGATATCGTTGGGACTGGAACGGCTATAGGTGGTGATACCATTGGTCTAAGCAGGTCTCCAGATCGGATAATTCCCAGTGCTTGACAGGCGGGTGAGTGAGGAATCAAGTCCCAGACCCACAAGGGCACTGAGAATATAGCGAGGCTGGACTCGCTTTCGAAGAGGGAATGAACTTGCGCCTCTCTCACGGCGGCAAAGTCGATATCCTCGATGCTTGATGGAAGTGTTTTCCTCAGCCATGCTTCGATCTCCTCCTTGATCAGGTCTGCGGAGGGGTTGGCAAAGCGGATCTTGATCAGCATTCGAGCAGTAGTGGATGCCTTGATCTCGCCGATTGTAATCGACGAAATCTGCGACTCGATGTCCGCATCGGATCGTAAGCGGCCAAGGCGCATAGAGTCGAAGCGTGGGTTTGACATCCGATCATGATGCGGTGTGGCCTTGAGACCGAGTCTGGTCATCTTCTTTGGATTGCTAAGTGAAGTCCGTATCTCTGAGGCCAGGAAGCCCACGCGGTTCGTGCGTTCTTTCAGCTCCATCACCACCGCCCTGGAGAAGGAAGTATCGCCCGCTCCCGCCTCCTCCGTGATGCCGGCCGCGGCGAGCATCTCACATCGGCGCTTCCATCTAAATCTCAAGTCTATCATGGCCTCAGCGTGACAGCAGTCAAATATGAACAGAACATCGCAGGCAAGAATGTCCTGCAAGTTACGACGCACCGTCGTCCAGTCCAATTCCGGCACATCTCGACCGGTACTCCTTGCCGCCCAAAAGCAGTGAAGATCGTCGCCATTTTCCGTCTTCTTGTTCTTTAAGATGCCGTGGCCAGTGTAATATATGATAACCAAACCCTCCCCCTCCTCATTCAGGAATTCGTACAGATGGTTACTGATTGCCGACTGGAGTTGTAGGTCGGGGGTGCGGAGTCTGATGGTCCGTTTGAGAAGGATTTCCTTGACTTCAAATCCGTAGTTCCCTTGAAATGTCTGCTTCATAAGGTTCGCGCTCTCCGTCACGGCTGCAACGTCGATATCTTCCCAGTGGATAACGAACGCCAGGACCTGGGTGTAGGCCGGATTGCGATCAAGAAGACGGGGCCCTGCTTTTCTCAACTGCTTGACAACCTCTTCAACATTGCTAAATCCTTTTCGTTCCAGCTCCTCACTGTATGCGGCGACAACCTGCGGGTCGTCGTCCTCGACTTTCAGTCGATTCAAGTCGATTGAAGTACGCGACTCGACGATCTAGATTCAATAGCGTAAGTAGACGGTCTCGACCACAAAGGTTTGCGCATATTACTTACTGCTGTCGCCATTGCTTAGCTTGTCCAAGGAGCCAGCGCCCCGTGCCGCTGTTGGTGGATCACTGCTGGTTGATTTGGAAGAGAGTCTGGGAGACTGAGGGCCATGATGCATGGCATGTGGCTCATGTCGATTCAGCCACACACACTTCAGCCCCCTCGTTTTGACTTGCAGGACGATTAACTTTGGCTCCGCAACATCATCCTTGTAAGAGCATCCCTCAAAGCTTTGCGTACACCTACCAATGTCAAATGCACCGCATAAGTTTGTACATTCCGAAATTTCTAGCACAAAGTCAATGATTTGAATGTAAGATTACAATATTTCGAGGGATATTTGAATAGCATGCTATAATACATGTATTAGAACCTCTTCTACGTTGATATTATCTGGAACTGCGTTGTACGCAGAATAATGGCAGTAGTTCTTACACAATCGATAGAGATGGGTCTATCTAGCTTAGGGGAGAGCACGTTCTCGGTTTTAAACGCTCGAGGGTACTCTAACCACTCCCCCTCTTTTCTTTACCAACCTTACAGTTAGACGTTTCTCTCCTCTTCTCTCCTCTTTTCTTTCCTCTTCTCCTCCAATCCTGTCTCGCCACCCTTTAATCTCAGAAACAGCGCACCGACCCGAGATCGAAAGCGTTGCGACAATTGAGCCGTAGGTAGATTGAATACTACATAGAGAAAAATAAGGGACATTGCAGTAAGGGGAAGAGCAACCGCAAGCCATCTTACGAGCGCGACGGACGAGAAAACCGCATCTCCGTTACCATTTATCCGAACAATGTCGGTACTAAATAGTGTCTGAGGAATTGCCAGTCAGCAAAGGGATTGTGACTTCTCTAACTGATGTTTGACTCACCGAGGCAAATATTCCAGGGAGAACGAGGAAGACGGCGATAACCGTACTACTCATGAGATTTTGCGAGAGAAGTCCCAGCTTGAGTTGATTCCCTGTTCGATGCACCATCACATCGCTTTGCAGAAGTCGAACCTAGACTCTGTTAATATGACTTCGCATTGCAGCTCGGAAACAAAATGATTGCCTTACATTCTCCATCAATTGCCGAGTTCTTGTCTCGAACGCTTCTAATTTTGCACAATTACGGTCAATGCCATCGAATATCGCTCTGATTTCTTTACTGAACGGCTTAGAGTCCTCGGGGTTTCGACCATCCACACGTTTACCAAACGGATCATGAGCTTCCTTCAGCTGGGCTGAGAAGATTTCGGTAAGGAGAGCGTACGTGTTCATAACGACTTCCTTGTTGGCCTTTAGGATAGCAAGCGACCATTGAATGTCCAGGACCAATTCAGAAAGTGTATCAGAGTCCGAGATTTGTTCCATGCCGTCCTTCAAACGTGACTCTATCCAAGACGAGTACCAACACCAGTCTTGCAAGAGTAAATCGAAGAACTCAATGTTCGCAGAGAAGATTCCACGCTTATCATTCAATCTATTGCCGCGTTCCAGAGCCATTTCGAATAACCCCAGAATTTCACTGTTGGGATCTTGACTGGAAATGACCCAACAGGCTAGATTACGTTTTACATCAATCTGTTGATGAACTGTGACCTGACGACTCCACCATTGACGAGGCTCCTGTGGCTTGTAGCGTAGATCTCCTTTGGGTCTATGCCGTATGAAGCTGTAGCAAAAGGAGAATTCATCAGATGGATGATTATCCGTTATAAAGTAGTGGCCGCGGTGAAATTCGGGTAAACGAGAAGTTTGAAAGAATAGCGGAGGGTCAATACAACAAAGCTCGAAGAATTCGAGACACACGCCAAGGTCGCCAAAGAATTTCCCAAGTTCCTTGATTTCCTTGTTAGGAAGGAATGATTGATGCAATGGTCTCGGCGGTATAAGTGGAAGCGGGAAGCATCTTTAGTATGTCAGTGTGTTTTCGCGTCGGTGAATTTAGTGTCCATTGACTCAAGCTTACATAGCATGGTAAGCATCCCTAGTCAGCTTAGGGTCATTGTTATTTAGTTTTTCTTTCCATAAGTGCAGGTCCCTGGGGGGGAGCCCGACTTTGCGGTGACCACGCCACCCACTCATGCCAGACAGCCTGTCTAGAGTAGTTTCATTAGCTTGCAGGAATAGCGTAGCAAGGTTTCAACAGCAACCTACTAGAAAAGATATCGATCCCCTTTGGGTCTTTAAGCATGGCTTGCAGAAATTTGTACAGAGAGTCGGAAAGTATCCTGAGCGACAGCGGCGTATACACATGTTCCGAGAGTCTTATCGAGGGGAGATCTGACATACGCTGAAAGATGTCACCGCGTTCGTCTTCATAATAAGAAAATTCAAATGCTGAGATACCTCGACCCCCATGGAATCTTGGGGGGCGGCGGACTTCATCAGACAATCTCCTGCCTGCCATTCCTGTAGAGTGTTGGGGGGTTGGTTCTCGTCAAATCGCGAGAAGGAATTCGGACAGGCTCCTCAAAACCAATACAACAAACCCACGCGTTTGAGGCGCCGCTGTTCTTTCGATTGACGTTGGAAGCCAGGGGACGCGGGGTGTTTTCCTCATATGGGCTACGCGCCGCGCCTGCGTAAGATCTGGCTATTGACAGGGACCTGCTCGATGATTTGCATGACAATAGCAACAGTTGTGGTTTCGGGCTTTAGTAGATGATTGGCGCTCTCACGTTCAGAGCATGTGTTGCTCGTCTAACGTGTTCGTGATCGAGAAAAGTTAACGCGCATGAGGTTCTTGCAGCGCCACCCGCTATGATGCCCAATGGGGTTGTCGCTACAACATTTGGACAAATTGCTTCTGCTTGAACGAAGCTAAGAATCTGTTTGGAGTAAGAGATCAATAATTGTAGTTAAAATGCGGAGATCAAATTAACCTCAAAAAGTTAGATGCCTGTCCTGGAGTCTTATGTCCTAGGGTGGGAGCACTGGGCACCAAGGCAAGTTTGGCCGGGGCTGAGTAGGCAGTGGTTGCAGCCTCACGAGCCGTGATCCGCGCACCTCGGGGACCTTGTCGACCAATGAGTGTGATGAGAGGTTGTCTCTGAGGCTGTTGGCGCCCTCAGCTCCCTCCCCATTTTAAGAACCCTCTCAAAGTGTTATTGAATTTTAACTTTACATCTTTTCCATTCAACCAGGCGGTGATACTCTCCTGTTCGTTCCGACACCTCGTCTAGCAATTAGTAGCCACCTCCTCCGTACGGTGCAATCATTCGTTGTCGACGCAATGGCAGGCGGCTCGGACATGAGGCTCGACAAAGTGCTGGCTGACTGCTTCGGGCACCATGCCGAGGGCCGTGCCCTCTACGCGGCAGTGTCCGCCGCAGAACTCAAACCAGGGTGCTGCGGCTACATGGACAAAGACGGCCGCTGGACCACTATCGTCCAGCTCACAAAACCAAGTGATCTGAAGAAACGCAGCTTCTCTGAATTTAAAGATGCCAAGATCAAAACCAATCCCGTCTCCGAGGACTGGGGAGAAGTCAAGTCCTCCAACGTCAGGGGCAAGTTGATCAAAGCCAGCGGTAAAGTAACGTAAGCTCGCAACCTCTTCTTATCCAGAGGTTTATGGTCTAAGCATTCATCCTGGGTACGCTAACATGGCCTCTTGAATACTCTCAGCGACCCAAACACCAAGGCTGTTAGTGTTGGTGCCAGCTTCTCTTACAGCACGCAAGATGGTGCTGGCGGAATATTTATCACCAAAAACAATGTCACCGAGAAGTATCTTGAGGATTCTTGGCTGGCTGACGCCTGGATGGAGAAAAACGGGCCTAAGATCGCTAATGACATACCGCCCACTCGAGACCGTGGCGTCTGGGTCGTGACACGTACTTTCGCGGCTCCGGAACGATATGTTGCAGTGCTAAAAGAGAATGGAGAAGAAGCGTCGTTGAGCATTAACGCGGATGCTTACAAGGTTGGGAAAGTCGAGACTACCGCTTCTTGGTGGAGCAGTTATAACGGCAGTATGTGGAAATATGCTGAGCATGTGAGCTTACTCTGCCACCTGAGCGGGACAATGTTGACGAGACTCTGCAGAAAGACGGCTTGGTTTTGTTCATGGCTGGTACCTACTACAAGCCTAAGCTCTGGGCCAAAGGTTTCAACCGCGAAGATCAGCCAAAGAAGGAGAAGTTTCTCGGGGATGGTGCGATGGAACCTATCGATGTTGAGTTCACCGATGCAGAAGACGATGGCTGCGTTCGATACATGCAATTTGTTCCCGAACAAGTTGGCAAACCCAGGAAGAAGGAAGATGATAATGGTGGGAGTGATGAAGAATATGATCAATACTAGAAATAACTCGAAGGCAGGTATGTGAAGTCTGGGCAATTCAAACTCTGCGAAAGCATACGGCGAAGGCGGGGTATACGCCAAAATTCAAATCGGATGCAAGATAAAACTGTGAGTAAAAGTGCAAGGTCATGCAGCTCTGCCTCACAGTACGGCTCGATGCAATTTGCAACACGCGAACCCAGCGGATTTCACCGAATCACTTGCTAACTTTAACACGTGACCATCGGTCATCCCTCCTCCCATTATTCCACAAATTAATGGGCTTGAATACAATGAACTTGATAGGTCAGACATTCCAAATGTAGAGACAGCACACGTGGCCCTCTGAATTCCAGTTTATCTGGGATTTTGAGCCTTTTGAAACACTCTGGCTTCTGCAGCTGCGCCCCAAACCGGCGCATCGCACTGGAAACCGTTGGCTGTAAGAACGCGAAAGTGAGACCCTGCCCGGCACAAAGGATCCCGAGTTCTAAGTAGTAATACTATTTCAGCTCACTTGAGATATTTGTTATCGAGAGATGGGTGGTAAGACTAAACGATCTCAGTCAGCTGAAGTGGCGTTCGGATGAGGCTGCCAAGCCACGCATCACAGGCAGATCCGGAGTCCGAATGCTTGAATTCCCGCCCTGGTCCGCGCCCTGGACCCAGCGAAGAAAGACGGGGGTTTCGATTTGAGTCTGTACCGCCAACGTGGGTCGATTGCAAGCTGACGCGTCGGAGCGGTACTCAGCCATGGGGATTGGATATCAGGATATGCTTCGAGGACCAGACACGGGAATAACAATATGATATTCAAGATTTACCACCGCTGGAGATGTTGGAATATGTAACGGGTCACCGAGTGGCACAGCCTTTACAGTACTAGGAGTTCCGACGGGGCGCTTCCTGTAACAGGGGCTAGGTGGACCCCTGCGGAATGTTGGAGGCTATTCACTCGCTGCATGCGGCATTGCTCGTTTTAGATTGCGTTGCAGTGAAGTCACTTCGCCTCGCCTTTCACTTTCATTCTTCCACTACCACTTTCACTCTTTCACTACCACTTGTCAAATCCATAAAACAAAGGCGCCAAGCTTTCTCCTCACTTCGTTGCGTCTTGGAATTGGGGATTTCTTTAGTGTTGAACTCTAAAGGTCCTCCAGGTCTTGATTGCAAGGAAGCGTCATCGCTAATCGACGGCCGCCTGCACATCTTCTTACATCACCAGCGCATCGTCGACTTTCTTTTGCCCTCCTCCATCTCCTACAAGACCACCCGTCCCCCGACCCCCTTTTGGCTCCTCCCCTCATACCTCTCAAATTGCAACCATGGCACGATTAATCACCGCTCTGCTGAGCTTCCTCCTCCTCACGCTCGCGTCCGCCAGCACCGTACAATTCGAGATCGTGCAAAACCGAGACGTCCGAACCGCACAACTGCAACGCCGCTCCCTCGTCCTACAACGCCGTTTTCTTGATCGCCGCGCAGGAACCGTTACCGCTGCCCTCACCAATGCAGAGGTGCAAGGGCTGTACGCCGCCAACATCACCATCGGTACCCCGCCACAGAGCTTCGGCGTCCAGATCGATACTGGCAGTTCTGACTTATGGGTTCCTTCTGACGCTGCTTGCGCGGTGACTACGCAGCTGCAAAATGGATGTCCTAATGGCCAATGTCAGCCTTCCTCCCGTCTCACTTGTGGCAGTGGCTAACAAGCACCAGTTGTCTCCTCGGCTTCCTCAACCTTCCAAGATGTCGGGCAAGGTGACTTCAATATCTCCTATGTCGATGGCACCGGTTCCACGGGCGATTATTTCCAGGATACAATGCGCATCGGAAGTGCTACTTTGACCAACTTCGAGATGGGTCTGGCGACTGCTACGACGATTGGTACGGGCATTATGGGCATTGGATATAATACCTCTGAGGCTAATGTTGATACTGGGAATGGGACCGAGTATGCGAATATGCCACTTGCTATGGTCAATCAGGGTGTGATCAACTCTGCTGCTTATAGCTTGTGGTTGAATGATCTGCGTAAGTTTTGTTTATTGTGGGAGATTGGAATTTGCTAATAATATTATAGAGGCAACTTCTGGCAATGTTCTGTTTGGCGGCATCGATACGGCCAAATACAATGGAGAGCTGATCTCAATCAACGTTTATTCCACTGGCCGTTCTCGCCGAGTCACCTCATTCACAGTAGCATGGACGTCCCTCTCCGCGACCAGCTCCTCAGGAACTGACGTCCTCACCGCCTCCAACTTCGCCGAACCCGCCATCTTGGACTCTGGAACAACCATCACCCTCCTGCCTGACGAAATTTGCACAAAACTCTTCTCGGAGCTCGGCGCGTCAATCAACAACCAACTCGGCGCCGTCATCGTGCCCTGCGATCTAGCGAAGAATACCGGCACCATCAACTACGCCTTCGGCGGGCCAGGAGGGCCCACCATCAAGGTCCAGATGTCACAGCTCGTGCTCCCACTCACCACCACTACCGGCCAAGTCCCAACATACCAAAATGGACAAACAGTCTGTCAACTGGGCATTCAACCAGCTGGGCAATTACCTACGCTGTTCGGCGATACGTTCTTGCGATCTGCCTACGTGGTTTATGATCTGGAGAACAACCAAATCGCGCTCGCCCAGACGAACTTTGACGCCAAGAATTCAAATATCGTTTCTTTTGCTAGCAAGGGAGCACCAATTCCGAGTGCTACGCAGGCTTCAAACGAATTAGCTGTTACCCAGACGGCGTCTGGTAATCCGAGAGTTGGTGGCGCCACGGCAGCTGGAACGGACGCAGCAGCGACGTCTAATCCGACTGCCACGGGCTTAAATGCTGCGAGTGGATTCAAGACCAGTGCGGCGCAAAGCGTTCAGCCATTTGCGTGGTCAAAGGTTGTGGTGCTTGCTGTGAGTGTTACATTCATGGGGGTTGGTGGTTTGCTGTTGTAGATTGGATAGACCCGACTGCCCACAAGACTGGCGCTTTATGGATAGACGGTGTTCATAGAAGCGAGAGTGATGAATGACCTGCATTTGGCATGGAATGGAGTTTGATTTGACTTGCTTTAGGGGCGTTCGGGAGGGGAAATGGAATGGAGGAGTTTTGACGACAGGATTTGTAACATACAAAAGCGCGAACATTGGGTTCAATGAAGGGAGGATAATAGACGAAATTGATGAACATAGTCTTCTTCGACCCTTGCTCTTTCCGAAGCTTCGTCTTCCTTAGCTTGAACAGGGGAGATGTGTTACAGTAAATGGTCGCGTGGTGATAAGGTTCTTATCGCACCTTGAAACATCAAGCATTATGCAGCCTCGCCGCATCTCCATCTCTCAGCGCGCTCCTCAACGAGCCTCATTATTAAACCTCCATCCCACGCGGGTCGTCTTGTATACGCGAGCCGCAGACAAGAGATCTGTCTCCCTTCCTCTTCTTCTGCGAGCAAACGACAGCCTCGCCCTCGCATTTCCATCCTGCTCTACTGCCTCCTCAACAATCACATCATCAAAGGCCCCCCCATCACCGCTGCATCTCATTCACGTATACGCGAGTACAAACGCATATCCCTCCCGTATTTTTATTGCAGAAGCACAAACAGCACGATGTCAGACACAAAAGCAGAATCGATACCACACTCCCCAACACCAGGGAAAGACCCACCCCTTCCAACATGCGCAGAGCCTTCCTCGAATCCCTCCACCTCTCCAAGGGACATGAATGATAAATCGACACAAGAAATGCCGCCCCCACCAATACCGAACGCAAGACCAAAACCACCACCGCGAATAATGACAACCCAGCCCTCCTTCACTGGGTCTAGCTCGCGGCACCCTTCTCTCACAACCTCGAGATTCCATCAAACCTCAGCGGGGCATTCTTATACACAGACACAATCCTTGCTGTATTCTCAGCCACAACCTCAAATTGAAGAAGTGGAGAGGCCGCCGTTTTCGCCGTTCTTTACGTTGATCAATGATGCCAGCAAAGAAGGAGCAGGGGAGACAATACATCCTCGGAAGATCCATTATATTTTCAGCGACGACGATACGAGTGAACTGCTCACCAGCTCGCTCATACATTCTCTACACCCCACCAACTCACCGTCCGCATCACAATCACAATCACAATCACAATCTGTGTCCGCCTCGAGGGAACTGTCATCCTCGAAAACATCGTCGAGCTCCTCTGCGGGCATCAAGAACCGGAGGCCCACGAAAGAGAAACCCAAAGCTGGGATGAAAGAGAGAGAGGAAAGAGTGGTGGTTGTAGACATCAATGAGGATGGAACGGGCGTGAAGAGCGTGAGTTCACTGAGCTCAACATGGCAGGTGTTGAATGCGAGTATCAGCAATGCACCGACATTCGACTCCACCTCCTCGTCCGACGATCCTGCATCGCAGAATATGCAAGAAAGAGGACTGATGCTTAGAATCCAAGGTGTCGGAGTCCAATCTTTGGTTTCTGGGGATGTGGTGGAAGAGGGGAAGAAAGATGGCAGTGCGGTGCTGGGAGAGGAGGAGATGAGTATCTTGCTTGATGGCTTTGATCGCAAGATGGGGGTTTTGCGGAAGATCATTGAGTCGAGGACGTCCAGGGAAGAGCTTGTCGGCGGTGGTGACGGACTAGAAGAAAGAGAGGAGATCGGGGGAACTGGTGGGGATATAGCGGAGGGACCAGGAAGGAGGGAGAGTGGAGAGAGTGAGGAGAGGGAAGTTGGCAGTGGGTGATTCTTTTCCGTTCTTGATTCTTGATGTCGAGGAGTTAGGTTTGGTTTTGGATTCTACACACGGAAGGAGTTGGCGGTTCATTCTTAAGGCATCATTCATGGCGTATGGGTTTAGTGTTCTGGTATATACCATTCTTTTACTTAAGCCAGCTAGCAAGCCATCCTCTCAACCCAAGAAAACAAATCTATCCGCATCCAACTATTACAAAGTTCCCTGCCACATCTCACTCAATATTCCCCAAAACCCCGCCCCAGTAAATTTTACCATGAAAACTCAGGCCCTTGACTCACGATGCTCTTCGCTCCCGCTTCAAGGACCAGATCAACGAAGGTGGAAGTGAAGCATCATGTGGATAGGTTCGTTGCACATCGCACCTCGCATTTCTAAATAAAAATCCCACTTGAAACCGACGGTGTCGATTCTCTCACGAAAACCCTGAGACTCGAGTTTTCTTGTTGCACATTAGTATTGATTGGCAAGATACATTATCAATTATCGCAATCAATTGAATTCGATTCACCTCACCCCTTACGAAAAGCACGGAGGGGGTGGAAATATAATAGGTATTCATTACAATAGATCCCAATCCCAATCCACTGCCAGACTCTCAACTCTCTGGTCCCGATTTAACTCAATCCATCCATAGAACGAGAGACAGAACACGGAAACTGCTCAGCTGGGCAGGAGAACCGGTCTCTTTCGCCGTCGAATGGGTTTGGTGTGATCTGCTCTACCACGTATTCTTTGGTATCAAAGGTCACTTCGCATACTGTTGCGGTAATGGTGCGGCGGGAGATTCGTGGTCAAGAAACGAAAATGTCCATTAAACGTTCCTAATATCTATAACAACTCCCGCCAACTCCTCCTTCGCCTATACAAGTCCCCACTCCTCTTAGCTTTCCTTCTTCCTCATCCACGCCCCAGAAACGAAAGGCCACGAAAACCCCATATCTGCATCAACTCACCAACTTGTCAACACCAAGCTCGCCGGGATGTGACTCCCTCTCATGCCAATCTGTTATCTTCTCCACCCCCGCCTGAGGGCTCATAAATGCCCTGCTCCGACCCCACCAATTTTGACATCAAAAAAACAAGAAAAAACGAGCGGTATTCATACAGCAGAAGCTCCCCTTGCTGTCGAGGAACGTCGGAATCAAAAGCAACAGACAAAACGCCTAGAATGCGAGAAAAGGCACTTCTCATCATAAAACACAACTGACAAACAATAAAGCTCAGACCAACAATGCAGCAAACAAGCAAAAAGCAATGATGTGACGTGCCTGCACTTAGGCAACAAAACTCCTAATCATCTTCTTGCTTCCCCCAGGAACCCACGCCACACCAGGCTGGACAGGCTTCGCAACTGTGTTCCCTCCAGACCACGGTTGGCCGGATAAGACGCGGTGGGAAGTGAGGCCCTCAGTGAAGTCGGTTATTACATAGCGCTTGGCGTTCTTGTGGGCGCCGGGCCCGAGGGTGAAGTACCAGGCAGCGACGGCAGCGGCGATGATGACTATGATGAGGACTGAAGGGGGATTTTGTTAGCGAGATCTTCTTTCAAAGTAGGTGCAAGGGACATACTAGTTATGCACAAGCACCACCACTTCCACTTCCTCGTATTTCGCGCGTGCACGATCGCTGTGCCAATCTCCTCATTCCCCTTGTCCATATTGTCGACGACCTCCTCGCCCTTCATTTCGATATTCGTGACCGCCGCCTCTTGCTGCATGACCAGGTTATCCATCTCGTTGAACAGCTCCGCCAGCTGGATCATCTGTCCCTCGATTTTTTGAATAGCTTCGTGGCGAGATCGAACAGCGTTCATGGTGCTCTGAGCCTGGCCCTGTCTGGTCGAGTTCATCATCGCCTGCTGGAAAACCTGCTGACTTTCGGGATTCTCTACCGCCTCTCTGACCTCCTGCTCCGAAGCATCAGGGCGGACAATTCGGTATTGACGTGCGCTCTGCTCGTTCGAGCGCTGTCTGAACTGTCGATCGATCTGCATGTAATCCTGATATGTATTCTGCAGGTCGCGCCTGACCTTGCCAACCTGAGGAGCATTTCGTGGAGCCCCTGATTCGGGCATCTGCCTGATGGCCTTCACCTTGGTCGTCAGATCGTGGTACATGGCCAGGATCTCAGTGGCTTTCTTCTCGACGTCTCCGACGCGGGTGCCATTGGGATCATTGAGTGCGGCAGCCTGCAGCGTCTGGATTTCGCCAAGATTGTCCTTGATTTTATTGATTCCTTTGGTGATTTCTCCGCAGGCGTTGAGGATCTGGTTTGGGTTTGCTTGTCGCCCGAATTGGGAACCGTTTTGTGCTAGAGGTGCCATTTCGACGTTTTGACCTGCAGGCAGGAGGTGATCAGCTAAATTGTTCGGCATATCAATTGGGATGGAAAGAGATATAGGAAGAAATACCATTGTAGTCATCTCTGCCTAGGAGTGGGGCGTTGTAGTTTTGTTGACGGCCGTAGGATTGTGCTGGGTTGCTGTAGGAGGGCTGGTTGTATGAGGGTGCAGCGTCTTCTCGCTCGTCGAAAGGGTTCGGTCGTCCATATCTATATTAGACCCCGTGTCAGTATACCGTGCTTGCTCGTATGAGGGACTCGAAAGGCTTCGAAGGACTCGCAATTGAGATCGTGGATTCGAGAATCGAGGTTGAGGAGGAGACTAACCCGTACTGCGACATGATTGTTAGTAACAAAGTTCTGCCAGAGATAGGCTTTGTCTTGTGCTGCGAGTGATATATCGGAGGATTGAATGTCCAGAAGTAGACGTCAAGAGGGAGGAGAGAGAAGGTCGAAACACGCGAGATAGAAGTTGAAACAATGCACGTACACTCATCTTGAACTGCGTTGACCCCCTAAAGACTCGGTTTGGGATTGGTGGGATCTGCGCGGCGGAAATCTCCTCTCCCGCCCTGGTGGTGTGCGTGCCGAGATTGATCCTCCGCGAGGTGTTGGTGTTGGTAGATCAGGCCGCAACTCGATATACTGTACTTCGTCGAAATCGATTGCCACTTGTTTGTTGTTTGTCCGTTTGTTTGCAGCGGCTGGTCGGTTTGAGGAGAAGGAGGACAGAAGCGTGGGTGTAGGAGGAGAGGGCGCCCTGACAAATGATCCCCAGGCCAGACGCGGGTTGTGCCAGGCTATGTACCTCCGTAGCCGAGAGACGGCGTCAGGAACGCCCGCAGCCAACGACCAGCTCAAAGACAGAGGGGCAGCGCAGGAGTATAGCCACACTTTGCTGCGAGGGGACTGGATGCTGCTGGGCTGCCGTCGATCGCTTTGGGTGCGTGGTGGTGCTGGGTGCTGGTGGCGGTGGTTGCAGCAAACTCAAATGTATTTTTAGGAATCTCACCACAGAGAAGAAGCTGCTGACTGCGTGAAGCCACGGGCACAGTTGTCGGACGAGACCGAGAATGAATCGAGTGAGGAACGAGCAGCGGCCAACACTGCACTACTTCAGTGTCTCGACTAGACTGGCAAGGTAAAGGCTGGTCGGCTGGCTGGCTTGCTGGTTGAGTCCTCTCTCGTACGATCTGCTGTGTCTGGGCTTTTTTCAGCACGTTCGTCGTCCGTTCTTTGCCCTCTATATACGCCACCGGGCTCTATCATGCGCCTGGATTTCAATCCGAGTGCTTGCGTCTCACACCAGCCATGCAATCGATCGGGGGGAATGACCCCCTTCTCCGACAGGCAACGCAAAAGCTCCGTGCCCATTCGTGGACCGCGGGGCGCAGTCTTGCGGCGAAAGTTGGTGCCGATAGACTATTGATTGAGGGGCGGCGGTATTCAACTATATGTTGGCGGAAGCCTGATTCAACGTCAATAGAGAAGCGGGGTGTGTGGAGCTGTGGAGAAAAGATGGAAAGTAATGGTTAGGCCCTGTCATGTGACCAATATCACGTGCTCGTTGATCTGGCCATATTCTATTATTTTCAGTTCGTTCTTTTCTGTTCGTCCTTCATTTGTGCCCAAAGGTTCTCGTCGGTATCCTGCTGCATCGCTAAAATCGGCCCGTTCAAATCTTCCTTTCTCAAATGCTGCTGCCAATATCACGTGTCTATCATCCCTCCCTCAAATGGCGTTCTTTCCGAGCAACTTCCCTTCAATTTCGCTCTAAAATAAGGTTCAATTATAGGCATTCTCTTTTCATTGTCCACTTAAAACCTTCACGAGACATTCAAACTATTATTTTCAAAAGCTGATGCCTGATCCACGTGCTTCAGTCCTGAAGTGGTGGGTTGAAATACGAGACATGCCGTCCTGTGATCATTGGCCATGTCTAGTGTGGCATAGTCTCAAAACTCAATTCAAGTTCTTGACTGTCCTGAACTTTGTTAACCCGCTGCCTGAGATAGTACCTTCGAGGACGAGTGAACCCTCGTGAGAAGCTTCGCGAGTGCATGCCATTCTTCCCATTCTTCCCATACGAGGATATGGCACAGGATCGATTACCAACAGCTGGTTGTGGTGTTGTTTCTGGTAGGTTGTTGGCTCTTGGCCTTTTGCTACATGCCTGGAAATTCACACTTGTCCGACCCTTTTCAGTTATCGAACTCGATAGCTCGATGGTGCTCCACGACCGAGGCAGCATTTTCTGGCAGTCTGTGTGACTACAACGGCTTAAGGAGGGAGGATTTCTTTCAGAGTAACGAGGCGCAATTTGGCGATCATAGGACAACGAAGTTTTAGAGAGGGTTGTACCAAAATTACAAGTCAAAAAAAAAAAAGGATTTTGCAAATTCTAACTCATCCGGCGATCATTATACTTTTGTGCTTGAAGCTGGTAGCAAGGGATGTTTACGCTGTTTGATAACGCGTAAATCTTCTTCTCTTCTTCGGAATGATAGCATCTACTAAGGGGATACAATTGTAGATATGTAGGTGTCTGCTTCTCTATTATAAGGTTCGGGGTTTCCACACGATATCCACTCTTCCTCATCTTCTCATTGCCTTATCTTCTGTCTAGAAATATAAGTGGACAAATTGTCTCGCAGAAACATACATGAAACCCCCAGACAGCCGGAGCAAATTCACTCTCATCTTCGGCATTGTAGCTATAAGCATCATGGTCTTTAGCTAACGTGTTGGGTCCAAGTCACGCGAGAAGCTTCGCTTCTAATAGGATATAAGGCCTTTACCGAATTCCGGGAGATGGCGCCGTCTTTTTGGTCTGACACAGTGCTAAGCTGGGACTTCATCTGACCACCTCGTTGGCCATAACTGTTTGATGTGACTTGTTCCGAAGGGTGGCATTAGCCTCATGTGCTGGGGACCGGGGTTATATGAAATAGTAACATGAGCCAACACCGACTCCGGCCCGCCGGTGGTGGATAAACTAGTCTTAACAAGGAGCCGAAATGGGCCCCTAACGCCTAGCTGTGGTTCGTTCTAGCTCCTGCAAGTTCTCGATTAGCTTCATAGAGACCTCTTGGATCCCTATGTCTTTAAGATTTAGCGTTCAATTTTAGAGAGAGACAGTAGAAGGGGAATATACAGTGCCCAAAGATATTGTTCAAGTAATAAGGACGAGTACTCACATAATAGAGATATCCATGTGAATGAAAGTTTCGTCGTTTCAGTGCTTGCAGTATAATAGAGGTCTTATCTTTCAGACAAACAAAATTTTAATCTTATATCTCTTTGTCTCCTCTTTGGACGAGCAATGTTTGCCTCACTTTCCACGACCCGCTTCTTATTTTCAAGCCCCGAAGAACCTCGACATACCGCTCATCTATGCATTGATCTCATTCCCGTGCTCCCGCAATGCTTTCATATGTTTGGCGTTTCCTATCTTCACTGCCGATTGCAAAGCACTGAGATTCCCAGGAGCAGCTGCATGAACATCAGCCCCTCTTTTCAATAATATCTCTATCATTTTTCCTCGTGTCTCGACAGCTGCGCAGAGTGCATTTCCAAAACTGCCTCCTTGAAGGTTTACATCAGCACCCTTGTCCAGGAGAAATTCGACAAATGATTCAGACCCACAGAGCACCGCTGCCTGCAAAGCGCTGCCATATAAATTTCCTCCTCTTTCATTTATATCTGCGCCGCTGTCTAAGAGATGTTGTACGATTTCTCGATTTCCGCCAAAACCTGCAGCTTCAATCATATTCTGGTGGCAACCGCCCTTGATGTCAGCCCTCGCACCTTTATCCCAAAGCATACGAAAAACAGTTGCGCTGCCTGAAGCTGCAGCAGCCTGGAGAGGGCTGCCGTAATGTCCAAGTGGGGCATTGACATCAGCTCCCCGACTTAGCAACAGTTGGACCACTTCTTCATTCCAAGGGACATTATCACAAGCTGCCTGAAGAGCGTTTCCATAGTATCCGCCCTGAGCATTAACATCTGCTCCAATGTCCAACAATAGCTCGATCACGTCAGGACTTGAAAAATTTGCCGCACTTTGCAGTGCATTGCAATATGTGCCGCCTCGTGCATTTATGTCCGCTCCCTTTTGCAGCAATAGTTCAACAATAGCTTTAACATTCGAGCGACGCCCTTGAACCGCAGCTTGGAGTGCAGACCCGTGATGTTCGCTCACGGCATTGACTTTTGCACCCTTTGCTATCAGCAGTCTGACAACTTCTTCGTTGCCAGCATGTGCGGCTGCCTCTAGCGCTGTACGTTCAGATCTTCCCACCGTTCCTTCTTTGCGATTTACTTCTGCCCCGGAGTCGATGAGATGTTCTACCAATTCCATTGGTCCGTTGGCGTTGCAAGCGGCCTCTAGAGTGTTGCTGAATTGGTGACTTGGCTTATTCGTTTCGGCTCCTCTCTCTAACAATAACTTTATGATATGATCATGGCGTTTCACAACAGCAAGCTCCAGTGGTGTCCCTAGGCGACAATCTTCTGACTCAAGGTCAGCGCCGGAATCGAGTAACCAACGGACTAGGTACTCATGCCCGCCTTGGACAGCATGGTGTAGTGGGGTCCCTCCAAACCGATCCCTGACTTCTATCTGTCCCCTTTCCTCAACGAGGTATCGGACAGCACTCAGAAGATTGCAGTCTGCAGCCTTGTGGATCAAATGCATCCATGGCACAAGGTGATCCTCGTATAGCCTGCGGCTTGCTTCGAACATGACCTTCCAGGTCTCGAAGATACTAGGTTGCCGATCGGATATTGGTATCTCATCCCCATGTGAGATTTTAAAAGTGACGGTTCCAATGGGCTGGTCCACAAGTACTGGAAGATCGCTCTGAGATATACCGAGGGACTCTGCCCTCCGTGCATGGAGAAAGCAAAACATGACGGCGTATCGGATGAAAGGAAATTTCTCCTCTACTTCATGGGCCTTAGGGACTGGTGCAATTCCGTAGGTCATGCTGAATTTCGCGATCTCTCCCAGGCGTAAATATCCGAAGCACGTTCTCGAGAGAGTATTTTCACATCTCCCTAGAGCCTCAGAATCAGACAGACACGACGATTTCGGACCTCCCATATCAGACAACAGACTTTTGAGGCCTCCCTCACGAAGGAACTCGTTCACGGTCTGGTGGATTAGTTGAACGGTGCTGCCCTCAGCACAATGCTTGACCTCAGCCAATCCACCCGACAAACTCCTCGTAAGTCTTTGCATCCTCGCATCCGACTCAACGAAGTCGTTCGACTCTTCGATCCTCTCTTGGCCTTCCTTTATAAAACGTTCATTACACGCCATTGCAATCCTTATCTCCGTCAAACTTAACGGCCGCTCAGCGAGACACACCCACTGTAAGAACAGCGCAGCCTTCTCCCTCGCACTCTCCTTCACCTCCCTCTGCAAGATACCCTCATACATCTTGAACAGCTCATTGCTCTCCGTCTCCACTAACCGCTGCACATCTGCAAAAGAGGAACTCCCATCATTCAACTCCTCTACGATCCTCTCCATCCTCTTAACAACCCACAAAAAGATCCCATCCGCTGTATCAACAATCGCTTTCTCGAGGTTCATTCTCACTCTCTCGTCCTGTATTTCCCAGTCCTCGACGCCGATTTGAAAATGATAAGAGACAAATCTCTCAATGTCGCGACGATTCTCGTCTTGGATGGAGATGTGGAGGCCGTCTCCTCCAACTACAACAACAGGGTATTCTCGACACGAGATAACGATCTTCGCCCTTCCTCTCACCGGATCAGTTAGCTTCTGGAAGTATTCCCGCAGCGAAGTTGCGGCCTTGGCCCCTTCTTCATCGACCGCTTCATCTAGCGCGTCGATTAAGATCACCACTTCACTCTCTCTCATTTCCTCCGATGATACAATTCTGAGGAACAGCGATTGCATTTCATCAACTGTCCACACTACAGTCCTTTCCACATTATCCTCCTTCTTCTCATTATACGCTGTCAAGATCGTCCGTCTCGCTGAGAGGCTCTGCTTATACAGTTGAACAAGCAGCGAGCGAAACATTCCAGTCGGACACTTTTGGAGCCAGTCCCCGTTTTCGTGGAAAAAGAAGGAAAGTAAGATGCGTTTATATTGTATAGGTTGCTGAAGATGAAAATGGTAGAGGAAGGATAGCAGCGTGCTCTTTCCGGTCCCCGGGTGGCCTTTTATGTAGAGTATGCGAGTTTGGGCTGATGAGGCAGCAGAGTTTGCTTGGGACCAGGTTAAGAATGAGGGGTGAGACAGAATCCAAGCGCAGGTTTCTGACAGTGCTGCGGAGAGAGAGGAGAGGCGGTGGGATAAAGACGGGAAAGTGAGGGAAGCGAGACATGGGAGGTCTTCTGCTAGGAGTTCGGCGGTGAGTTCTATGCACCCGGGAGTCAGAAAAGTGGATATAGTTTGCGGATTATATTTGACACTTCTACTGACTATTTGTTATTTCGGAAGTAACCTCCTTCAGCTTGTTTACAATTTTTCTGTAGCCATTGCTATCTTTACTCTCAAAACAGGCGACTTCCCGGTGGTTGCACCCCTGCATAGGGACCGAGACTTCTCCCGCAACAAACATGCGTCCGCTCGTGTCGTCGACGATCTGCGTAGTAGTAATCAGCAGACAATCAATTCCGCTTCTCCATCCATTACTTACCTTCCCCGAAATCGGCGGTGTACTCTTCTGCTCTATGAACGAGAAAATCCTCATGTTCCCGGGATGCTCTTTAAAATCATTCGATATATCAAGCAAGGTGGTCGATCCATGGGCAAGTGCCTTGACCATATCGGATCTCATTTTCCCCGTGAATCGGGATAAACCAGTAAGAGACAAGTTCAAAATATCTGCGCAAACAGATAGTATTTTCGCGGGATCGGAGCCGCAGTGTGGAGTTGCGAGGAAGAAGATGGCGGCTGTTGATGTGCGGATGTTCGAAAAACGCTTGTTATTTACGACCGTGATATTAAGTGCCTAAGTTGAGGTAAGTGAAGAGGTTATGGTTGAGGAAGGCGTGGGGCATAACGCACCTTCTTAACGACAATCCCCCCCATACTATGGCAAATGAACACAATCGGCCGTTTCTGCTCCTCATGATTTTGCCTCACATCCCGCAACTCTTCCAATAGCGAAGTGGCATGGTCATCAATCCTCCCTTTCTCATGCGAGAGAAAGACATTCGCTGGGTATCCGTACGAAAATATCCTTGCACCGGGGACTTCCTCCGGGAGAGAATCTCGGAGCCAAAAGTGTCCATTTGAGTGTGCCCACGTTCTGTATGCGCCTCCCCTTATGCCATGTACGGCGACGATGTCGATGGGGCATTGTTTCTCTGGAGAGATTTCATCGATTTCAGCTTGAGGAATCTGGTGGATGAGGTGGAGGCCGATGCGTTCGATTGGTACAGATTGCCGTTCCGCGGATTTCCTTTTCCCTTTCTTCGCTATCAAGCTGACTCTTGGAGAAGCTTTCGAGTCATCGAGGGTACTTGTCTGTAAGTGTTCGACTTGAGGACCGCAGGCGGGTGTCGCGAGCGCTGCCTCTGGTATCTCTGAGCCCAAACTCGAGGAGGGAGCAGCAGAGAAAACGCAGTCTGAGGAGGGGGGGAGGGATTTCGAGTGGTAGATGTTTGTCTTGAGCCATTTTCGAAGAGAGATCTAAAGTGATCGTGAAGAGTCAGCACTAGTTGTTCTTTGATTGTCGTCTTTTGGAAAGAAGAGGAAGCAAAATGATGGGCTTTGCGGGCTCTGTGATTGAGGCGTCCTTGGTAAAATTTCTCAGCGGCCGATGGGTACTTACTGGTTCCATGTCTGAAGAAAATCGACGAGTCTCAGTGAGCAAATCTATGGAGAGATAGATCTGCCGTCGAGAAATCAACCGGGCTTGCAGGAAAAGGGATCAAAACAATCTGCTACTTGAAAGCATCACTTCGCAGGCAGCAGAAAACAGACAGTTCGAAGGCTCAAGGCTACTGAGAACAACATTTCGCCTCCCTCTCTGCCTTGAGGTCACGGTCGAGGAAACAGACTCAGCCCCTCTATGCACAAATTAGTGTGCGAAGCGTCAGCAAATTCCCGGGGGTTCACCAGTGTGGCTTGGGGGCGTTTTGCAGACCATTCAGGCAGGGGGCTGTTTTGAGATTCTCGGGGAACTCAGAAATTCGGTCCGGTCCAGGATACCAGCATTTGACAGGCTTTCACGGGCAGGCTTTGCTCTCATCTTTTGTAGGTCTTGTGACGTGTGAGAATTAGGCTCGCACCACACTTCCCTTGGGCCAATAGACAGGTGAATACGCCTAATCACGGTTAAAGGCTGGATTGTAATCACGTGACCTCACACACGTGACAGCTATTCAGGACTTTTTCCGCACTACTTAGGCTGCTCAGGTGAGCCGAGGGTGAGCCAAAGGTGATTAGCACCTGAGTTGAAGCGGCCAGGCTTACTAAAACGACCTTGAAACGAAGATTAAAGGATTAGAGTTCAACTATCACAGAAGTTTTGCCGTCCGGGCCACTCTTGGCTTTGCGTCCGGCTTTGATTCCACGACGTCTATGACCAAGTCAGCATCCACATCTGCGACAAGAAGTCAACAAGTACTGGATCTCCAACCGCGACTGGAAAGACTTCTGGCACCAGGTACGGGCCCGTCATCTACTGTGCTAAAGCCTTCGAAAGCTTTGGTTGTGATCTCTTTCTCGAAGTTCGGTGCTGCTACTGTGGTTGGACTTGCTCTTTTCACTGCATTGCTTTAAGCTGTCCTTCGGACCTTTGGGATAGAATGGCGCCCAGAACAGGGGGTGGACTAGAAAGGTTGGATCATTTGGACAAACTGCATGGATGGATAGCGAGAGGATTTAATAGTTCAAGGAATGAAATTTGTGCAGCAGCGGGAAAAGAAGACTATCAACATTCGAGAAGTTTTCTTTCTTCCTGCAGCTTCCAATCACCCTCTCCGTCTCATTAGCAGCCTACATTCTTCGTGAAATCTCCCCAGGAAGGGGTTAATAGATAGGGAATAGGGGCAAAATCTAGCCCCAACCGGCAAGCACTAGCTCGCGTCCAATACCTATGCTTCTTCTCTTCACAAACGATGCAGAAGACAAGCTCGAATCAAACAATTGAGATGAGACGAGCGTTCTTGCCAGAGTCCGGAGCCGCTCCCTGCATCAGCCCATGAACGTACGCCTCCCCAACAAGTTGGTAACTCCCATTTCCCACAGGATGAAGCAAAAATGGCGGCGACGCTCCGCAGATAACCTACAGCTCGTCACCCTACCTCACAGATTTGAATCTACGCCCAAGATGACCAGTATTCAGAATAAAGAACGCCCTCGCGTAAGCCTCCGCGCCATAAGATACTTGATCTCGACAGCCAATTCCTCATCTCTACCCGCTTCGCTAGCCTTCAAGGCTCTCTGAAGCTTCATGAAGGCAGCTGTCCCCTGGTCGGTGGTATATTGACCGCTCTGCAGCAAGCGAAAAGCCAGCTGGACCTTCTTGAACTCTCGCCCGCACGGCAACCAAGTTTGTCCCAACGTATTCGGTCCTTCGGAGTGAGAAAATCGAGTCGTTTCCAAAAGTAGTTGAGTTCTTCTACCACCCGATCCTCTCTCTCTTCTAGCGTGTTCAAATTCCCTCAAGCACACCTTTCATGATGTCCCATAGCACTGCGTTTATCTCTTTCTGCCGCAGGATTTTGATTGTTTTCCCGCAGGTTGCGGGTGCTGGATGCTGGGCTCGGAAACTGTCCTTCAACAGTGTCCGCCAAAAAACTTCCATCCGACTTTGTCGCATGATCTTTGTTGGTGCCCGTAATCCTCGCGCAGAAGTGCCGCCACACGCTGGGCGCGGGACTCTTGGTCAGATCCATACGCATCATGTGCAGTCTCAATGAAGACCTTGAGCCTTTGAGTTATCGGAGGGCTTGGTATGTCTGAAACCGCTGGAAGGCACAACAAGAACGTCAAAATGTCCTTGAACATGCTCTTGCTCTTGGGATCAAATCTAGCAGTATACTTGACTTTGCCAATGCATGAGCCACGAACTTCGAGACTGCCATCTAGTATAAATGATACATGCATGAGCCCAAAGCCTTCGGATGCATTCCAGGGAAGCAGAATTGTATCTTCGATGGGTGTTAGAAAGGCTTCGGCGCTAAAATCAAGAACCGATGATAGCAAGTCTTGTTGCTTCCGAGAAGATGGATCCTGTACCAGGGAGAGGAGGTCTAGATTCCCGGATGTATTGATGATAAATTTCGCCGTGTCGAGGTACATCTCCTTCAGTGGACTTTGATAGTTTGGTACTATGGTATTACCGGGACCGAGAATTCCAGACGAAGAGGTTGAAAATTCCTCGGAAATACCCAGGAAGGCGTATACTTTATCTCTTAGGTCCGATGCCTCAGTCGGTCAGAACTGAGACAGGAGTCGGCACAGAGGAAGTGGGCCAGCCCCCGGTTTACATTTGAATGTCGAATCTTGGATCCCAAAACCTGCCCTCACGTTCTGCGTCGCCTCAAAGGTTCGCGGATCCCAAACTCTCATCGGCTGGCTGCTATAGAAGGCAAACGGGTTTTTGAAATGCATCGTTGATCCGCAATCGTATTGGCGGTCAACGACTTCCTTCTCCTCATCGTGACCTGATTCGACGCTGGCCCTGCCTAAACCTCCCAGGTCGCTGGTCCATCTGGTCTTCCTAAGTCTGGCCGGTACTTTAGCAACCCCATCTCGGCGGCACCGTTGTTTGATCTCTCGGATGAGTGGAGGTCCACCACTTTCATACAACACTTGACTGGATAATGGAACTCTTCATCCACAGAGAAATCTCCAGCTACACTTCGCTTCGGCTCCGCTGGCAAAATTTGGAGGACCGTAATGGAAGACTCGTTGGGAAGTGGTGAGTATGGGTATACGTTTGTCGTCGCTCCTGGTTCCGATTTTCTGGGATTCAATATGGGAAGTGCGGCAACGGATTTCGGTCTGTCCATCAATCTTGATCCAGCCAACTGCGGTAGCGAATGCAGCAGAGCATCGGGGCGAAGAAGAGCTTGAGGCGTCGAGTGTTCGTCCATTGAAACATCTCCAAATGTTATTTAAATTTCAAGATACGATCATCAAGTCATCTCAGCAAGGATTTTGGGAATCGAGAATGAAAGAAAATTGAAGCCGAATGATGGTAGTTGAAGGCAAAAGGCATCAGGAAAGTCAGTGCGCGAGGGGTAGTAAGGTTTACAAACCCGGCGGCTTGGGACGTCTAAATTGGGAGGGAAACGGTACAAATTATTGCTTTTCCCAATACAACAGCGCCGCAGGAACTTTCTGTGGCACACCGATTGCACTTGGTACCGTAAAACCCAAGCCTCACTCAGTTGTGGAAAGTGGGCTATTTTTGGGCTACAGAAGTGGCCCGTTCCTTGGCAACCTCGATCGCATACTTTGCGGAGCTGTCAACCTTAAGAGCAGCGAGCTGAAAAGGCTGCGGATAAGTCAACGCCGCCCAGTAACATGGCGTATAGGGAGACTGATAGATGCAACCCTTGAGGGGCCAGGTTACGACTTTTTCTCACGATAAGGCGTGAGAACAATCCTTCCAAAGCGCGCCTCATCAGCCCAGACTTTCAGAAACCCGACGTAGACGGTATGGCTTTCAGTAACTTCAGGAGCAGGTGACCCATCATGCTTGAAACGTGCTTCGAATCCGCCGGACATGGAGGCATTGTAGAATTCAAGCTGCCGACCCTGGGCGTCAACTGCTCTGTCGCAACACCCCCAACACAAGTAATTTGGATAGCGTGGGTTGATCTGAACTGAAGTATGGCAGATAGGATATGTGCTGTGAGGCTGGATTCTTTCGCGATAAGGCGTAAGTACGGTTCCGCCCATGCGTCCTTCATCCGCCCAAACTTTGAGAGCTCCGACGTAGACGGCATGGCTTTTGGTGACTTCGCCGGCAAGGCATCCATCGTCTTTGAAATGTGCTTCAAAGCCGCCGGTACTGGATGTTTGAAATGTAAGCCTTCGGCCATGTGCGTCGGTTGCTTTGTCGTGACATGACCAACACAAGTAGTTTGGGTATTGTGGATTTATCGGGAGGGAGGCTTTGCAGACGGGACAGGAGGTCTGCGGTCCCGTAGGCTTAGATGCCATGGTATCAATTAGCTTCAGCCTTTAGGAAAGATAACCTGATCGCGGCGTGAAAAGAGACAGAGTCAGGAGGAACACGCTTTTCAGACTTCACTCTCCGTCATAGGCGACATCACTTTGAATCCGTGTTCTTCGTTGATGGAGCGGATAACAGCAGCTAATTTATGCGATCGTATCCAGTTCGACTTGGTGAGAGGAAAGAGGAAGCAGAGGGTGGGGGAGGAGTGGCACGTGCAGGATGCACTTTTCCGTGGACACACACGGGAATTAGGTTGATTCCAGGTCGATCAAGAGTGTCGATTCTGACTAAACACGACAGAACCCCTCTACATCAAATCGTTCGAATTTTTGCTACTTAAATAGCAGTACTCCTTTTTTTTTTGGAAAAAAAAAAAATGAGAACTACCTTTTTTAATAATACTCTTTAGGAATTTAATTTTTTCAAATTATTGAAGTAGGTTAAGGTTTAGAAGTAAGGCACTAAAAATATAGCGAGTTCTCAGGGAAAGATCGCTAGAAATTTAGTGACCGATAGCCTAAGTGATCGCTAAAGCCTTTATTCTCGTGCTATATATAACTTTTAAAAGAATTGCACTCTCTCTTAAGAAGAAAGAAAAAATAATTACTAAAAAGAAAGAAAGAACTACAAGCTTCTAAGAGTATATAAATTTATTAATAGTTCAGTTGTGATTTTTTTTGCGTGAGGGGGTGCAAATACAGAGATTTTTGGTGTTTAAGGGCCCGTTTTGTAAACTTCAAACACCAGCAGTTAGTAATCAAACACTAGCTTTTGGTTATTACAAAGTTAAGTGTTTCGCATTTTTTAATATGCTAGCATTTGCTCTCATACAATCGCAGTTCTTTCAGAACCAGCTATAATAAGTGGTTCTGAAAATGCTAGCTTTTGGATACTGGCTTTTTACCCCTTCTTTATAATACTTCTTAAGGTATAATATTTTAATTATTATATAAATATTGTGCTTCTTATATAATTTCAATTATAAATTCTTTCTTAATAAGAAAGCTATAATAAAGTAATTAATTAATTAATTAATTAATTACTTTTGCCTTAGAAAAGAAATAAATATTAGGCTATAATATCTTATAATTATAAGAAGTAGTTACTAAAGAAATATAAGATTTAAGATTTAAGGTTATTGGAGATTACTCTGAAACTTCTGTAATTGCGATAGTTATTGAGTTTGTGCATTTTGCGAAACACTTTTAAATTATTAAAAGCTAGCTTCTACATCGAGTATTAAACGCTAGTGCTTGGTTATTGGCGAATGCCAGCAATCAAAAGACGTGCATCCGTACGAAACGGGCCCTAATAAGGCACCAAGCTGGTGTAAGTTACCGCCTAGATTAGTCAACATCGACTCTCAAATTTCTCAATCGACCCCAGAATCGACCCATGGGGATATCCTTAATTCCTGACACACACGTGCTCAAAGTTCTCCCTGTCGATGACGCTCACTCGCCACTCTCACCATGGGCGACTACTACTCTGAGAATAACTGTCGAAGACTAGCCGCTACCCCAAGTCCCAGGCATAGTGCTTGTTCGTGGAATGATCGCAATTCGCACGTGGATGGTTCAAAATGGTTGAAAGCCCAACTGTTGAACTAGCTAGCTTGGCTAGCATCCTTTCCTTCCACTCCAGGTTCAACCACTAATTCAGTTCGTCCGATTATTGGGTATTACTTACGTACGAACACACCAATCGTTTATTAGTATCGCCATTCGATTACGTTCCTTAAACGTGCGTTCAGGAATCAGATTGGTAAATCGTTCCCACCACCAAGTAAGTGCGGGGTAAATCACATGGTGGGGTGGAAATCAGGAATATAGCTAGGGAACCCATTCCCTCTGTTTTTTATGGAATCACTCTCCTGTATCTAGTCAAAACTAGTCATTCTACAGATTGTCAATCTCCAATATATCGATTTTCCACCGATAAATCGATCCCAGTTCAATACCAACCCAAGTCCGAATACGAAATCGGAACATCCCCCATACGAGTCATGGATCCTACTAACACCAACCAATGAGGTTTTCACACGCCTGAGATTATAGCTAGGCTAGTAAAGTTCTCCGCACGATGCTGATCTGCTTGAAGAGATTTGAGCATTTAATCGAAATATACAGGGGATCCGAGTTTGACGCTACCTGACCCTGGCAATTGATGCGAATTAAATAGGAGCGGACATATGGGATAGCCAAGGACAGGGTTGTATTTGTTCGGATATTGAATTCCTTTTCTAGAAACATACGCTATCTCTGCATATGGGCTGATAGCTCAATTTTATATCACGAAGTGTGTTGAACCATTCAAATGCCGATATGAGTATTTTTCCTCCTATAGAAAACATGAGGGGAAAACTCCTGGCCGCTTCGTTCGTGCCTGAAGGATCTTGATTTCCGAGATATCACTTTTGATATATAGGATGTATTGGCCCCTCCCACTCCTTTATTGTTGACTTTGTGTCCACCAGTTATCCAAGACGTCATTTGGTGTGCACATGTTTGCCTGATTCTACATCAGTAGCTTGCAATGCAGTTTCTTGGTTCATTGAGTGTGATATGCTGGTGGCTGGCAGCCCTGGCCTCAGGGCAGAACCAAACCAACGGAACCACCTTGCCAGTCGTCGATCTTGGCTATGAGATCTATCAAGCAGCCTCTTTCAATGTAAATTTTACTTTCTATACTTCATACTTGAATACATACTAATCGAGTTGAAGGCAACTGGGGGTTTTTATAACTTCTCAAATGTTCGATATGCAGCGCCCCCAACTGGTGACCTCCGATTCCGTGCCCCTCAGAAACCTTCCTCCAACCGCTCCGTCGTGCAGACAGGAAACGTCGGTCGAATATGCCCACAAAGTATCCCACAATGGGTTATTGAAAGCCTATTTTTCGTCGCAAACTACAGCTCAGGCCTTCCATTCAATGCCTCTGCCTGGCAGAGCCCTGGCATCTCGGTAATCGGCCTCCTTCAGGACCCGAGAATCACCGAAGACTGCCTATTCCTGGATGTCGTGGTTCACCAAAATGTCCTCAATTCTGCACGTAACGGGTCAAAGGCACCAGTATTAGTGTGGATTCATGGAGGAGGATACGCGGAGGGAAGCAAGACAGATAATGGGGTGCCAGGGAAGATTATGGCGCAAAACAACGACGTGATTTTTGTCACCATAAATTACCGCCTAGGCGCATTCGGGTTCCTTTCTGGGCCAACTTTACAATCAGATGGTGTCGCCAATGCAGGACTACTTGATCAGCATTTGGCTCTTGAGTGGGTGCAAGAGCATATTTCTAAATTTGGAGGCGATCCAGACCAAGTGACTGTTATAGGAGAATCGGCTGGCGGGGGTTCAATCTTGCACCAGATAACGGTAAGCCATAGCCCCATGGATTGGCCTCTTCAATCAAGTTTTAGTCGCCCCTTCAGGGTTTTGAGCTACGCTAATGATTTCAAATTCTAGGCGTACGGAGGTGTAAATGGCAAGGCCCCCTTTCGCCGCGCAATCCTTCAGTCTCCTGCGTTCTTCCCCTTCAGAGACAGTCATTTCCAAGAACAAGCCCTCGGAGACTTCCTCGCCCTCCTAAATGTCTCCACCATCGCAAAGGCTCGAACCCTACCCTCCTCGGCGCTCATCCTGGCTAATAAGCAGCAACAAGCTGCTTCTCCCTACGGCGAATTCGCATACGGCCCCGTCGTGGATGGCTCTTTCGTGCCCACCTTTCCCGGAAAACTGCTCCTGAGTGGTCGATTCGACTCCCAAGTTGAGGTCATGGTTGGACATAACGCAGATGAAGGACCTCTCTTCACCAACCCCGCTATCATCGATGATGCTAGCTTTCACGCATTTGTTGCTTCATTCTTCCCAACCATGGAAGATTCCCTAATCGAGTATGTCGAGAGCAAGCTCTACCCACCAATATTCGACGGAAGCCAGCCATACACAAACAATCTCGAGCGCGCCATCCTATTGAACTCCGAACTCCTCATTTCTTGCAATACTTTTTACCTTGACAAGGCCTTCAACAACCGAACCTATGCTTATCTCTTCGCCGTCCCACCTGCCACGCATGGTTCTGATCTTTCGTACACTTTCTACACCGGTGCATTTAACCCGAGCTATAATTTACCCACCTTTAACGAGACCGTTGCAGAGACTTTGCAGGATTTTATTTTGTCATTCGCTATGAACGGGAAACCGATGACAAATGTTGCGGGCGTGGACAGGTTTGCGCCCTATGGCCAAAATGCGCAGCTGATGGAACTCGGTACATCGAGCATTAGCATGATGACAGATCCAGCGGCTAATAACAGATGCAAATGGTGGGAATTAGGGTTAGGATGGCACAATATTGGACGGGGAAATTACACGGTATAGGGAAGCTCTGTAGCAGACTACGGAAACCTCGCAAAGCGGGTCCCTGACATACTTGACTGTATGAGTATGAGTATGAGTTAGATACAATTTGTAAGGAAGGCATTTACAGCTGGTATTGCCTTGCTATGTGGGCGTGAATGTCATTTTGCCTTGTTCGGCGAGTGTCGTTTGCCATTCTTACTCCTGTTTGTCATTGTTTTCGCTGCAAATGCTTGATATGTCTTCTGTCTCTTGAAGTGTCGACAATCCTCCCGACCCTCAGTTCATGTGTTTATTTCATTGTAAGTCGTATACTCTAATGCTGCTTGAGGCGGCAGCCGCCCGATAATTCTCGTGTCGAGGATTGATGCTCCAGCTCGATGTCTGTTTTTGAGCCAGCCCCGTGAATTGAGCTCAACGCCCGCTATTCTGGATTGATATGTTTCGTCTTTTTGTATGACTGAAGTGTATTTGGGTGCGAATCAGCTATGAAGTCTCAGGCCCGAGTTATGAAAGATGGCATGGAACAGTTGCTAGAGGGATTGGCGGTAGGTCAAATACGGACGCCGATCACAAAGTCGTGGATTGGAAGGGGAAAGTGTAGATTGCTTCCGCAGACCAGAAAGCTGGCCAATGTATGCCCTGAGTTTCAGTGAAGGGAGCCAATCTGCACCCAGCGTCAGCCCGCGAAGGCTGCCGCGCCGCAAAGAAGCTGGGAGCGGAAATGTGGACCGCTGCATCCCGACTTTCAGGGGCCTCGTACCTGCAGCTCCAAGGGATGCGTCCCGTCCTCGAGATATGGCTGCGGCAACATCCCTTGAAAACCTCTGCGTTGGTGCTCTCCCGGCATTGCGAACGCTTTTCATGACATGCGGACGACAACTGCGGTCTAACCATCCCTTCTCGTCCAAGAGCGGCCTATCTCCGACACTCTCAGCCTTTCCGGACGTCGGGCACACTAAAATATCTCTGGTGCTTTTAGATTGAGACTCCTGCGCAGCGCGAGGCACAATGTCTCATAGAGAAGATACATCGAGAGCCCACCTTGGATGGGAAAATTGTTGAATTGGTACTAGCTTACTAGTCCTTCCAGTACCAGGTTCAATTACTAATATTAGCTTCGCTACTCTCATTTATAATAGTTTACTATGGAAGCCTATGGAATAGCTCACTATGGAAGCTCAGGGAACGCTCACTAATATATATGAGTCATCTGATTTATAAAATACTGGAGGAAATCGCCACCCACTAGTGGGTATATAAGAACTATACTTTAGATTCTCTCCTCTCCTTTTTTTACTCTTCACTCTCCTGTATCTAGTCATTCTACAGATTATCAAACTCCAATATATTAATTTTCCATCAATAAATCGATTACTTTCCAATAGGTTATGAGCCCGGCTAGTGCTTTACTAAGCGATCCAAGCGTCACTTGACCTTAGTACTCACTTGTCCATTCCAAACCATTTCCAAAAATCATCAAAATCGTCAATTTTGGTGAATTATACCCATTAGTTCGGCTTCGCATCAGCAGAATTCGCCAAAAACACAGCCATTTTCGGTCAGAAATTCTCCGCAAAATCCAACATGCCGGATTCCAAAAAATCAACCCATATCACCTACAAAGGTACGAAAATTGAGCCTCTCTCGGACGACAATATCTACTCCTGGATAGACGACGCTATAAACCTCTTTATCATCAAAGATCTATGGCAATTTATCGATCCTAATTAAGCTCCTGCTCTCATAGAAGCAGTCCCAAAGAACGATAAATTAATTACTCGTCAAGTTGCAATCGCCAGAGCGGTACTAAGCTTACTTATTACCTATAATACCTGGCAATAATTTAAGGAAATCAAGCTCGCATACCAAATTTGGAGCCAGATTCAAGCTAAAGCTAAGTAGCTAAAAGCTTAAAAGGAAGCCCTATATCTTCAATAAATAGAAACTATTACGTTTAATACTACCATGGGAATAGACGACTTCATCAACCGCATTAGTCACAAAGTAGCTGAAATCAAGGAGGTAAACGGGTCGATTTCGGACGTTTCCGTATCCGGATATCTGATTCGCGGACTACCAAAGGAATACAACTTATATAAGCCCCTCCTGAATTCCATTAGAGCTAATATTAATAAATTAAAGCTGGAATTACTCAAAGCGGATGCTTCCACTAAAGAGGATAAGCTTAGGGCTAAAACCTCTAATTTCAACCCGGATACTACTCCTAAGGTACTAGCTGCCAAAGGAAATAATCAGTTAAATAATAAAAAACCAAAGCAAGCTAGGGATCCTAATACTTACTATATATTCCACAAATTCAAAGAATATAATATTAAAGACTATATTACCTATAAATTAGCCCAGGATTATTTCAATTCCAATAGAAAAGACTCCAATTCCACTAATCAGGAGGCGCCTTTAGCCTCCTAATCGCCTATTTATAAGAAAGCATATACTACTCAAAAATTAACTATTAGCGCCCTCCTTAGTAGCCAATTACCTAATAATAATTCCACGAATATCTAGTATATTAATTCAGGTACTACGGACCATTTTACGGGAAGCAAAGGCTCCTTTATTACCTATAAAGAAATTGATCCCTTTCCAATTACTCTTGGAGATAAATTTATAGTTCTTATTAGGGGGAAAGAAACTATTATTTTGGCTACCAAACCGGAGCTAAAAATATAGCTTAATAATATACTTTATAGCCCCTAATTCCGGAATACCTTCCTATTATTAATTCCCAAAATTATATAAGCAGGAAAAGATATTAATTTTTCTAAAGGAAAAGTCCAAGTTATTAATAAAGGAACCACTATTACAACTAGTACCTTTAGCCCCTCTATAGGGCTATATTAGCTTGACTAATTTGGTTCAGGGCATGCCCTAAAAGCGTCAAAATCGGAAGCTTTAGCCTCCCTAGAAACGTAGTACTAGTAATATAGATACCTGAATACGAAATATATCCTGGAATTAATAAACCATATCTATAGGCTTTAATTCAAGAACCAAAACCCATTCGATTGCAATCCATATAATATAAGCAAGATTACTAGGGCTAGTATAACTGAGCTATACCCGGAAAAACTACTTTTAGGAAAGTATATTATAATTGACTTATAGGGGCTATTAAGGGTTCTATCCCTTAGCAAAAACTCCTATATACTTTCCACTACTTGTAAAGATACCAAATATTATATGGCAATATATAATTCGGACAGAAAGAGCTACTTTACAGATCTTCAGGATCAAGTAACCTTCTCTAAAACCCAAACTAGGAATAAAGTCAAGCGCCTATACCTTAATAATACTTCAGAATTTGTATTAGGTCAAGTTAAGGACTAGTGCAAATTAAAGGGGATTCACTTGGAACCAACCACTACTTATATTCCTGAACAGAATAGTATTTCTAAACGCAGTATATATATGATTATTAAATTAGAGCATACGGAGCTAGAATAATCGGGCCTACTATACGAGTTTTGGGAGGAAGCCGCTATATATGGGATTTATACCTATAATTAATACTACTTACCCAAAATAGAAATAACCCCGTACGAAGCATTCTATAGGATTAAACCGGACATTTCTAACCTACAGATATTCGGTTCCTTAGCATATGTCCATATACCTAAGGAAATAGCTTCATAATACAAGTATATGGCCAAGGCCTTTAGGGGCATTTTTACTGGCTATAGTAGTTCTGGATACCGAATTTGGAACCCGCACAAGCGGATATTCGTTATTTCTAACCATTATATTATTAAAGAATATATTAAGGGAGTCTCACTCCTAAACCCAGCGTCCTAGCTATATAGAAGACTAGTAGGAACTACTATAGAATCTGATAATGGTTCTACTAATAATTCGGATAATCCAGATACAGATTACAGAAATACTATTATTATTAATACTGAAAATTAATAGCTTAATAATCTATTAGAAAACAATAGAGAAAATTACCCCGATACAGAAGGGGGTACTACTAAAAACGCATTACGTAATATAATCTCGGATACTCCTGACCTAAGCGAGCCCCCTGAACCACCTTCTGGGGAGAACCAAGAACCTGTAGTACCCATAAATACTTCTAAATAGGGTTCTACAAATCAGGAGGCACCCGAAATAGTCAGTTTTAGGGGTAAACTACTCCCTAGATATCCGAAATCAACTAGAATTACCGGAAAATCAGTGGATCACCGTACTTTACTAGTTACTAACCAGAATACAGAAGCTTCCAAAATTCCATCGTTAATTAAAGAAGCTCTCTCTGGCCCAGATGCTTATCTCTGGAGACCTTTAATTAAGAAGAAGCTAGATTCCCATTTGCGGAACCATACCTGGGATCTAGTAGTACGAAAACACCAAAAAACTATTAGATACCGCTGGATCTTCAAAATCAAGTCTAATGGATACTATAAATCTAGGCTCATAGCACAAGGCTATACTCAAGAACATGGCGTAGATTACTTTGAAACCTTCGCTCCTATAGCCAGACTTTCTACTATTCGAATCATATTAGCCCTAGCGGCTAAATATAGGCTTTATATTTAATAGATAGATGTCCAAATAGCATTCCTATATAGAGAATTGGATAAGGAGTACTATATGAAATAACCCCCTGGTTTTATCGAAGAAACGAACCTTATTTACCGCTTGCGGAAGAGTATTTACGGCCTGAAACAAGCCCCTAGGGTTTGGTATCAGGTAATCGATTAATTTTTCCATTCCATTGGTTTCCAGCGATCACTTAGTAATCCAGCGCTTTATATCCACCAGGAGCATGAGGTTAATCAGCTACCTCTCCTAATCGCTATTTACGTAGACAACATAATTATTATTAGTAAAAACATGACCTATATTAATAGCATTAAAGCTTAATTATATCAGAAATTCAATATAACCGATATGGGAGAAATCAAAACGCTTCTAGGCATGGAAATCGTACACTTACGGGACGGTTCGGTATTTTTACACCAAAATCAATACCTTATAGACATGCTTCTAAAATATCAAATGGAAGGTTATATGCCTATTACCACTCCAATGGCCGAACCTACAGTATCTGATGGAATCAATATCAATATTACGGAATATCAAAGTCGAACTGGATTACTTATATAGCCCTTTTTAGCTTCACATCCCGATTTTTGCTTTGCCGCAGGCTACTTAGAACATTCTAATTCATATCCTAAAGCGTCCCATGGCACCATACAGAAGCGTATAATGTGGTATATCAAGGGGTCACTTGATATAGGCATTTTATATAACGCTTCGTCTAATGAAGGGCTCATTGGGTACTCAGATGCCGATTACAGAGGCGATTTACAGGATCATAAATCAACCTCTGGCATGGTTTTTACCCTATTTGGTGGTTCCATTAGCTGGGCTAGCACTAAGCAAAAAACTGTCGCTATAGCCACTATTATAGCTGAATATATCGCTCTAACGCCGGCAATTAAAGAAGCTTTATAGCTAAAGCAACTGTTTAAAGAAATATCGATTCCTATGGGCCCAATCGAGGTAAAAACGGACGCTCAGGGAGCTATGGATCTAGCTACGAACGCCCGATTTTCGCAAAAAACTAAACATATTAATATTAGATACCATTTTATTAGGGACCATATTAATACCAAGGAAATCGATCTCAAGCACGTACCTACAAGGGAAATAACGGCCGATATTCTCACCAAACCACTCCCTAGACCCGCTTTTGAACTACTATAATCGAAGCTAGGGCTTATTAGCCTCACTGACGTCGAACCTCGACTGTAAGGAGGAGGCGTATTGAATTGGTACTAGCTTACTAGTCCTTCCAGTACCAGGTTCAATTACTAATATTAGCTTCGCCACTCTCATTTATAATAGTTTACTATAGAAGCCTATGGAATAGCTCACTATAGAAGCTCAGGGAACGCTCACTAATATATATGAGTTATCTGATTTATAAAATACTGGAGGAAATCGCCACCCACTAGTGGGTATATAAGAACTGTACTTTAGATTCCCTCCTCTCCTTTTTTTACTCTTCACTCTCCTGTATCTAGTCATTCTACAGATTGTCAAACTCCAATATATCGATTTTCCATTAATAAATCGATTACTTTCCAATAAAAATCATCTGGACTAGGTTTGAGATGCTGGTAAGCAACTGCCTCGAAATGTGATTTTGGCCTTCCACGCGTTGTTGTGCTTCCACTAATCTTGCCCTACAGTCTATCGAATCAATTATACGAGAAATCGACACACTTTTTGCTCGAACTCATTCAGAATTTCGATGATAACACCTATGATTGCGAGAAGGGACATGGATTGCTAAGGGTCTAATACATGAGCACACTTCAGGTTCTGCAAGAAAGAGGCGTAAAATTGATGCCCCTTCCGTATCATGGACCACCCCGGCAATCTCTGGAATTCACGAAAATAACCTTACAGCTCCATGTGGCCGCAGGAGCAAAGTAACATTCAGTCACCAAGCTTTGGACACCGGAAACATTCGCCTACTGTATCTTCTGCCAGGAGAGACGAGACAAATGGTCAACTGCAAGGTGTGATCATTCACGTTCCCTACGAGTCACTTGGAGCATATCGGGCTCTATCGTACGTATGGGATAAAGATCAGCGGACAAAAGAATTGGTGACACCGGATGGCACGCTTCAGATCACTTGCTCTTTGAACAATGACTTGCAACGTTGACGACACAGAGAAAAGCCGATCAAGCTCTGGGTAGATGCCATTTGTATTAACCAGAAAGACAACACCGAGAAAGCACAACAGATTTGCCTTTTGCCGAAAATATTCCAGAATGCCGTATCAACGTATGCCTTTCTTGAGCGCGGCAAAGGAAGCGATACTGCCATACGGATATTGACGCAGGTACGATTCAAAGCAGCATGTGATGAAAAGTCGAAACTGGAGAGGAAAAGAGCAGACCAAGATACAGACGAAATCCTTGAAATCGAGTTAGAAGACGAAACGGATTTAGGAGAAAGTACGAAATCAAGGGAAAAGGAGAGCTTAAAACGTCGGATCTGTTTAGGAGACTGGCCAGAGGATGTACCTAGAGTCCCTGCATATTGGAAACACAGACCCATACCCGATCTGAATGCTACCATTTGGAGCTCTGTCGGAGCACTGTTTCGTCTCCCGTGGTCTCACAGAGTATGGATTATTCAAGAAATTGTAGGGGCGCCACATGTGAAGATTATGCGCAGCAAATGGATTATCGATTGGAACGATCTCCACCTCGCCATGGAAATCATTGACCGCGAAGTCCAGATATCATGCAATGACTTTTTATACCTCAAATCGAGCTGGGAGCCTTTTTTGGCTCTAGCAGCACAACGGGAATGGGAGGCCATGTACTACCGATGGACCCTCATAGTATTACTCGAAAATTTCCGGCATGTCGAGTCAATACTCCGTCGAGATCGCTTATTTGCATTATTGGGATTGGCCTCCCACGGGAATGAAGTAGAATTTGAGCCCGATTATGATAACCCGTTGGGAGATGTCATTCTGAAATTCGCTCGTGTTTTTATTGTTGAAATTAGGGGCCTGAGGCCCCTAATAGGCTTAGTAAGCCCTGGAACCGAACGCCATGGGGCTGTGCACTAGCTTAATACCCTGTCCAGCTGGAATACCCTGTATAGCTGGAATACCCTGTACGGCTGGAATACCCTGTATAGCTGGAATACCCTGTACGGCTGGAATACCCTGTATAGCTGGAATACCATGTACGGCTGGAATACCCTGTATAGCTGTAATCAGTTCAGCTGGCATAGGGATTTAGTACATGTGACTTAGGGGGTTTAGTGCATGTGATTTAGGGGGTTCAGGGCTACTTACCACTGTAGAACAGCAGTCAATTCAGTACGTTTTACTTGGTTTACATTGCAAGCACGTGACCCTAGCTATATTGCTTTAGCTAGTTCAATAGGTTATGAGTACCGGAAGCTACCTCTACGCACTATAAATCACTGAATCGGCTCACTTGCACCTACCGGAAATATCTCACAGAAGTACACTATGGAAGACGACTTTAGTGTGGAAAAGCCCCGGATCGCCAGGCTTACAGGGCCTAATTATCGGCCCTGGAGCGTTCAGGTACGTAGGCTTTTGATTGGTCAAAGCCTATGGAACGTGGTTAGCCTAGGGGTAGAAACTGTAGAACCGGGTTCTACAGGGGGTTCTGGTTCTGGAGATGGGAGCGATCCTAAGGCCTCAGGGCCTTCCAGTGATCGTACGGAGGTGAAGGACGCTAAGGCGAGCACTATAATCATGAGTTTATGTGCTCAGGGAGCCTTACAGCATATATTACTCCTTGGAACGGCCAGGGAGCAATGGGATGCACTGAAAGCTTTATATGCCCCCCTGGGCATGCAGCAGCTTAGTACTAAAATTCAGGCTTTTACTAGCTATAAGCCACCGGAACGGGGTGCCACTGTTGCTGTGGTAGCCACGGAATTGAGTACTTTACAGTACGAAATCGGTACCATCGATCCTACGGAAAAGCCCTCTGACGCCCTCAAAATATCGATCCTTTTTGGGGCCATTAGGGCACTGGATGAGCGCTTCGCTCCCCTGATATTGCAGCTTGAGATTAGTGGGAGTACCACTGATTATAGTGCAATAATAGCTCGCTTCAGTGAGCACGAACGGAGAATGGGACCAAAAGAAGCCCTAAAGGAATCTGTTTTACTAGCTAAAACAGGGGAAAAGAGCCCTAAATTTCAGGGGAAGTGCTTTAAATGTGGTAAATAAGGCCACAGAAAATCTGATTGCAGGAGCAAGAAGGGAGAGAAGCAAGAAAATCAGGAAAAGAGCCCTAGTACAGGGCCCTTAGCAACCCCTGGAGGAGGCAGAGGACTCTCTCCAGGGCCTGGAAAATCAACTGAGAAGCCTATAGCGAACGCTAGTAGCGCTGAAACCAGTTGGATGGCTCTAGCGGAGCCTACCTATAGTAAGGATTTACTATGGGTCATCGATTCTGGAAGCTCCCGTCACATGACTTATTTGCGGGAGGCTTTTACTAAGTATAGGGTGCTAGACACTCCTATACTAGTAACTACGGCAAATGGGGCCCGGATTCCGGCTATTGCGGAAGGCACTGTGCTTTTACAGGTGGCCCTGGGGGCCTCTGTACGAACTATAAAGCTCACTGGAGTGCTTTACGTACCTAAGCTTGCTAGGAGCTTAGTTTCGGTACTGCAGCTTCAGGATAAGGGCATTACCATACGAACTACTACTGGTTCCACTGGAAAGAAGCTCTTAATTGAGCTCCAGGGAATAGTAGTAGGGGTTGCTAGCCGCTTAGGGAGAGCGTATGCCCTGGATAGTGTATTACAAGGCACTGATATTGGGCTAAAAGCAACCACTGCACTGGAAAACCAAGCTAGCCTCTGGCATTGCCGCTTCGGCCATTTGAGCCCCACGAGCCTGAAGCTGGAACACACTGTTTCTATAGGGCTTAAAGAGCCTATTGGGGCTCTTTAGGAGCCCTGCGAGCCCTGTATTAAGGCTAAAACAGTAAGGGTAGTAAACCGGAAGGCCCCTGAGAGGGCTATAGCTCCACTGGAACGGATTCACAGCGATTTTTGGGGCCCTTATAGTATACCCACACTAGAAGGGAATAGCTATATGCTTATATTTACGGACGATTATACCCGTAAATCGTAGGTATACCTTACCAAGACTAGGAAGCAGCTGAGAACTGTGTTTTTGCAGTTTAAGGCCCTAGTAGAGCTGGAATCGGGGCATAAAATCAAGGCTATACGCTGCGATAATGCCTCAGAATATAAGTCCTTAGGGGCTTTATTACTGGACGACTATGGTATTCAGTTTGAGTATACCACTGTCTATACCCCTGAACAGAATGGGGTTTCTGAACGCCTGAACCGGAGCTTAATATTAGTGGCTAGGGCCATGTTATTAGACGCCAAGCTCCCTGTACGGTTCTGGGGAGAAGCCGTAATTACAGCCTGTTATTTACGGAATCGGATACTAATAGGCCCTAATGGGAATACCCCTGAGGAGGCCTATAGTGGGAAACGCCCTAATATTGGGCACTTTAGGGCATACGGGTACGTAGCGTACGCACACGTTCCTAAGGAAAATCGCTTGAAAATGGACGATATGGCTATTAAGGCCTGTCTCATAGGCTATATGCCCACATTAAGGCAGTATAAGCTATATGAGCCTGAACAGGGGAAAATTATAGTGTCCATAGCACCTGTTTTCTATGAAAACGAGCGATTGGAATGGAACTGGAACGAGGAGCTTATTAGGGAGGAAACAGTCCCGTTTGACCTAATGGAAGCTATAATGGAATAGCCTGTAGTACCTGAAGCTCCTGTAATTACAGGGCATTCAGGGGGTACACGTGACTCTCCTGCCCTGTTACCTGACCCCCAGTGGAGCGTTCCAGGGGACTATGGGGATACCATAGTGGTGGATACAGGGGCTTTGGATTCCGATTCAGGGGATACTGATTCGGGGGACCCTGATTCCCATAATCAGGGAGAACCACTAATTGCAGGGCCTTTAGGGCACTATGCGAATGCGGCAATTACGGAGCGTTCGATTCCAAAAACCTATGCTGAGGCTATAAATGACCCCATTTATGGAGCCCATTGGAAGCAAGCGATTAGTGAAGAACTCACTAAACTGCAAGCCCTGAATACCTGGAAAGCTGTACCATTACCCCCTGGAAAGAAAGCCATAGGCTATAAGTGGGTATTTACTATCAAATATACTCCCACGGGCCTAATCGATCGGTATAAAGCTCGGCTAGTAGGCCAAGGCTTTAGCCAAGTTCCAGGGGACGATTTCCTGGAGACTTTTAGCCCTACCATTAGGGCTGAAAGCCTAAGGATTTTACTGGCTTTAGGGGCTTGCGAGGACCTGGAAATGCGTCAAATTGACGTAGTTAGTGCCTATCCACGCTCTAAGCTCCACGCTGAGGTGTATATGCAGGCCCCTCAAGCACTAAAGTGTGCCAAAGGCTTGGTACTCCTCCTGCTTAACTCCCTATATGGGCTTAAGTAATCAGGGAGGGAGTGGTATATCGAAGCCTGTGCAGGGCTCAAAACCCTTGGTTTTAACCCCTGTTTTAGCGAGCCGAGCATTTTTACTACTGCAGATCGCAGTGTAATTATAGGGCTCTATGTGGACGATATGCTAGTTCTGGGCCGAGATCCACAGGCTATTCAGAAGGTTATTAATGGAATAGCCTCCCTGTGGGAAATCAAGGATTTGGGGGATGTGGCCCTAATTTTGGGCATTCGGGTACGTAGAGATCGTACGAAACGCATTCTGTACCTTGATCAGAGTGAGTATATTGCGGGCCTTATGGAGAGGTTCAGGCTAGGGGAAGCTAAGCCTGTAAACCTCCCTGTAAATGACCGGAATACCCTAATTGCGGGCCAATTAGGGGAGGAACAGGCTAATCAGAGCCTGTACCAGGAGGCTATAGGCTGTGCTACATGGGTTTTAAAGGGCTCCCGCCCTGATATTACTTATGTGGTTGGATAGCTTAGCCAGTACTATACCGAACCTACTGTACGGCATTGGAATGCCATACTAAGGGTGTTCCGCTACCTGAAGGGTACTATAAATTATAGTATCTCGTACGGTATCGGGAATACTAAAAGCCCTAAGCTTTAGGGCTTTAGCGATGCAGATTTTGCAGGAGATATAGTAGACAGACGTTCCACTATAGGGCACTTATACCTGCTTAATAGGGGACCTGTCACGTGGTCCTCTATTAAACAGCGCTGTGTGGCCACTTCCACTACCTAATCGGAGTATATTAGCCTATCAGAGGCTAGTAAACAGGGCCAGTGGATCAGGGCTTTGCTTAGGGAGCTTGAATGTACCCAATATTTGGGTACTACCCTCTCAACCCCTATATTTAGCGATAATCAGGGTTGCATAGCACTGGCTAGAGACCCTGTAGCTCACAGCCGAACCAAGCATATTGACGTCCGCTACCATTATATTAGGGAGCTAGTAGCCTTTAATAAGGTTACTATTGAGTATATCCCTACTGAGGAAATGGTAGCTGATATGCTTACCAAGCCCCTCTCGCTTGCGGCCCTTAGGCGCTGCATAAAGGGGCTATTTGCACTGTAATTACGGAATTACAGGCTGTTTTTGGGCTGTTTTTGGGGCTGTTTTTGATTTTTGGGTACTAAGGCTCTGGGAGCTTTAGTAAGTAAAGCGGTGATTTTTGGAATTATTTCCTTAGGGCTGTTTTCAGTGGTATGTAAGGGGACTGTTGAAATTAGGGGCCTGAGGCCCCTAATAGGCTTAGTAAGCCCTGGAACCGAACGCCATGGGGCTGTGCACTAGCTTAATACCCTGTCCAGCTGGAATACCCTGTACAGCTGGAATACCCTGTACAGCTGGAATACCCTGTATAGCTGGAATACCCTATATAGCTGGAATACCCGGTATAGCTGGAATACCCTGTATGGCTGGAATACCCTGTATGGCTGGAATGCCCTGTATAGCTGGAATGCCCTGTATAGCTGGAATCGGTTCAGCTGGCATAGGGGTTTAGTGCATGTGACTTAGGGGGTTCAGGGCTATATATACGGGCTACTTACCACTGTAGAACAGCAGTCAATTCAGTACGTTTTACTTGGTTTACATTGCAAGCACGTGACCCTAGCTATATTGCTTTAGCTAGTTCAACATTTATCCGTCAAGGGAGAGTGTCACGTGCTGCGCACAGGCGTATATATAGCTTCTTCACCGCCATTAGGGCACCATCATTCATACATATATTTACACAAACACATACATTTCCACTTCCACAGCTTGTCCAGGCCGTGACAGAGAGGCATGCAAATGATCTATCGTGCTGGTTTAGGCCATCATCTAACGTAGAAGAAGAATGGGAGAAGTACTTCAACGAAGTTGAAACTATGATCGATTCTGCGACCCTGGCTCCGGTTCGACATATACCGGAAGATTTAAAGTGGAAGGTGCCGATTACCGGTGTGCTATGGCCATGGGAAGCAGTCTCGGGAGGTCTTCATTTGAAGTCGTCTTGTACGGCATTTCGAAATCATCTTTAGTAAGCAAAAAAAAAAAAACGGCAATTCCGTTAAAGGCTATCCCTTCCCCACAGAATACGCCATAATTTTGGAGCATATAACGGCCATTTCATACGAGCAACAGGCCGCACGCGACATTGCTGCGCTTCCAGACACTCTTCATGGGTGGCGATTCGTGGTTACGTAGAAGGGAAATGGTAGTGTCGTGCCGAAAACGGCGCAAGTTGGCGATGTTGTTGCTATATAATGGGAGTTAAAGAGGGATCGTTTAGAGTACGACGTTGAAATATAAAATTAAGGTAGCTGAGGTTGATTGCCAAGTGATTCTTGACCCTCGTTCTCAACTACACTCTTATGAACTTCCTCCACAGCCTCATCTGTTATCTTCGGTACCGAGCCCGTTAGGACCGTGATGCTAGGAACACGCTCATGTCCTTTCTTCCATATCAAGCTCCGCCGTTTCTTCCCAATTAGCAGCTTGAACTTTGTAATGACAAAATCGATAACCTCTCTAATTGGACTCGTCAGCCGCTTGAATGTCCTCGTCCTTGCCAACCCTCTCATCGCTTTCTTGTAATGATGGGTTGCCATGTGACTTTGCGTACACCACTCCTCAATGATGAAGGCAAAGCTGACAAGCATGATGGTGAGAGTGAGGCACAGGGCCGCGATCCAATGCCCCTCGACATCTGGTCCACTCCAGGATCCTACCGTCTTAAAGTTAAACCAACCTTCCCAGCCCAGACACCAGCAGGTATTGTACAGGCCAGCCGACTGGGCTATGACCATGTAGAGCAGCCAGCTTACAGCAATGATCTCCATGGGGATGAAAAACCGATGCTCCCATTTCTTTTGTTCAAGAAACTCATCGCTCGTGTGGTTCGACGTCCACCACCACACACCCATCTCGACAGCAAAGCTGAGTGTAACGAGACAACAGAAGATTGCGTAGCCCCCGGCACGACAACCTATCCCGAATGGAGGCGTAAAGTAATTCAGAATGAAGGCTCCGAACATGGTGCCCACAACCACGAGTCCGGAACTAGCAACATGCCAGAGCTCGCGAAGATCGAAGAAATAGATCCCGGGAGACCTGCATGGCTTCACCAACTGCTCTCTCGCCTCTGGAAGGCGAAGCCAATCGCGGCCGTGCTGTTTTATGAATTGATCCTCAAGGCCTGCAAGGACGGCATTCGCAACGCCATAGTGCCAGCGGCGTCGTCCTTGACCACCAAAGTGAACGAAAAAGTCCCCCTTGAAGGCATCTTCTTTTAGAGCACCAATCCAGTTTGTCACGATCGAACCCGATGATGCCACCATGCTACCCCTTCGACCATATTGAGTACTGGTACTGTGCGATGGGAAGGACACGGACCCCAGCCTTCGGCTTTGTTCGGGATCGGAGGTCTTCAAGAGCGCTGTCCGGACGCCGCCGACAAGCTGGTTCAGGCGCTCCTCGACAGAAGAAGAGTTGGCAGGATTGCGGTCTACTATACTAGAAAGAATCAAGACGGGTATCCAGGCTAACATTAAACCAAGTCCAAGGTTGTCAGATTGTTCGATTGGCCCGATGTTCGAAAATACTGTTCGCCACCGGTCAGTCTTTCGTAGATGTGATATTCTATCAGGGTGGTTATAATTACCTGCTTGAATTGAGATTGCGAGTGAAAAGAGAAACCACCCCATAGAGATAAACACAGCCACCACTCCTTGCTTCCGGGACTCTCGTAGACGGCTCGCAGTTCTCCCCCGAAGGGCGGGTAGCTTTTCCTCATTGACTTCTAACATTTCGTCAAAGAGAGCCGTACGGAGTAATTTTTTTGCAACATCCGGCCCATGGGCTGGAGTGCGCATTTTCGGATTGATTGTATACTGGTTCATAACGGTAAGGATGTAAAAAGAATCTCGAATGCCAGAGAAGTCTGAATGCTCTGAGGGACTCTCGTTGTATGGTGTCGCCATGTCCACGATTAAGGCCGCCCTCCCACTGACTTTAATATTCCAAAAGATGTAAGAGAGAGAGCTGATGGGGGATCCAAGCCATCGAAGGAGCGAAAATAGCGTACCCTTGGTATTGTTGCTTTCGAAGGGAGCCTGCAGCAGTATGCCAATGATAGGGAAAACCCAGGTTGCAATACTATTCGCAATCGACATCCAGTCATAAGTGTCTGCACCGAGTCCGCAAAGTGCCTGGCAGCCGCTGCGGCTAATCACTCGTTGCTCACCAGGCAGCCCTGTATCATTGCTCAGATAGCCATATAGCTGCCAGTTCGGGCTCGAAGCGAACTTCTCGCTGCAACTTGTCAAGTTCATATTGCTCGTGAAAGTAAGATCATTTGGAGGAGATAGAAGTTGGGACGCAAAATTGCAAGTACAGCGGGTTTGCGCCGGTAGCATGAGAAACGTGTTGAGAAGAGATACAGCTGACGAATAGGCATGTGAGTCATGGGACAACTGCGCACGAACAAAGGTACGCAAGATGTACCTAGCTACGCCCAACGAGAAGGATTTCCGAGGAGTCGACAGAGTTTTAAGTTTATAATATCGAGATAGGGAGGCGTACTCGGGCGTGTGAGCGTTGCATGGTGGTGGCTGAGCCTGCATCTGAGAGCGGTTGGTGTGGGGGTGGCTGCAGCCTGTAGTCCTCGCAATCCTTCAAATTTTCTGCTCCGCTCTCGTGATATGTGTCTAAGGGAAAGTCGGACTGCTTAAGGAATATGATTTTCTTCTCTTCCTTTCTTCTCCCTTTAGAGAATTCTGCTTAATTAATTAAACCACTAGTCTTCTTTATATAAAAGTCTAGTTTTATATTATTAAAATTCTCTCTTTTTAAATTTTATTATTTAAAGATTATATATAAGCTAATATCGCAATTGCAGAATGCGCTCTCTGCGGAGCATAAATCGGATGCTCCGGAAAGCTTATAATCGTGCGTCAGGACTTGCACTAAAGCCCCTGCGTCCCTGCGGGTTTAGTGCGTATCAGCAATATGGTCGAAAATCAGTAATGTGGTCGTTTTTTTTGAACCCCAATTTTCGGAATTTTGGTGAAAATCGAAGAAAAATATTTTATAGTCGATATGGAGTTTATACTATAATTAATAATTGAAATTCTCTTACTTTCATATCGCATGTATATATAGTAAAAAATAGTGGAAATATTACATACTTTACCTCGTCGGCGACTTCCCCAAAATGCTACGATTCTGAGAAATTAATTAATTATATAACCACTACGTCCTAATTCGTATATCCAATAATTATCTCCTTTCTATTAGCATCTAATCTATCTATATTACTAAAGCCATTATTATAAAATGAAGGGGGAAGGGGGGAGTGGCTTGACAAAACTAAGCTCTCTACCTAGCATTTATTATTGCGCACAAATGTGCGTCGCTTAGTGGATAGATACGCTCTCTGCCAGAATCTTGTTTGCCGCCGCGCGAACCGTCTTGAGATCAGCTTTATGGCCTAAATAGATCAGGAGATCGATAAACTGCTTCAGGGCCTCCTCCTGGTCAGGATTAAGGGCTTTGTTGAGGCCCCCTTTGGTGTTTTGTGGTTTTCGTCCAGCCAAATGCGCTTTCCAGAGTTAATATTTTCCCTAAATTGATGCGTAATCGCAGATTTTTTGATATGTGGGTTCCTGGTATAAAAATCAGAGGCCTGGGCTATCCTTTTCACTTCTTCTGGGTTGTATTTGGCCATGGTGTTGATATTTAATTAATTAAAATCGATAAATGGGAGAAAAAAGCGACCATATTGCTGATTTTTTGATACGCACTAAACCCGCAGGGACGCAGGGGCTTTAGTGCAGGTCCTGACGCACGATTAGGGGTGAAACATGCCCAGGAGCTAAGCCCCTGAATACGTGAGATCGGCATATGGGGGGCACCAGGGGGGTGGGGCGCCACGTGCCATGCAACGGCTAATAATAAGAAATACTTAACGTTATATATAAAAGCTAAACCAAAAATAATTTAATAATCTACATTTATATACAAAGCTAACTTAGAAATATAATAAGTAAATATTATAAAATATATACGGCTTTTTAAACTTAATTTAAAAAAGAAACTTATAAGCTTATTAATTTACAAAAATAAAGAAACTAGGCTTTTAATAATTAATTATATAAAAATAAAATAATAAAATAAAACTTTTTAATAGTTATAAAATACTTTTATAACTTACTCTTAATAGCTTTTAAAACTGGCGAGGGTGTCGTGCCGAGCGCTCGTTTGCTCCCGCTTACTGCACGCGAAATCGAGCAGAGTTACGGATGTCCGATCGATCCGTGCTAGACGCTTAGTGAGTGGTCGTATTTACAGTCTGCGTATGGGATTTTACTCCTTGAACAGGCCATGGGAGAAGTCGCAATGCCGACCTTACCTATCTTGGGAGGCACGTGCTGTCAATGGACTGACGTGATATTGCAGATATCTGGAATCGGATTTCGAAAGTTTGCGGCTTCGGCCCTATCACCCGCTCAGGGTCGTATATAGTCATGACATCCAGCTGGCACTCTCTCAATAAAGACTGCCAGCAATGCGAAATCACTTGTGCTCAGCGCGTTCGTGCCAGAAAATTCCGCTATTTGTAATCAATTTTGTAAGTAAAGAAAGTCTGATTTATCATTAGAAGTAACAGCTCAATACCACAGCCCGCAATTCCAATTCCAGGCCTATCCAGAGACCACGCCCCCCTTACTTGCAATAATAAATAGTCCTAAAATCCCACCCATCCTGGGAGTACAAGATACGCTTATTATCCTTGTACACATCGAAGTTCCGGAAGTTATTATGGCTCGTGCCGACGATCGTAAAATCTGGCTGGGACTGCGCATTAGCGTTGATGTTCCAGGCGAAGACATTGCCACCGGTGAATGTAACTAGTATTGTCAGCAAGGGGCTCTGTGGGTGAAGCGAGATACTTTTGCATGAGGGTGTATGTTGTATTGCAGAGGTTGTCTGGCAGTGAAGGGAAGGGATTGGGAATGGATGCGGAAAAGGATTGGGATAAAATGGCAGTAATCGAAAAGTTGGTCAGGAAATAAAAGCAAGACATACCGCTCTGCTCACTACCCTCCCATGGAATCCAGTCACGCCCCACACCTGCAGCTTCAAGCGGCGGATCAGGCGAATGTCCCTCGGCCTGCAGCGCATTGCGGTACCAGCCAACGCCGCACTTATGGCCGCCGGAGGAATTGGTTGCGTTCACGAGGAAGATCCCTTCGAAGCCTTGTTGCGATGGTTGGCCTTCTAGTTATTTGGCGTTAGCGCTTGCTGCTTGTGACTTACATGACACGATGTTATACGGAGAGGAAGTGCGACGGAGGGGAGGAGAAGGAGGGGAGGGAAGTTGGTTATTGGGAAAGAAGGGAACGGTACCTTGCGGGTAAGGGTACTGCCCGATAATGTTACCTTGTGGGAGGTAGCGTGCGACGACGAACTCGGTGCCGGACGAAGATGTCGCGGCTGCGATACCGACGTTCGTGGTATTCGCCCAGACGCACTACGAAGATCGGTCAGTTTCATCGTTGTCCTCTCCATCTCAGATCTTTCGGTCTCTCTTTTCACTCTCCCTCTCCTCCACCGCGACTCCCACTTCTTTTCCCCAGCAGACAGGCGCATGATCCAGCCAACAAAACAAACGAAATCTCCATCACCAACTATTCAAATACACACCTGAGTGTAATGCCCCGCCACCTCAGCCTGACTTCCATCAAAAATACCATAGTTATAAGCCGCCTTCTCGGCTAACCACAGCCCCGTTGCATTTTCCAGAATCGTATCGCTTGCCGGCGAAAACAGAGCAATGTTCTCGCCCGCGCCGGCGTTGGGGTCGTGGTCCAAGCTGTTGACTTGAGCGAGGTGGTTCGCCCAATTTTGGGCTGCAGCTTGCAGGTTGCTGTCCCATTGAAGTGGGGCGACGCCGAGGACGGCGCGGGCTTAGGGAAGATTAGTGTGTGATGTAGTTGGGATGCTTTGCCAGGTGTTTTTCGGGAGTTGTTGGCACTGTGGGGTGGAGTGAGGCGCGGCTTACCTTGGTTGTGGAGCGCAAGGGCTTTGTCTTGGTCAGACATTTTGAATTGTGGCTTTGGTCTTGGTGGGGTTGAGCTTGAGAGATGTAATATGAATTCGTTTTTGGGTTGAGTGATGATGGATGGTAGCAGATGGGGAAAATCGACGGGACTTTATAGATTGCTCGTCTTGTTGAAGCTGAGAGCAGATGAAGTCTCCATCATACCATCTATTCAAAAAATCATCCAAACAGTGATGATGGCATGAAAGTGGCATGATCAAGGGTGTTGCATGGCTTAAATCTCGCTTTCAGCTCAAGATATCAAGCCCAGCATGTGGTCTCTTCCTGAGAGTTCGAAGGTTCGGTGAATGATACTATCTCCTCAATAATGCGGCTTACGGGAATCGCTAAAGCTTGATTGAAAGTAGGGCTGTGATTCGCCGTGACGCCAGGGTTAGTTGCTGACAATCTTTCAAAAAATGGATATCGGTGGTTGCGCGAGCTTCAGCCTGCAGCTTACATTCCCTCGGCCCTACTTTTCGTCCCCAAGCTTTGATCAGACCACTGGGCAGTCAGCCCCAACAACTGGGATTGAGCAATTAAGGTTACTTAGGTGCAAGAGGTTTGCCAAATATGATGCACGGACACCTCCAATGATTCGCCGTGATGGTGCCAACATGCGGGATGATGCAGTACCCGGCTTCGTGGAAGCGGTGACAAAAGAGTTGCAGGCAGGTTAGGAAGACGAGAGGCCCCTCAGTCCCTCAAGACCCGCTAGATAGTTTCTGGCTCGCTAAATGCGAAGCACTTTCATCGCTGACATGGCTTGCTTTCGAAATCAGCTGAAAGCTCAGAGAGGAGGTTCTTCGAAGAGAGCGGGGGAGGAAGGGGTTCGCGAAAAGTTACTCCCAAAAATTACCAAGCTTTCTCATCCTTGCACTAATCCTTGTCCAAAATCTATATCTTTCCGGGCTTGGCGTGTTTCGAACGATTCTTATTCTTATCATCACGTGTTCGCTTACATTGGTGCCTCTTGTTGAAATTAGGGGCCTGAGGCCCCTAATAGGCTTAGTAAGCCCTGGAACCGAACGCCATGGGGCTGTGCACTAGCTTAATACCCTGTATAGCTGGAATACCCTGTATAGCTGGAATACCCTGTACGGCTGGAATACCCTGTATAGCTGGAATACCCTGTACGGCTGGGATACCCTGTATAGCTGGAATACCATGTACGGCTGGAATACCCTGTATAGCTGTAATCGGTTCAGCTGGCATAGGGATTTAGTACATGTGACTTAGGGGGTTCAGGGCTATATATACGGGCTACTTACCACTGTAGAACAGCAGTCAATTCAGTACGTTTTACTTGGTTTACATTGCAAGCACGTGACCCTAGCTATATTGCTTTAGCTAGTTCAACACCTCTGTGACCGGTGTTTTCACTGACCATACTTTATCGACAAAATGCCTTGGAAATGAGCTGAAAGGCCCAGAGAAGGTTCTTTGAAGAGAAAGAGAGAGCGTAGAGGGTTTGGCCCTTCTTTGATCCGGTCTTGGAGTTTTCTCGAAAATGATTCAAGATATATTATATTATAAAAAAGCCCCTTTATATTAATTACTTTAAAAATATTAGTAGCCTCGAAACAATTTACTTTTACTTAATTTATTACTCTTGCTTTTTATAAAAAGATTATAAAGGAAATTGTTTTATTAAATATATATATTCTAGATTTTAAGATTAAAAATATTACTATTATTTAATAATACTTAAGAGGTTGCAGCTTGGCTAAAGTTGGTAATTAATCTTGTGCATCCTATTTCATCTTTTACAATAGCTGTAAAGAACGAGGAAACAAGCCATTAACAAAAGCAAAAATTCTGGTGCGACCACTACCCTTTTCAAAGACAATCGGGCTGAGCATCGTGATGACAACCTTGCCTTGAGCCGCCACGATCACATTGGTTCCTTCCGGTATGCTTCAGCCGATGAATCATTCGCTGCTACCTTAGGCCTCTCAACCAGTGGTGATAGTTAAGAACGGCATTATAAGGTGAGTTCCAGCCATTGAGGTTGTAGTGCAAAAGACGAGGTGGAGCATTAGGGAGACTGAAGGTACGGGGACACGAGATGACTAGTAGAAGCGGCAGCCAAAGGGCCTAACACACTGTCAAAGGATGAAGCAAAGCACTCCTTGAGACGCCTATGTAAATAATCGTAGATAGGAGCTAGAGCCTCGAGTGGAGGAGGTTGCGGGTTGCGTTACCATGTTAAAGTGAAGTGCACATTACCAGATTCTGTAAGGCGCATTTCGGCAACTAGTGCCGAAGCCTGACTATGCCAGCATCAGGGTGGGCTCCGAGCCTCCGATAAATTATTATCGTTAATTATCAATTACTAATCGTCGCTGCGTGCTCTCGATAATTATCGATAAATTGATAACTAATCGATCGGTCATCGACCCTATCGGAGCCCACCCTTCCGGCATAGCAGCCCTGTGGTAGACAATGAATGAATGAGAGCGATAGTCTTTGAAGCAAATAGTAAGCTGGCGCATTTCTTCCTCTGGTCAAGGAATTGCTACGTACACCGAAATGTTTTTTAATCAGATCTAACTAGGGTAAATAGCGAGTTGCGTGTTCCTCCACACGGAATTATTTGCAGCCTTCCTTACTCAAAGGTACAAGAATGCTAATTCCTCGAGTTAAAGCCTTCCCGGAGTAACCTGCAGCATGTTCCCAAAATGGACACGAATTTGATTGATTGGAGTCCAGACGAGATTAGGGAACCAAGTGAGTGGCCGAAGATAAGGCTGGCTTTATGCAGCCTCTCAATAGCGGCGAAGAGTCATACCCCGCACCACACCACCTTCGGGTAGATGTTTCAGTGAGCTTCCTTCCTAAGCTTTGCAAGGAATAAAAGGGTTGATCATTTCGACCATCGCCGCACCCCACATACATTCCTCACACGTTTTCAACACGCGCCTTTTGTGAGCTCTCTTCAAGCAACAATCAACCATGGCAGAAACGGCCAGAGCCCAATACCAACACTTCGTCCCGCAGTTCCTTCTAAGAAACTTCTCTCATCCATACAAGCCGCAAAATACTGATGCCAGGAAGTCGAAGCGCTCAAAACGCAAGTATGCAAAGGGAATGTTTCCAGGAGATCTTGTCGTTCGCAATCTCGATCTGTCTGCGGACCCGCCTGTTATCTGCGAGATGCCAGTGAAGCGTATTCTTGGTCAAGTGGACATGTACCGGGACACGAGCAGTCCATCTCCCGAACAGCAGCAATATATAGAACATATGTTCTCCCGGATAGAGGGTCTGACCAGCGCCATTTTCCGCAAGATCACCAAGGCTTTCGAGCAAAAAGACCAAGGGCTGTGGCTTACCCGGGACGAGCGAGATCTTATTCGAAAGTTCCTATTTCTTCTAAAGTATCGCGGAACATGTTTTTATCAACGCTTTTACCACGATACTGCAGAGGGCTATGATTCAAATGACCGAGAGCTGTTGCGCGATTACATGGCAGAGAAAGGTTATAAGCGGCCGGTGGATGTTTGGTTCAACAATCTCAAAACGATTATGGAACTTCGCATGGATCCTGAGGGTGAATGGATGCAGGAGCTCCCAAAGCGCATATTCCTTGGCGATGCTATGTGGTTTATTACGCATTGCCAATCGAAGTACATGGCTATCTGCACACCGTCTGATCCTAATGATGAGTTTATCCTTACGGACAATAGCTATAACGTCTTCGAAGGGCCAAACTACTTTGCGGCTGACGAAGGAACTGGAAAGATCGAAGGCACAGCTTATACACCACTCCACGAGTTCGCTCCAATATCTCCAAAACTGATGATTGTCCTTAGAAGCAACGTTTTCCCGGTGGCTGAGGAGGATGCCGACGCAGACTTAAAGCTGGACCGAGACATCTTTCGCTCCAGGGTCTTGGATAGTGTCTACAAGAGGGAAGTGAAATCCTTGCTAGAGGATCTCCCAATTCAGAAGGCACGCAATAACTACAGCGAGATCATCAATGGCCGCGTAAAGTTGATCAATGGCGAAGACTGGCAGAATAGGAAGGACCACAAGTTTTGCTTTCAATTCTTCCCTATCGAGACGCAGCACGTCAACACGATTAATGGAATTCTGCTCGATAATGCTTATGTTTGTTCTAGCGTGGTTTTCAAAACGATAGAGAGTTTCACGCACACTCTAGAATGGTTCTTGACCGCACCATGCACGATCGGCAAGATTGTCACAGGTGAAGATGCGGATCTTCGGCTCACATGTCTAAAGAAACTAGCTGCAGTATCGCAATCTCTAGGTTCTGAAAAGAAACCTGTCTGGAGAGAGGAGCCTGTCCCCGTGGTGCAAGGACTTGAGAATTTCCGGCTGATGCACATCGAACGAAGCCGGTTGTTTGGGGAGATGATCAAGGATGATCTGGATTCCATTCCTGACACGGAGTATATGCAAATCTATAAAACTTTAGGTAAATCCCCCGGCATCTCAATTTCCTACTGCCGTTAGTAATTACATTATTCTGTTAGGTGGATCTAAAGAAAGTATTCTCGGGGATATGACACAGGCAGCCTTGATGTGGAAGCTGCGAGTCAAGATCGATGTTTGGTCCCGCGGCCTTGACGAGTCTTTACGCCAGCGTAACCGCGAACTTTTGATAGCAGCTTACCTCCGGCTTCCACCACGCCGAGTATGGCACTTTGTCAAACACATCAGGTTCGCGTTTCTGAGTAAAAAGCCACGACTCGGAGCAGAGGATGAGTCATACGATCCATCAGACCCACTGGTGCAGGGGCCAGAAGATACTATTGCTCAAGGAAAGTGCTCAGCGTCTCTTGTTTATCTGGGGTACACTAACGTTGAGATAGCGTGTCGCATTATAAGGCCCGAAAAGCTCGCTCACCTTATGTACAAGGCTACCATAAACGATTCAAAGATGAAGCAACGGCCAGGGCTCAATCTCTGGGCTGACATGAGCCTTGACCTAAACGGATTCGAACAAATTATGGCACTGAAGATGTTCGCTTTCGATGGACCTGGTAAGTTTGCCTTAACTCTTCGTAGGGGCCATCTTCATGTCTAACAATCTGAGCAGGCTCTATTCATGACTGCGGTAAGGTAGTTCCAAGATTGTCGAGAGCGACCACCTATTCTGACTTTCAGTAGGAGTCTATGAAATTGAGCAGCTCGCTCAAAACAAACGATTAAAGATTCTTCGAGGTGGCCGATCCTATCAAGAATTGGGAAACCTTATCCTTGAAGAGGATGAGAAAATTGAACTCTTGACCAGAATCATGGTAAGATCGAGGTTTATGGAAGTCCTGAATGGGAAACTCGAGAAGGGTTTGTTGGAACAATTGAAGAATGTGTTCTTTGAGGTTGTGTATCCAACTCCGCCATATGGCGTGAAGGCCTAGACATGAGCAAGAAAGCGCAAGCGCTTTTCTAACTAGAATTCAGATAAATAGGCAATCTAGTCGTGGTCTCTCACCTGATTTAGCAGAGTCCTTCCTGTTCAAGCTCAGTTTCGCCACGCTTTTCAAGAGAGGTCCAGGAGTCAAGGGGGCCCCGGAAAGGACTGGAATTGGACGTTAATGAGCTGAGTGCCTTTTTCATGACTGTTGTTGATCACGTCGCGACAATGCCACCAGTTAATATCTTTGTCGGCGCATTAGATGAGGCTAGTGATGGGACGGACGATCAAAATACAAGTCACCAGATCGTGTAGGGTTTCAATGAATTGAACGGCCTCCTCCATCGTAAAAAGCTTCGATCTACAGGACTGGGCCTTTATCGAGGGGTATGCTTTCGTCGTCGAACACTCCGATTTGAGAACGATTTGATGGGATCGTATTTACGATAAGAATTCGACTCGAAATACGCGTCGCACGGAGGAGGTAAATCGACAGCGCGTAAGCACGATCATTCGGGGGACTAGCTGCCCCGTTTACCTCTATGTTGGGCCTAAAGAGGCAGGGAGACTAGTGGATCTTTTGCTACGGCAGATACCTTCAACATAATCACCTCCGGAATGTTAATCTCTTCTCTTCGCCACCTCACCGTTACCGTTGGCCTAGCTAGTGAGATACGACTTGAGATAGTGGTCACCTCTTTTGTACCCAGCCAACGCCTCGCCAATCCCACTATTTAAAAAACAAACAAGAATAAGAATTATATTAAGAAGAAAAACATTATTTCCTACATTTTATCTCTATTCATTTGGCTCTTTTAAAACGAAATGCAGCACGTGTTTTGAAACAGGAAGTACTGCAGGGGAATTTTCTCATGACATTTTCCATTTCCGTCTCTGGACCTGAGCTGCTGCTGCTTTAGCCTGAGCTATAGGTGAGCAAACTTAAGTCGACGGTGAGCATTCCCGAGCACCGCCTCAGTACACGCTAAGTGAGCCTGAGCATCCATTAAAGAGCTATTTTAGTATCTGCAGGAGATAATTGGGGGAGATGATGTTGTATTGAGAGAGTAGGTGTGCACGGGGCAATATGTACAGCTTGTCCTCGCGTAAGGAAGGCACGCTCCACGGCAGGAGTTCTTTTTGGCTCCCTTAACGCTCCTGTTACACTTTCCTCGTCTTATGTCTAGGGGCGGGTCCTATTTTGGCTCCGACAGGGATCCCTCAGGGACCTTTTTAGATCTACATTTCGTTTTTCATTGCTTTAATAGATAACTGATATTCGATCTAATACCATTTAATGGAGAAATTCTTCTTTAGGAAGTTCTTCGTCGACATTAACGCCCTTAAGTTGAAGGCTCACACTTCGTGTCACGTGGGCATGGGATTAGGCATGTGATATTCCCCTTAAAATGGAAAAAGGAGGTGACTTTAAATAGACAAAACCTCGAAGACTCTATGATTTTTAATTGGAAAAATCCCCTGTATAAGCCTCCCTGTATAAACCCCTATAATTAGTGGTTTCAACGTTTGTTAGGGGGGGGGGGGGAGTAGTGTCCCGGGAGTTAGCCAATTAAGAAGAAGAATATTCTAGAATTCATATAGCTACTTCATATAAGGCACAACAATCTGACCTTTTTTGTCCGTACGTATCACCCATATACCTAAAATGCTTGGCAAGACTGCTTTTATAAATTCGCTAATATTTTATATACATTCCTTGAGCGTCTATTACAGCTTTACATCTCTCAGGCATTTCCCTAATTAGCTCTCTAATCCTCTCGAGTATAATTGATTCCCAAGCCTATATTACTACTTCTCGTAGCCTCTTATAAGATCTATGAACCTCGGAGTATTTCTTGTTAATATAATCTTTCGTTTCATCCCAAATCGTTTGAATTGGATTTAAATCAAGACTATTCGGCGGCCAGAAGGTAGGCTTAATTCCAATTGCTTCAAATACTGACATAGCGAACTCGGTAGCGTGACCTTTCACATTATCTTATTGAAATTGAAGCGAGGGGTATTGTTAAAGAATCTCTTAAACGAGTGGAACAACTCCCGAATAAGAACCTTCGTTTACCTTTTCCCAAAATAAGCCTTTATGCCGGCCGTATTTCCCCGAGATCGTGCCCCAAAACATCTAACCGATCTTTCTTTAATATCGTGCTTCAACGCAGTCAGGGTATAAAACCTCTTCTAGACCAATCTTACGAGTAATCCAATCTTTCGTGTGTTTTCCAGGTTATACCCAAGTCTCATTACTCCAGGCGATCGAAAACCATTGCTCTTCGGTTCAATCTTCGTACTCAATGGCCCATTCAAGTCGCCGAATCTGATTCATATACGAAAGAGGAGGTTTTCCACGAGAAACTCGACGGGTATAGCCTTCTTATTAAATGCGGTCCGAATCGCGTGAAGACCGCAATCCCAGCCGAAAATAGCAGAAATATCTTCCCATCGAGTTCGTCGGTTCTCTCTCGAAGCAGTGACCTATTCGTTTAGTCGTTTTCGTTATGGCGTATTTAAGAAGGCTTTTCAACCAGTACGATGTTTTTGAGGAGTAAGCCGGTGAGAGAGAGCGTATTTAACTTGGCCGAGAATTAGGTCCAATTAAAGAGCGATCTCAGCTTTAGTCTAGCCAGCCTCGGAATAGAGGGTTTCACATCGTAACCGGTCATCGCGAGTCGTTTGTTTCCTTGGTGTCTTAGGGACAGGTATGAGCAATACTGGCTCCATGTTTAAATTGCTATGATTCAGGTAATAAACGCGGCGTTTTAGCATTGAAATATCACTGGCTATACCCCTGGTCCAGACCCCCCTATAAAGCGAATCTTCTAGCACTTCGAACAGACATAAAAGGTCATATTATTTGGGCCTGTATATAGTACAGGCCAAATTTCCTTATCTAATCTTTGACTTGGTTAGAAGGCTAAAACTTTTAGGTTAGATCAATAATCTCGCCTTTCTTTCCGATCATATATAGGATTCTTCTTAACAATTATCACTGGATCGCTTGACCCTATTCTCGCGAACCAAAAATCGGCCTCTTCCTCATATAAGGACTCCTCGGACACTTTCGCATCTTATAGTTTTGGTCAGTCTAACTGGTAGACACTACCGTTGGCTGTAGCAACTGAATAGAACCGGGAAGACTAGCAAAAGAGAGCATATTTATGGTACGTACCCGTCTCGATATATATGTTTTTGTGCACAATGAACCTAGCCAAGGCAAAGTAGAATGCTGATTCGGATATGTATGATAGGTGAGAGCGTAGAGAACGGCTTGACTCTTACCCCTCGTTAAAGGGACGGATCTACGACCAATCTTTGCAATACGGAGGAAGGTTATGGGCGTATCTACTATAGGTGTTCTACCGTGCTGCGTCTCCTACTGCAAAGCGGTTGAGCTGGGTTATAGGGTCAAGGACTTGCCGTCGAGATTGATCAAAAAGTAGTCTGATGCACAAGTCCTGCCAACCTCGCAGCCGACACCGGCACTTCCCGATGCGCTCTCGAGAAGTAGTGCCCAGCGGTGCCCAACCACTTATTCGTGAGGTTCTCACCTATTTTCGCTAAAATAGGGGGAAAAACTAAAGACTAAAACGACCCCCCCTCCCACCCCCCTCGGGTGTCGATTAGGGGTGTCGATGGCAGAATCTTTTTTTGGCTTAGCGCTCGGCATTTCCCGAGTTTATTACTAAGCCCCTCCCCCGCCCCCTTCCCCCCCCTAAAGGCCTTTCCTCCCCTGCCGCGGGTATAAAATAGGAGTATTAATAGATATTAGAGTTTTAATAATGTCTAAATAATTACTTGTATAAGTTTATATATAAGAGCTCTAGTTTTGGGGTATGGGATAAGTGAGGTAATTATTGCGTACGAGGCAAAAGTTCCAGGTGCTTTATCGCTAAATTTTCAGGCTCTCTAAAGGTCGATACCCCTAATCGACACCCCCCCCTCCCCCCAAAATAATATTACTAATCGACACCCCTAATTAATACCCCAAATTAATACCTTGGGAGGTATCGCTTTATATTTTCCCGTTTTATAAGAGGTTAAGAAGAGGTAAGCATTACTCTATACTTATAAGACCCTTATTTTTTTTTAATTAATTGCGATATGACCAAATTTGTCTGGAAACGACGATGACGACGACGTGCTATTCAGAGAATGCGATGCGCGCACTAGGTGCCAATATACATTGATCCGCATACATTGGTGCATACAAAGTAATGTATACGGGCACCTGCCACCGCCAGCTGATTTCGGCTAGTGTGGCCCCCATCGACACCCCTAATCGACACCGGGGGGGGGGGAGGTCGTTTTAGTCTTTCCCATGAAGTCCGCAAACTTTATCCAGTCACCACAATGTCCCACTCGCAGCATCCCCAGAGATCGTTCCTTAGATGAACAAGGTCGAACGGCGGCCCTCGTCAGCGGCGCCCGACGGTTCCGGTCCGCCCGTTCGACTACTAGTTCGGCCCCAACTTCTCAGATCACAGCTTCTCAGATGCTAGCACAGGACTGGCCTGGCAGCTACCAGCCCACCATGGATAGTCGTAACCTTGAGGATACGTCCGAGTACGTTCTTGCCAGACGGCCGTACAATGCTTGACAGAATGCTGACACCGGGGAAGGCGGTGGAATATTTCGTGGACAGAGCGGATGAGTTAATTTTCAAGTAAGCGGGCTGTGCTCAAGGGAGAACTCACGGAGCCTGGCTTCGAAAACTTGTAAGTGCACCGGCTATCATCAAATGTGACGATAAGTGGCTGGGAGGTAGTCAGACACTTGTCTGAGAAGTAAATACTTCAACAAAGCACTGGCCAGGTTCTTGCTTACATATCCGTCGTTGTTGCAAAAGCCTCTACTGCCTACTTCTGTGGCCGTCTCTTCCGATAGTGGCTATACCGTCGCCGCCTAGCTCGTCGGGAATAATGACATATGACTGAGGATCTATGTCGGCGGCGGTGGCGTGTAGGTAGTTGGGATCTATCTCGTACTCGGCATCGATTTCCACACCGACGTTCGCGTTATCAGTCGGGGTATGGAGTGACCGGCGTGTCCAGGTCATGGTTAATCTGTACCGCCTGCGCCTAAGCGCCTGACCGTGTGACTCGGCTTATTCTATAATGAGTCGTTGTTTAAGGTTCGGGTATGAAAATGTATTTATTTCGGCTTCTGCTCTGTGAATCTATAATAAATTCTAGATACCAAGGGAAAAAGAAGTTCTATGCCAGCTTCAAAGCGGGATTCATAGAAAACATCGAGAGGAGGGAAATGTAATTATTCAGGAAAGCTTGGGGATGCTGTGAAGAATACTTGGAGCTCTGCAGCTTGACGGTGATGAGAGGGTCCTTCGTGGGATCGTCCGACATTTCGAGCACCACATCGTAAGGAGTGTGCTCTCGGGAAGCAATGACTTCGGTAATGACGGCACCACCAACCGTGCCACTCTCGGCCTGGCCTTGCCTATAGTCGAAAACAGCTTGGAATAATGGGGCGCTCGTCGTTTTCGTCGGCAAACCGAAGCCGAGACGATCGAGGATAACTCCAAGAGGCACTCGAGCATGCTTCATCGCCTCCCTTACATTGTCCTTGGTGGACACCAAATGCTCACCGAACGTGTTGGAAGCGGTGAACTCGCCGAACCGCAAAGGAAGCAGATTGGCGAAGAAGCCCATGGCCGATACTTCATCCATGGTGGAGCGGTTGGTGTCAGCAATGCCGATGGTGATGTCCTTGCTGCCCGTCATGCGTGATAACAATACGTGGTAGGCTGCCAGGTAGAACTGCATCGGCGTCGCCTTGTGCTTTCGACTGCGTTCCTTGATTCGGAAGGCGACCATAGGGTCCAGACGTCCAATTGCTTCGTACTGTTGCCAGGTACGCAGTGCTGACTTTTGTTCTTGCGACGGTGCATCCTCACTCATCAAGGGCCGCATGAGGGGCAGCGGTGCCGATATTGATAGCTTGCTGTGCATAGACTCCCAGAACAAGATATCCTCTTCAAGTCGGCCATCTTGAAGATCCTTCCGCTGTTGTGCAGCAAGATCAGCAAACTGAGTTGTTGGCTGCCTCAATGCCACATCACTGTAAAGTTGCGCTGCTTCGACAAAGACGTTCTCCGTCGTCGATCCATCGCCAACGAGTCTGTGGTAGGCGACTACTAGCAGATGCTCGTCCTTGCCCCAGTAGAAATCAACGAGTCTGAGTGTGTCGCCCACCGCAATATCATATTTTGTCTCATGGAGTTTTTGGTACCCTTCTTCTGCAGCAGCTCGGTCGGCAACCTGCAAAATCTGGACCTTGTTGTTCGAGCGCTTAAGGACTGTTTGCTCAGGGATTTTGTCGTTATCACCACCCTTCAAGGTGAATGCCGTTTGGAATATCTCATGGCGACGCATCACGGCCTTCAAAGCCCTCGCAAACTGTTCTAAATCAATACCACCTTTCATGAACATGCCAATGGTGTTGTTAAAGATGGTAGGGTCCTCAACCTCCTGTTGAACCTTCCAGGAGTACTCCTGAACTAAAGACATTTTCTCGTGCCGCACAGCAATAGGCTCGTCGTCGTTTTCATCCTCGTCTGTCACCGATTCCACTGGACTAGTAAGGGTAGTTTCTACGGGGGTGTCGTTTGGTGATGTGCTGGACGTAGTATTTTCGGAGCTTTCTGCGGCCTCCTCCCCTTGGCTCACCAATGGAATGGCGCTCGGTGGCAGTCGTCCGGCGGCGTCGTCGGCAAGATCAGCCACAGATGCGCCGCCCAGCACTTTCAGCAGCGGAAGATCGAGAAGCAGCTGTTTCGAGAACCAAGAACCGACAGTGACGGCTCCTAAGGAGTCAACCCCTTGGTCTATCAGAGGGATGGCCGGGTGAACGCTCTCCCCGTCCGGAATTTGCAGTGCGACACGCAACTTTTCTGATAGATTATCTGCGTTTTCGTCAGCTTGGTATACTTCAAAGTGTTGGTAGATTTGTGCGCTTACCAATGACAATCTGTCGAACTTGACCCAGCGTAGTTGCCTGCTGCAGTTGTTCTTTCACTGAACCCTTGGCCCCAGCTCCGGTTTCCCCAATGTCTCCGCGCTGCTCGGGAATCTTGAAGTTTCCAACCCGAGTATCGTTGAAGAAAGTGATTCGGTCCTTGAGGGCGGGGTCAAGTGCTGGGATACCCGTGGTCAACTCGACGTCCGCCATTTCGATCACAGTCTTTTCGTGTTGCTCCCCGTTCTGATACTTCGTGAGCACCTGTCTCCCAGATACAACGGCCTCGGCAAACAATGTATGAAGTTCGTGTTCTTCAACCGAGTCGAACATAAACCGGATTGCGTTGAAGTCTTCCTCAAGTTCGGCCCTGGTGACGAATCCGACACCGTAAACGGCTCCGATGTCGATAGTTGAACCCTGAATTTGTTCATACCCATGATCAGCCGAGTTCTGCGGACGTTGGAACTTACGGCAATATAGCCACATAGTATGAAAGAAAGGACAGTTGAAATTTTAACTTACTGCCAATCCATTGGTCAACCGTTGCTGGGCCAAAGCCTGCAGGTAGGCATTTGCAGCACTGTAGTTTGCCTGGCCTGGATTACCCATCACTGCTACAATTGACGAAAACATGACGAAGAAGTCAAGTGAGTTGCTGCTGGCCGGGTCGGAAAACCTTTCATGGAGGATTTGTGCTCCTCGTACCTTGGGCTCTAAAACCATGTTCATCGACTGGAGGTCCATGTTCTTGAGCATAATATCCTGGAGAACTAATGGCCCGAACGCAATGCCGGCCGTGGGCGGCAGCATAAAATCCTTGAGCTTAGCCAAACCAGCGTCGACCGACTCTTCGTTAGCGACATCCCTAAAGAAAATGTTAGTGTTAGAAAGCAAGAACGAGGTGTCGAAAAGGGATTTTGACTTCACCGACGTACATTGGCAATACGGTAATCTTTCCGCCCAAGGCTTCGACGTGAGCTATCCATCTGGGATCAACCCGAGGATTCCTGCTGGTCAGCACAACATACTTAGCACCGTGCAAGATCATCCACCGGGCCAGCGAGCGACCCAGGTCTCCGGTAAGGCCGACAAGCAAGTATGTCTTGTCGTCAACAAAGAGCTTAGCAGAATCAACCGGGCGAATTCTCGCCGACAATCGCTTCTCCGTCTTCCAGTCAATTAGGGTGGGGAGGCCCAGACGCCCATTAATCGAGCTGAAGAGCTGGTCCGCGGGTAAGATTTCAACGGCATCTTTGCCGATAGTCCTGCCTGCTGCAGCAGCAACCGATTGTTCGACAATGCGTGCCTCTTGTTGTGAACCTTTGGACGAAGAAGAGGTATCGCGGACGACATAATCGCAACCATACTTGAAGCAACTAGGAGAAAGCACATTGGCCAAGCGGTGGCCAACCCCGACGGCGGTCTGGTTTACTGACATGTCAAAGAAAGCCGTGACATTCGTTGGGAGCAGCTGCTTCAGCCGACCATCAGTTTCCTTCCCGTGTAAGCTGACCCAACGAGCGGAGCTTGGAGAGGAACTCTTCAAGCTCGCCGATGTTGTGGCAAAGTAAACTTGAACATCCCGTCTCTTGGCCTCCTCCAGGAAAGTGCCGATGCAAAAGCTCGGTGGCTCGAAGACTAGAACCGATGCCATGGTGTCGAAATCTTCAGTTCTGTGGAGAATTGTCTCGCCGATGAGAGTCGCTGCCACTGATGACAAGAAATCACTGTGGTCCTTATCCGCCATGTTGCTCGGCATGGTAAAGACATACCTTCTTGGGACTTGGACTATGGAGGCATTCTGCTCCGCCAGGCCTATCACAGACGCGCCGCCCAGAGTCCTTCCCTGCACAAGGTAGAAGTATCCGAGGTTGCCCACACGTATAGCTTGTGCAAGAGCGTAACGAACACGTATAGTTGTGTTTTCGACTTTATGAGTGTCACCAAAAGGCGGGAACGTCTCAGCGGCTTCGAGATAGTACAACGATGGCTTCGTTTGTTTCAACGCAATAGGTGTCTTGGCGGGGTCAAAGTAGCCGAATATAGGGCGACGAGACGAATTCATGCGGTTATTCCTGACTATGTCGTGCTTTAGGCGAGGAATCCAGGCACGACCCTTGCACCAGTATACTTCAGGCTCGTCAGTCCACGTCGATGATGCGACGAAGTCATCGTCACTGTCCTCAAGACGAAGTAGTTGCTCGACCAAGAATTTAGTGTCCAAGTTCTTTGCAGAATCGACATCGATGATGCTCAGACCCCGGTCTGGATGCTCTCGTCTGATGGATCTCAGCATACCAATAGTGCTGGCCTGGTGCGGGTGATCAATCCAGGCACTTTCTGTGAGCCACAGCATATTCCCAGCAAGGAAAAGGAGAGATTTGACGGCCTCGAACCTGTCCTCTTCTAGATGAGCGAAGATCTCCTCGTCGACTTCGGATAAAACAACAAAGGTGGACTTTGGCAGCAGGTCCGCCGAAGCAAGTTCATCAAGGCGAGCGACAGACTGGATAGATCTGTGCGGCAGAGTAGCAGTCAACTCCTTCATAATGCGTTGTGTCTCTGGGGACTCGCCGCCAACGAGGACCAGCGGTGGGTAGGATGTCTTGAGAGGAGCACATAGAGGATTATACAGCCCCTCGATCTTGGAATCCGTGGCGTATGTGCTGAAGACCGATGTGGGGAATAGGTTGGCATCCCGATCAAGAGTGCGGCTCTCGATGCCCGAGAACCCAACACGCTTCAGAATGGTGTTCCACTGGTCAAATGAGACAAAAGGCTCCAAAGCCCGGCCGTCTTCAACGCCAGCCCACCAGTCGGGGAACAACCCGAAAATAAAGCCGAGGCGGCTATGCTCGCGGTGAGTGATCTCGAGGATAACCATGTGACCACCTGGCTTAAGTAAAGACCTGGCGTTTGCCATAGTCTCCTCAAGCTTAGGTGTAGCATGGAGGACATTGGATGCAATAATCAGATCGTAAGAGTGCTCCTTGAAGCCTTGTTCCGCTGGACTTCGACGTATGTCAAGTGGCTCAAATTGCATACGCCCCTCCATGTCGAACTCTGCAAACTTCTCACGAGCCTGCTCGAAAAAACTTGTCGAGATGTCCGTATACGTGTAGCTGTTGAATCCTAGCTGCGGTGTCGACAGAATGTGCTTTGTAGCTCCGCCAGTACCCGCGCCTACAAGAAGAAATAACATGTCAGCAAATTGTTACAATTAACGTAGATCCAATTTTTTGTTTTGTTCTTCGCTTACCAATTTCGAGAATATCCATAGATTGGAAACGATGAGCGATCTGGGCTACTAGATCCTGGGCGTAGTACAAGGCTGGACCAAAACTCAGCTTGTTGGTATAGAACTCGGTCAACAAGCCGTCGTGGTCCATAAGATCGAATGGGCTCTGGCCCTCACGGGCTATCGAGAGCAAGTTCTCACCAACCCTTTGGACGAGGCGGACATGCGGGTGGTACAAGTTACTGCCAAGGACTCAGGTCAGGCCAAAAGGTAATTTCAATAAGTCAGATAAGAATAGAAATGTTATACATACCTCTCATACATTTTCTGGATCCCAGCGTAGCTGTCATTTTCCCAAGACGCGTGGTACCACATGTCGCGGCCCCCTTGAGCCTCGGTCTGAATGTGCTTGAACCAGTCAATCTGTCTCTTTATGTGGGAGGCAGCGTTTTCGTAAACGGAATCGGTAACCTTGCCGAGGAAGGACTTGATGTAAAAGTAAACAATGCGCTCAATAATCGGTATGGTCTTCCTATCCTGCTCGGTAGCCCAATGTGCTGGGTTATCCAGCAGCTTGTCCGGCGTGAGGGGATTCCAAAACCACTTGGCGAAGATCCGATGGTCTGTGGATGCAGTTGGGGGTGAGAAAGGTTTGAATACAATATTCTCAACTTGGAAAAGGGTCCTCTTCTCCGAATCGAACGCGGCGATGTCGCCGCTTAGAAAGTCGCCTTTATCGTACGTGTTGGTCGTGTTGAAAGCGAGCTCGTCTGCACCAGACTCAGCAGCCGATAGACAGAGCGAAGGAACCAAAGCGAATTTGTCGATATGAGTGGGGACGTATAGTGAGCGGAGACGCCGATCGCCTGGTGAGGAATAGGCCCCAATGACGGTCTGGAAAGCGATATCCAAAGGTGCCGGGTGCAGCAGCAGAAGCTGGTTGCGTACTGTGTCCTTCAGTTTGAGGAAAGTAAATGTGCCGGTGGCTTTCGCGTCAGCCCTTCTCATAGTTTGCAGATGGCGGAAGTCCTTGCTGTAATCATAGCCCATCAGGTCAAGCTCCTTGTAAAAGGACTTGATATTGACCCTGTTCATTTGGGGGTGCTCTGCCTCGGGTGGTGGCAAAACCAGCTTGTTGCCAGGCGACGATGACTTGTCAGCTACCGTGATGATGATCTCTCCCTTGGCCGAAGTCGAAAGTTCACTCTCCTTGGCCAGACACGAGTCGATGAAAAACTTGAGTATTATGATGCTATCCTCGCCGGGCTCGCCGATGACATTGGCCGAGAGCTGGAGCTCCACCAAACTGTTTCCATCTTCAAATACGACAGCCTTATCGATGCTCATGTCCAAGATCTCGAGGAGCTGGACTTTGATGCCATGGTCATCAGCCACACGCATGGCAGCTTCCATTGCCATAATGATGTACCCAGCGGCAGGGAAGACAGTTTGTCCCTGGAGAGCATGGCCATCCAGCCACTCAAGGTCGCGTGGTCTGACGAAATTGGTCCACTGGAATGTTGATGCGGTGGACGACAGCTTTCCTAGCAAGAGATGAGGATGTTGCCCGCGAAGGTGCTGACGGGTAGAGCGTGACTCGGTCCAGTAGCTACGAGAATGATCCCAGGGATATGATGGCAGCATCTTCGCTAGGCTCTGAAAAGGTCGCTGAGACGAGACTTGTTTTACGAAGCCGGCGGCATCGACACTTGGGATACCAAAGCGCTCCCAGAGGAATCCAAGTGCTCGTGCAAAAGCATCCATGTCGTTGCTTCCTCGCTCCAAGCATCCTGTATACGGAAACTCTGTCCTATTAAGGGCATGTTTGACAGTGGCGAGGCAAGGTCCCTTGAGCGCAGGGTGGCAGCCCACTTCGACGCCAACTTGTAGCCCACGACAGGTTACAGCGGTTTTCTGGATGGCCTGGGAGAAAAGGACGGGAGATACAAGGTTATCCTTCCAATAAAGGGCAGTCACATCCTCTGGAGCCATCTTTTTGTTGCTCTCGTGGACAGACGAATACCAGACAACGCTGGAGGGTGCCGGTTTGGCATCGGCAACGGCACAGCCGCATTCTATCAACATCTGAACGTATGGCGCTGCACAGGGAAGCATATGGTGCGAGTGGTAGGCCTTGTCCACCTTCAGAAGTCTTGCGAAAGTGGATTCGTCCTCCAAAACACCTTGCACGTGCTGAATTACATCCATATCACCAGAGATAGTCACACTATCCGGTGAGTTGCTGGCGGCAACGCAGACTCGCCCTTCGAAGGCCTCGAGTTCGCAAAGTTCCTTTGCATCGTCGTAAGACATGCCTGCCGCTAACATAGCACCGCCCTGTCCACTTGGTGAAGTTGCATACTCCGCGGAGACGATACCACGGAGATAAGCTGTCCGGATAGCTTGGGCGGCACTGATGAATCCTGCTGCAAAAGCACAGGCGATTTCGCCGGAACTGTGGCCGACAATCGCACTAAATTGTATACCCGCAGCAGAAAGAAGTCGAATCAGTACAATCTGTACAGCGCAGCACAGTGGCTGCGAGAAGCTAGCATGCCTGACATTAGAGGCCTCACCCTCTAGTAGCAACTGGTCGTGCAGTGTCCATGACGGTCGGTACTTCTCTGGAAGTGTTCTCAGCGCTTCGTCTAGCTCTTCGATAATAGTTGCCGCGAATGGCATGCCAACTAGAAGCTCCTTCAGCATGCCTGGCCATTGCGCACCCTGTCCTGTGAAGACGCCCAGTACGCGAGGCTTGCCCTTGATATCGGTGGTGAAGTCAGTCAAGACGTTACCATCCTCAACGGCAGCCTCTAGGGCAAGTCGGAGGGTCTCCTTCTTGTGTCCGGCAACAGCGCGACGAAATGGCAAAATTGATCGCTCTTTGAGCAGAGTGCATGCTAGATCCTGCAGGTTGACTTGCTGTGTGTCAATAAATTGAATCATGCTTTCCAGCGTGGATTTCATGGACTTCTGTGATTTCGCTGAAAGAACAATAGGCAGGCAGGATGTGTCTGTCTCTGCGGTAGTTTCGGTTGAGGTAGTGCTCTGACTTGGGTCCAAGTACTCTTCTACGATCGCATGCGCGTTGGTTCCACCAAAACCTTTGTGACAAAAATGAGCTAGCTGCGCATTCTATCTGTTATTGCTGGAGAGGGGGGCGTATTGCTCACCGAATGAGTTGACACTGACTCTGCGAGGCTGGCCAGGCGCAACCGTCGGCCAAGGGATAGCCTCCGTCGTAATTTCCAGATGCTTATAGAAAGGAGCTACACGAGGGCTCAGTTTGTTGAATAACAGGTTTGGCGGAACCACACCGTGCTGTACAGCCAAGGAAGCCTTTAGCAGGCCAGCAATACCAGCGGTGCCTTCAGTGTGACCGACGACTGTCTTGATGCTTCCAACAAACAGAGGATCATGGCCTGCATTCTTGCCATCCGATCCCTCTTTGTGTCCAAAGAAGGCTGATGCGATGGCATTCGCTTCTTGTGGGTCTCCAGCTGGTGTACCTGTTCCTACAATGGCGCCACGTTAGGTTGGAATACAGACACCTCAAGATTCTGGGGTTGTTTCCTACCATGGGCTTCAAAGAACTGGCAGCGTTCCTCAGGGTTGGTAATATCCAGGCCTGCTCTGGCATATGTGGCACGAATAAGGGCCTCTTGGGCGTTGTGGTCAGGCATTGTGATGCCCGTTGTACGTCCGTCTTGGTTGATTCCGGTCTCCCGGACGACACATTCAATCTTATCGCCGTCTTTCAAAGCTTGGCTCAAAGTTTTGAGGACTACAGAACACACTCCCTCCTAGAAGAGCAACTCTATTAGCATTATCCACACCTCGCGGCCAAGAATCAATCGAGAGGTGATAGCATACTCCTCTGGCATAGCCATCAGCATCAGCATCCCACATACGGGACCTACCCGTGGGTGACAGCATGTTCAGCTTGCTCTCGAGCACAAAAGTCATAGGTCCCAAGATCAAGTTGGCGCCAGCGGCAACGGCCATGTTGCTTTGTCCACTGCGGAGCTGTTGCACGGCAAGATGCACGGCAGCCAAAGATGAGCTGCATGCCGTATCAATTGTCATCTGTATCAACGAAATTAGTTTAGCATTTTGAGATCGCTATTCAATTAAAGCTAAGCATGGATCGAAGCACTTACACTCGGGCCATGCCAATCGAAAAAGTACGAGATGCGATTCGAGGCAATACTCACGGCCACTCCCGTGGCGGAGTAAGTGGGAATACTCTCCAAGTCGCGTGTCGAAATAGTCTCGTAATCATGCGTCATCATGCCAACATAAACAGCCGTGGATGACCCTTGGAGGTCCTGAATCCGCATTCCCGCGTTCGATACAGCCTCATACACCGTCTCCAGCAGGAGCCGCTGCTGAGGGTCCATACTCTCAGCCTCTCCAGCCTGGATATTGAAGAAAGGCGCATCAAAGGCATGCAAGTCCTCTTTGAGGAAATATGCGTAGGGTGCGTTTGTGCGTCCATGGTGAGTGCCGTCGGGGTGGTAGAACGTGTTAACATCGAACCTCTCTTTTGGAATCTTGCTCTGCACATCGTGTGGCTCCTTTAGGAGGTCCCATAATTTGGAGGGCGTGTTCGCAACCCCTGGGAAGCGGCATCCACTCCCGACAATTACTACTGGCTCGTTTGGGTAGTTTCTCTGGGCCATGGCGATGTCAACTGACACTTCGCTGAGCGCTCGTTGTATTACTTCGCTGGCCAATTGGGGAACTGGTGAAGGGTTAACGAATGCTCTGATAATAAGGCTGAAGCACAGTACCTAGCGGATAAATCTGAGGGGAGGGCTATCTTCAAACAGTCCCACTTTGACGAACGCATGGCATGATCTCATTCCATTTATAACTACGTCCCTATTTACATGAACATTTCAATGTTGCCAAAGAGTCACCAAGTGTAGTTTCGGTTAATCCACACGTGTATCCACCCGCTTGTCAAAGCAGAAACTAAGCATATGGACACTCTGTGTGGGGCTGTCGGCCTGATTCGGCGCCCACAACAGAAGGCTATTCAGCCGCCGGTATTATTCGGCGAAAGGTTTGAATGTATTTTTCATTAGTGTACAGCCTTTGAATTTGTGAAACACAAGCCCACGTATTTCAGGTCCATGTACCATAAGTTGGTTTTGCAACATTGCTTCTTGATTCAGTCACACATTCCATCGATCGGTCGCGATGCTGGTCCGCTCTCTCGCGGAGAGCCTTGGACGCTCCCTAATGTGCTCGTGGACAGACAAGCAACAGCACGTCCCCAGGCCGTTGTCCTCTGTGTCACCTTATGCAGTGCTAATTTTGGGACTCGTTATCGTTGCCCTTTTTTTTCGTGGGAAAAAGTCCAAGCTACGAGTCTACAACCCAAAAAAGTGGTGGGAGCTCACAAACATGAGGTCCAGGCGGGAGTTTGATACTCATGGCCCAAACTGGATCGAAGCTTGGTTCTCACAGAACGATGAACCTATCCGCTTCGTTGTCGACTCAGGATACTGTTCCATTCTTCCATCTTCTATGGCTGACGAGTTCCGGAAAATGAAAGAACTGTGCATGTACAAGTTTTTGGCAACCGTAAGATGCTTCCCCTTCACCTTTTTTCTTTCTTTTTCCGCGTTGTAAGATGTCTCTAATGATTTGGCGGGTATAGGACTTTCACTCTCATCTACCCGGTTTTGATGGGTTTAAAGAGGTTACCCGGGATGCACATCTTGCCACCAAGGTTGTTTTGGGCCAATTCCAAACACAAGCCAATAAATACACAGTACCACTGTCAGCCAAAGCCAAAACTGCCGTCTCAGATGTGATGGGTGACAACACAGGTATGTGATCCGTACATTCAACAGCCTCTCTTTTCTTCTCCCTTCTTTCTTACAAGAGGGGTTCGTTCTTCCTTGTTCCTTAGCCAAATGATTTGCTGACATGGGTGTTGCCGCAATAGAATGGCACTCGGCACATTTCTATAACCAGGGATTGGACTTGATCGTACGCACAGTCGAATTTATCATGGTGGGGGAGGAGCTGAGCAGCAATCCAGAGTGGTTAGACATTTCAAAGAACCATGCCTTGACGATGGCTGTTCACGCTCGCCAGCTTCGTTTATGGTCCAAAGCGCTGCGACCTGTCGTCCATTACCTCAGCCCCCTAGGCAAGAAGCTTCGCGGTCAAGTGGAGAAAACACGTAGCCTCCTCGAGCCTGTTATACAGAAACGACGCACCGAGAGAGCAGCATGTTTGGAAAAGGGTGTGGACCCCCCGATTTATGTTGATTCGATACAGTGGTTCGAAGAAGCGGCCAATGGCGATTGGTAGTGAGTATCCCTTACTTGTCAGAACGCTACTCCGTCTGGATTTGTCAAGAACTTTCCGGTTGTATCGCCTCAGTCTTCGGAACGCAATTCTAACAGATACTAGCGACGCCGCCGGCGCTCAACTCGCCATGCACTTTGCCGGTATCTATGCTACGTCAGATCTTCTCATTGGCTCTCTTGTAGATATTTTCAGACACACGGATCTAATTGAGCCCTTGCGCCAGGAGATTCGCGCCTGCATCGCAAAAGGGGGCTGGACACCCGCCTCTTTGTACAAGATGAAGCTCCTCGACAGCTGTATGAAGGAGACGCAGCGCATCAAGCCAGTCGAGTGCGCCACCATGCGCAGCTACGCTCTTCGGGACGTTACTTTCTCCAACGGCACTTTCATCCCTGAAGGCGAGCTTGTGGCTGTGGCAGCAGATCGTATGAATAACCCCAAGGTTTGGGAAGAGCCGGAAAAGTACGACCCCTACAGGTTTATGCGAATGCGCGAAGACCCAGAAAAAGCCGCAAGCGCCCAGTTAGAGAATACTAGCGTTGACCACGTTGGGTTTGGTTGGAACCCGCGGGCCTGCCCCGGCCGTTTCTTTGCTGCGAAAGAGGTCAAAATCTTGCTAGCTCATCTGTTGATTCAGTATGACTTCAAGCCTGTGCCTGGGGACGATCTTGAGCTTTTCCGCCACTCCTTCAGTGTCCGAATCCACCCTACTACAAGGCTCATGGTGCGACGGCGTGATGAGGAACTCCATGTCCCTGGTGATTTGTAGATGATTCTTTTAAGTAGGTCCTCAAGCGCTACAGTGAAGCAGCAATACCAGAGAACCTCTATTTGCAGTAGCGTGTTAAGTGGATCTAGTATTCCTATTCTATTTTACCGCCCAAGTTCTTTCAGCACAGCAATGGAGCATAGCAAAGTGTGTCTACAAATCTAAAATGTGGAGTTTTATGTCCATCCTGCTTCTTGTTGGCCTGTTCACTATCTATGCGGCCGGGGAAGACAGACCCTGCAGCCTCCCCGCGGCGCCGGCTGGAAATCAGATCAATTTAATTGGAGTATTTTTAAGCCGATATGGGCACGTAGTCGCACGAAATTGCATCGAGGCGTAGTCGCAGCGCAGTCGCTTGGTGGCTATTATCTTAAAAGGATAGCTAGCCATCGCGCTAATTCTGGGAGTTCTAAAGCTTATCCCCTACCAATACTGGGGACCTTAATAGGCTAGGGGCACGCCGGCGCGTGACGGCGTGCCGAGCATGTGCGTGTACCTTGAGCGCGCACGCACGTATGTTGAGGATATACCTTTTAAAGCAATTACAAGGGGCAAGTGAGGGACGTGCTTCTTGCCCGCTTTTTGTACACGTGCCGGGGGCTAAAGAATAGCCGAAAAAGAAAGCCATACTTTACGATAAAATTGCAAAAATTAGCTTGCTAAGCGCGGGGAAAGGGGGCGTATGTAAGAATCAAATTTTCAATTGCATAAGCACCCTCTCTGGGCAAACCCTAGAACGGGTGCTTATGTGCATCTAAAAGAGAGTCGAGATCAAAAATTACCGCTTTGGGCGTACACCCATGTTTTAGGAATGCTACGCGAGAGAACAGGGGTGTTGCAGGGGTTGGCAGGGGAACACTGTTTTTGTATCTATACATGCGGGAAGTCAACTAAATCCACCACGGCCCAGACCCTGCGCGAAGAGTATGATATGTTTTGGACAAACACTTGCTGAATTCTCGAGCAACCGAAAGTCTCACCCACGAAAGACTAACTACTTAGGTACTTGTGCGTATATGGCTTTCTCAAAAGTCTGAGTGAGACTTCGACATATTGGGTCATTCCAAGGCTCAAGCTGGAATGTAACGAGGGTGCAAAGGCCGACGGCATGGTCGATTTGCTGTAAGTAGTGGGGAAAAGTTGTCAGCGCATCCAACGCTGTTTGAAGATCATATGGGAGACTTACCCAGATGATATTTGGACCACCACCCAAGGTCATTGATCCTTTACGGCGCCACTTGTCTCCGTCGAGGTCCTCCATGGGGATGATACCACCAAGCCCAAAGTTTCGCCTCAGCCCTGTCATGGGCATAGGCCCGCCATAGTTGATTTGCGTAGTCGAGTCCATGTGATCATTCATTTGTTTTTCAAGTTTCTCGTCGAGAGCAGGCTGGAACATTAGATTGACCGTTTCCGGTTTCAAGAGGACGCCGTCATTCTTCAGTAAGGAGTACAGGACCTTCATGTATGAATTCGGACTGGTAAAAATACCCTGACCTCCAAAGCACTCATCACCGTCCTGGCGGAAATAGACCGTGTCGTCGTACCTGAGTTTGCCATCATCATTGCTGCGTTGTGTCTGGTCTGCTCGACGGGCCAGTAAGTCGGGGCGCTGCTGCAATTTGAAGGTCATATCGATTATATCTAAGGGGTCGCACAGGTTTTCTTGCATGCATCTCTCCAAATCCATACCGGTTGCTCGTTCTATCAGCCTGCCGGCCCAGTCGAGATTTGACCCGTACATCCACTCAGCACCTGGGTCGTTCACGGGTGGTGGTGCTAGCCGGCTCTGGATTCCGAATTTGTCGGCTGATGGGAGGTACCCCTTGGCTATGTACTGTTGCAGGAGAGGATTGATCAATACGTACGAGAGACCCGATGTATGAGTCAAGAGATGTCTTTATTTCAAATAATGATTTTTCAAAAGTCAGCAAACCATTGCCGATTCTGGTACGCACTGGTGATATAATGTACTAACCTCAGAGTAATAATTCCGTCGCGATCCCTCATGATTGCTTTCCCGACATCGTCGAAACCAGCCAGTATCTTCATGCTTGTCAAGTCGGGAACAAACTTTTCGACATTTTCATCCAAGTCGATAAGACCTCGCTCCACGCATTGCAGCGCCATGATTGTGGTGAGGAGCTTGGTCGCGCTGGCGAACCGCATGGGTGTGTCTACCTCCATTGGAGGTAATCTTCGGGTCTCATCACGCCTCACCGTCCTGGCCCCGAAGCAGCGCGCATAGTCAATGTTGCCTTTTGCAAATACCCTGCCGTTGAGTTACTGTTCAAATACAAGGCTTGCAGTGTCTCAAGTTGGGAACCTTCTAATCCACCCTAAGAACGTACCGGTAGAGTCCTTTGCCATAATAACAGCCCCCGGAATTTTACCAGACTTTACAGCCGACACGAATGCTGATTCCATGACTGAGATCACGTTTTGTTCCGCGGTTGCACAGCTATTAACAGGAATATTCTCCATTGTTTTGTTGAGCTACCAGCCAATGAGTGTCTCTTTGAAGATGGATGGGTTGGCGGCCTAAGAATAGGTGATGAGACTTCAGGTGGCAAAATGCGTGCAGGGTTCAAAAGATACAGACTGAAAGCTTCACAAAACCAGGTTTCAACGGCTGGCCTGACTTTGGCTTGCCATTAGCAAGCCTGGCACTGAAACATGTGTCTTACTAATTACGTACTCTTTGGCACCTAGTTACCTTATGAGACGGATATTACGGTGTGTTTCGGGATTATTATCTTTGATTCGTGTGTGCTGCAATGTGCATTCTAGCTTTATCTTCAAAGATCACGGCATAAAGTAACGGGATTGCAAAGCACACCTTTTTGGGGCTTCCCCCCTATACTTACAAGGGGTACCTCGCTAAAGAGCCATAGTAACTACTTATTTACGAGGTTAGTGTCTAAGCGCTATTATCGGTCCGCCGGTAGCGCTTTTTACCCCTGAAAAATTTCTCATACCTTGCAAATGTCTAATAGCGCCTCTTGAGATCTGATTAGGGCGTATAGCCTGAAGTCATGGAGTCTTATGGCGGGTCTAACCCCCTAAGATTGTGCCTTGGGGATGCTGAGGGCCTGAATGCCTTGTTATCCCGTCACTTTATGCCATGATCTTCGTACAGGTATTCGATAGTCCACGGTTCTAAAGCAATTGCTTTGTAACCGATCTTCTACCTCTGAACAAAAACAATCACTGAGGTCTGCAATATCATAGCCTGTTGTGTAAGACGTAAAGATCCCGGTCAAATGTGTAATAATACCGCCCGTATCTATCACCGCCAATACGGCTACCGACCAGTAGGTAATCGGCGTAATTCGGGATTATCTGGTTGAAAACGGACCCTGTCGTTTGTGTCCACAAGGGTCGGTGTCGGAGTCGCACTGAAGGAGTCAAAATCTCGGAATCATTTTGCTGTGTCATGGAAAGAGACTAGTAGGTTAAAGTGTCCCCCTTCGGTGTTTCGTCAAGATAACGAACATGTCACTCCTGTTGCATAATCAGGGGTTCTAATTCCGACGTGCTCCTTCACCTTATTGCTTAGTGTGGTAATCCATGTCTAGAACACAGCGAATATTAATAAGGCATGATTTTCATTCACTGAGAATGGTAGTATCGGTGTAAAGGAAGCGTTGATTAATTCATCCCAGAGGTACCATTGTATCTATGTAATCCTCGGGATGCCGAGGCCCACTTCGTATAATTTCGGCATGAAGACTCGGACTTGCAGGGCTGGGTGGGAAATACTGTAACAATCGGCTTACTCGCTGGGTACAGTTTGACTTGTGGCAACCAGAACCTGCCTCACGGCTCTCGTATTACTTGATCGTCCACATGTGACTCTGCCTGTTCTGTGAACTACTCCTTGCGCTAGGTACGTAGGCTGAGAATACCCAGTACCCGCCATTTGAAGCTGAGGCGATTCTGAACGCAGTACTGAACATTCCCATAGCTGCAGTCAGTGAACTCACTTGGCCTTTATCGCAACAAATCCAAGGCTTACTAATTCCAATTGTATAGCATATAGACAAACAACATGTCGAACTCGGGTCAAGCTTGCACCCCTACCCCTATCGCCATCGTTGGCATGGGATGCAGGTTCTCTGGCGATGCAACAAGCCCGCAAAAGCTATGGAAATTGCTCGAACAAGGACGGAGCACCTGGTCCAAGATACCTTCCTCAAGATTTCATGTGAGCGGAGTATACCACCCTGATGGACAGAAGGTTGGTTCGGTACGTTTTACCTTCTCGGCTTGCACAGCTGCCGAACTAGAGGTCCCACTATTTGGGAACATGTTTGCTAACGCCAGAAAAATTTCCCGTAGAGTCATGTAAGGGGCGGGCATTTTCTTGACGAAGATCCTGCTCTGTTTGATGCTTCGTTCTTTAACATGACCAGTGAGGTCGCTAAGGTATGAATACCTACCTTATGTGCGATGTGGCCAGCGACAAAACTCTGATTTATAGGAAGGATATGGATCCACAACATCGTCTGATGCTCGAGATTGTCTATGAGGCGCTTGAAAGCGGTAGGTACCTAGGTATTGAAGTATCTTTGTGCAGTAAAATGTTAACACTTGTCCTTAGCCGGCGTTCCTCTCGAAAGTGTTGCAGGAACTAATACTGCTGTATTTGGCGGTGTTATGTACCAAGACTATCACGATTCGCTCAACCGTGACCCGAAAGCTCTGCCCCGCTATTTCATCACAGGCAATGCGGGCGCGATGGTGGCAAACCGCATATCGCACTTTTTCGACCTGCGTGGTCCCAGCGTTACTATCGACACTGCCTGTTCAACGACATTGACTGCTGTTCACCTGGCGTGCCAGAGTTTGCGTGCGGGAGAATCAGATATGGCCATTGTGGTGGGCGCAAACCTGATGCTGAACTCCGATGTCTTCGTGACCATGTCCAATCTTGGGTGAGACTAGTCCATTCCGAATCCTTGTCCATCAATGTGGAATGAATGTGTCGTCTAATTCCGGTTTAGTTTTCTGTCACCTGATGGTATCTCGTATACATTCGATTCTCGTGCCAACGGTTACGGTCGTGGGGAAGGAATAGCCGCAATAGTATTGAAAGCCCTCCCAAAGGCCTTAGCCGATCACGATCCTCTCAGAGTCATCATCCGAGAGACAGCGCTTAATCAAGACGGAAAAACACCTGCCATAACTGCGCCCAGCGACGTGGCACAAGAGAAGCTCATCCGAGATTGTTACAACAAAGCCGGCATCGACATATCGCAAACGTCATACATTGAGGCCCATGGAACTGGAACTCCCACAGGGGATCCCTTGGAGGTTTCAGCAATATCGAGGGCTTTCCAGGGCCAGCCCCTGCATGTTGGCTCTATCAAAGCAAATATTGGACATGTAGAAGCTGCTAGTGGTCTTGCCGGTATCATCAAAGTAGCTTTATCTCTGGAGAAGGGAATAATGCCGCCCAATCCCCGGTTTTTGCGGCCCAACAAGAAACTGATGCTTGAGAAGAAAAACATCAAGGTTCGGTCCTTTATTTACGCGAATGCTCCTCCCCCGTAGTCCTGCAAGGCTAACATCTAAAAGCTTCCCTCAATAGTCCAAAATTGGCCTTTGAAGGGTGGTATCCGTCGCGCATCTGTCAACAACTTCGGTTTCGGCGGCTCCAACGCCCATGTTATTCTCGAGGGACATAACCCGGACTCCCGGAATCAAACCAACGGATTTGGAGTTGCTGATGCAGCCCCCGACCCAGCTCGCGTTTACGTTCTTAGTGCAAAAGATGAGCTGGCTTGTCAGCGCATGATATCGAATCTGCATGACTACATCGAAGGCGCCGATTCGACTGAGGAGAGATCCTTACTCGCTAGCCTCGCATATACTCTCGGCTCTCGTCGCTCGGTTCTGCCCTGGACAGCTGTCTTTGCAGCTGACAACCTCAATAGCCTTTTGTCCGCTCTAGAAGACGACCAACTTCGCCCCAGAAGATCTGGCAAAGAGGCCCGCGTTGGCTGGGTGTTCACTGGCCAGGGGGCGCAATGGCATGCTATGGGCCGGGAGCTGTTCGATGCTTACCCGGTCTTCAAAAATGCAATCCTTGAATGCGATTGCTACATTAAGGAAATGGGTGCAAAGTGGACAATTATGGGTAAGTTTCAACTATCAAAAAAGAAGGGTCTTCAAGTTGATTGACAGTGATACTAAACTGAACAGATGAGCTCCATCGCGACGAGGCGGCGACCCGGGTGAATGATGCCGAGTTCAGCCTACCTCTGTCAACCACCATCCAGATTGCAGTTGTACGTCTGCTCTGGTCATGGGGAATTCGGCCGACAGCGATCACTAGTCATTCGAGCGGAGAAGCAGCGGCAGCTTTCGCAGCTGGCGTCTTGTCGGCTCGATCTGCGATCAGGGTGACTTACATCCGGGGCGTATTAACAACCAAGGCCAAGTCAGCATCCGGCCCCAAGGGTGGAATGATTGCCGTAGGGCTAGGACGCAGTGAGGTTAATAACTATATCTCACGTGTCGTTGGCGACAATAAAGCCAGGTGTTTGGTGGTGGGATGCGTCAACAGCCCGTCTAGCGTGACTGTCTCGGGCGACCTGCCTGCCCTTGTAGAACTCGAGCAGCTGTTACATGCCGACAGCGTCTTTTCGAGAAAGCTCAAAGTCACCGAAGCCTTCCATTCCAGTCACATGAAGCCGATGGCCGATGAATTTGCAACGTCGCTGGTTGGTTTGCTTGAGTCAAATACCAGCGACAAGATGGCATCTAGCTCAGTGATTTATTCATCACCCAAGACCGGAGGACGTATGGACAGTCTGGAACCTTTGTTGAGCCCCAGCCACTGGACGGATAGTATGCTCCATGCTGTGGAGTTCGAGTCTTCCTTGCGCGAGACGTGCTGGGACCCAGAGGAGAAAGCGCAATGTGTCGACGTGATTGTTGAAATAGGACCTCATGGAGCACTGAGTGGTCCTATCAAGCAAATATTGCAGCTGCCGGAGCTTGCAGGAGCGGATATCTCCTATCTCAGTTGCCTTTCTCGGGGAAAAAGCGCCGTGGACACCATGCGTCACGTTGCCGTTGCGCTGACAGGGCATGGTAATCGCCTCGACATGGACGCCATTAATTTCCCCCATGGTCGAAATGACGCCGAAGTCAAGGTGCTTCACGATCTGCCAGCATACCCTTGGAGTCATCAACTTCGATACTGGAGGGAGCCGCGCAACAACCGAGCTCTCAGGCAGAACGAGCATCCGCCTCATCATCTCATAGGGTCGCGAGACCCTCTGTCGCCTCTATTCGCACCAACCTGGACACACAGACTCCGAATGTCTGACATTCCGTGGGTGCGGGATCACGTCGTCGGTTCTGACATCGTTTTCCCAGGCGCTGGGTTCATCACCATGGCCATCGATGGTATGTCTCAAGCTCATCAACCGAATCCTGAAGACAATATATTTTTCAGCCTGCGGGATATTGAGCTCACACAGGCTCTTCTACTGCCTGCCGATGCAGAATCAGAGGCCGACTTGCGCCTGACCATCCGTTCTTGCGATGAAAAGTCCCTAGGCGTCAAGGGGTGGCACGACTTTTCTATTCACTCGATCTCAGGAGATAAGGATACCTGGATCGAGCATTGTACTGGGCTGATCCGGCTTGAGAAGCACAACCAAACGAGTTGGGACGGTTCGAATTTGCCAGCCCTGAACATGATGGACCCAGCGACGTATAGCCGCAAGACAGATCCGAAGAACCTTTGGGAGTCTTTGCACGAGACAGGAATATGTCATGGCTCCCTCTTCCAGAACATCACGCGGATTCAGAGCAACGGACGGTGCTCTCTCTGCACTTTCGAAGTCGCTGACACAGCCTCTACCATGCCATACTCTTACGAAAGTCAGCATACAGTGCACCCGACTACGCTGGACTCGGTTATTCAGGCGGCATACGCTCCACTTGTCTCAACTGGCACAAGGTTAAAAGCTGCACTAGTACCAAGACGACTGAAGAAGTTGAAATTATCTTCTAGCCTCGGCGACTTCGGGGCCGGGTCTGTGCTGAGGGTGCAAGCCTGCATGAAGAACCAGAATTCTCAATCATTTTCTGCAGACTTGGTCGTATTCGATGGCTTGGCCGGCGACGACGGCCCTTCTACTCCAGACGTACTGATCGAGATTGAAGGCCTTGCCTTCCAGTCCCTCGGAGCCAGTCTCTCGGACCGGACACTGGAATCAGATGACAATGGGAATACTTGTAGCTTTTGGTCATGGGCGCCGGACATCACGTTAATGGATTTCGGCCGACTGGCGAATCAGTTGAGCACTGATGCCGAGCCAAGGGAAAAGGATCTCATGATGGACCTCCGACGGTGCACGATTCACTTCATGAAGGAAGCTATGGAACAGCTGACTATCTATGATATCGAGCAACTAGATGGCCACTGGAAGAAATTCTATAACTGGATGAAAGTACATCTTGCGCTTGCGAGCCAGAATCGGTTGGGCCCAGACAGCTCCAACTGGCTGCTCGATGATGCCGAGCAGAAAGCCAGCATAAGAACCAAGATCGTGAAAGGCAGCGTCAACGGCGAAATGATCTCTCGTTTGGGACCTGGGCTACTTTCAATGCTACGCGGCCAGGTAGAGCCACTCGAACTGATGATGGAGGGGCGACTTTTGTCTAGATACTACGCCGACGCGCTTAAGTGGAAACGATCCAACACACAGGCGAGCGAGCTCATCAAGCTACTCGCACACAAAAACCCCCGGTCCCGCGTTCTGGAGGTGGGGGGAGGAACAGGAGGCTGCACAGAGCTCATCTTGAGTGCGCTGGGAGACGCGAAGCCCGTGGATCGTTATGACTTCACCGATGTTTCTGCCGGGTTTTTCGAACCTGCGCGTGAGCGATTTGCAGACTGGCAAGACGTGATGACATACCGCACTCTGGATATCGAGAAAGACCCAGCGGGCCAAGGTTTCGAATGCGGCACCTACGACATCGTCGTGGCTTGCCAGGTCCTGCACGCAACCGCCAACATAAAGCGAACATTAAGCCACGTCCGGAAACTGCTCAACCCAGGAGGCAAGCTCGTTCTGGTTGAGACCACCAATGATCAATTGGACTTGTCCTTCACTTTCGGGCTGTTGCCAGGTTGGTGGCTCAGTGAAGAAGAGGAGCGCCAGTTGACGCCTTCGCTCACTCTTGACTTATGGCGCACCATGCTGAGTACAACCGGCTTCAATGGTGTGGAGCTCGAAGTCCGTGACTGCAATGACACGGACTTCTACATGGTCAGCACAATCATATCCACAGCCACAGCCGAGACCGTGCCAGCTGTTGCGGACTTGTCCTCAGACGTCGTTCTGGTGCACGGCGACTGCCCCCCACCTTTGGAGTGGCTGAAAGATCTGCAAGCATCCATTGCAGGCAGCATTACTGGTTCCACGCCAGCGGTAATGTCGCTTGATGAAGCAGATGTCGTTGGAAAAACGTGTATATTCCTGGGTGAAGTCCAGCACTCCCTGCTTGCGACTATTGGAAGCGGCGTCTTTGCACGTATTAAGTCAATATTGATCGACTCCAGTGTCGTTCTCTGGGTGGCTAGAGGAGCAAACATGACTTCTGAGGATCCTAGGAAGGCTCTGCATGTCGGCTTGCTACGCACCCTTCGGAATGAGAGCAATGGAAAACCGTGCGTTTCGCTGGATGTCGATCCTTTGCGCGACCCGTGGACCCCCAAAACGATTGATGCCATCTGCCAGGTCTTCCACGCTTCTCTTGGCGCAGCGACTCAACACAACGAGTTCGAATATGCAGAAAGAGACGGCATTATCTATGTCCCCCGTGCCTTCAATAATGCTGATTGGAACGACGTCGAAACAGCTGAGGTCGTGCTAGAGCCTTTCCAACAAAGTCAAGGTTGCCTGCTCAAAATGGATATCGAGACAACAGGACTTTTGGACTCGCTCTACTTTCGAGAAGAGGACGTCCAAGATCTTCCAACTGACTGGGTGGAAATCGAACCGATAACTTTCGGTTTGAACTTCACTGATATAATGGTTGCTATGGGCCAAATCAAACAGGACACCGAACCCTCCATGGGATTTGAGTGCGCTGGGGTGATTACAAAGTTGGGTGGAGGAAGAGCCGCTGAACGAGGTCTCAAAGTTGGAGACCGCGTGTGCGCACTCCAAAAAGGCCATTGGGCAACGAGAGTGCGTACGCCGTGCACTAATGTCGTCCCCATTCCCAGCTGCATGAGCTTTCAGGACGCGTCTTCAATCCCTCAAGCATTTGCTACCGCTTACATCTCCCTTTATACAACGGCAAACCTACGAAAGGGAGAAAAGATTCTGATCCATAGCGGTACTGGCGGCGTCGGCCAAGCTGCGATCATGTTGTCTCAACTGGCGGGCGCTGAGGTTTTTGTCACAGCAGGAACCCAAGCCAAGCGCGACTTTGTTTGCGAAAAGTTCGGCATCAGCCCAGGCCATGTCTACTCAAGCCGAGACAGTTCTTTTGTGGGCGGGATCAGGGACTGTACAGGCGGCACGGGCGTGGATGTGGTCCTGAACTCCTTGGCAGGCCACCTTCTGCAGGCGACCTTTGACTGCATGGCGGAATTTGGCAGATTTGTTGAGATCGGCCAGAAAGATCTAGAGCAAAACAGTCGCTTGAGCATGCGTACATTCATGAGAAACGTGTCCTTTCAGTCGGTTGACCTCCTCGCCTGGGAGAGAGCCAGAGGAGACGAGGTTCATGAAGCATTGAAGCATGTCATGAAGCTTCTCGAGGAAAGGAAACTCCGTCTGATTTACCCGATATCAGTATATCCCATATCCGACATCGAAAAGGTATTCCGAACCATGCAGGGCGGTCAACACGTGGGCAAACTCGTTGTATCTGCTTCAGAGAAAGATATGGTCCCGGTACGCAAGGGGAAATCGTCACTGAAGTTGAGATCGGACGCTTCGTATCTCGTGGTGGGAGGACTCGGAGGAATCGGACGAAGGATCTGCGAGTGGCTCGTTGACCATGGTGCAAGACACTTGATCATCCTGTCCAGAAGTGCGAAGCACAGCCCATTCGTGGACGGTCTGGAACAGTGTGGTTGCGTTGTCCTGCATCACTCATGTGATGTAGCGGATGAAAGCCAGCTTCTGGTGATGCTCCAGCGGCATGAACAAGAGAAGATGCCGCAGATCCGAGGTGTTGTACAGTGCGCCATGGTGCTTAAGGACGCGCTTCTCTCGCAAATGACGGCGGACGACTTCAACGCGGTACTGCGTCCGAAGGTGCAAGGCAGTTGGAATCTCCACAAGATTGCCCAGGATGTCGACTTCTTCATCATGCTGTCCTCGCTCGTTGGTGTTATGGGAGGTGCGGGCCAGGCCAACTATGCGGCTGCTAGCGTTTTTCAAGATGCACTTGCGCAGCATCGAAGAGCCCAGGGCAAGGCAGCCACTACCATTGATCTTGGTATGGTCAAGTCTATGGGATACGTTTCCGAAGCGGGCCACGGCATCTCTGAGCGTCTCACGAGGATAGGATACAAAGCCCTGCACGAAGAGGATGTTATGCTTTTGATTGAAAAGGCAATTTTCTCTCCTCCCTTGCCATCGCCTTCCTCGAATTCGTTGCAGGCAGCTATTGTCACAGGTATAAATGCATCTCCGGGTGCTCACTGGGCTGAAGCTCGCTGGATTCAGGAGGCTCGCTTTGCGGGACTCAAGTATCGCGAAGTCCTGAAGGTAGGCCAAATCACAGGGTCCTCGACTCAACAAGGCCCTGATGATGTGAGGGGAGAACTTAGCCGTGCAGCCTCCTATGACGAAGCAGTTGGCATTGTCTTGAGAGAAATGACTCGCAAGCTGATGAGGATGTTTGGGCTGGCAGAGGACGACATGTCGGGGTCCAAGAGTCTCACCTCCATTGGTGTGGACTCGCTCGTCGCGATCGAGCTGCGCACTTGGATCACGTCACAACTCAACGTAGATGTTTCCATTTTCGAGCTGATGGAGGGGAAAACGATTGCTGGCCTCGCTGAGATGGTGGTAAGAAAACTCGGCCACGTCACGTTGCATCGGCCTTAGCGATGCGGAAAGACGGTAAAAAGACTAGTCATAGGAGCTCTCAAAGGCGCGAGCCGCGAGGTATGGAAAATTGTTTGAAGGAAGGTTGCAGGGGACGTGAGGTTAGCCTTTTATCCCCTTGTTCTAGTCAGACAGGTCTAGCACTAGTAGGGGGGTCTCGCAGCCTCTATTCTCATTGGACTATACTCTGATCACGAAATCTTAATTACTACTTGCCTAATTATATTTCCTCGGTTAAGCCCTAGCTTTATCTTATATAACTCAAATAGAAAGCTATTTAAATTTAAAAGTTTTATATATTAATTTTTTTTAAATACAAAATTTTTAATTAATAATAATTTTTAATAAAATTATTTAAAGTTTAATTTATTAATATTAATTATAAAAGACTTAATAGCTTTTTACTTTATAAGTTTATTTTAATATTTATTTAAATTCTAATACTTTTTTATTTCAAATTATTTTCTTTTTAAAAATAATATTTTTGCTAATTTATAATCCAATTTATATATTATATAATTAATTATAAACTAAATTCTTATTTAAGCTAATAAGTATCTTATATATATATTTTACAACTTTTAAAGACTTTCAAAGTTTATAAAGCCCTTTTTTGTATATATTTATAAGCCAAAAAGCTTTTTGTTTTAATATTACTTAAACTAATAATATAATATAATTATATTTAAATTTCTTTATAATATATATTATAAAAAATTTATTTCTAATTTCCTCTTTATTTTTATAAGATGCCTAAAGGGGAAAGTAATTCGGCTTATACGACGTGTAATTAGGGCTATAATAAGTATTAAGAGTAATAGTTAATTAAGAGAACGGATCGCAATTCCGCGATTTTAATGTTTTTGTTCCTGCGTTACGAATTCTGACACCTACTACTATATACTAGCACTGCTGAATTCCCTCATGTCCATAATTCACCTCCCGGATCTACCCCCTCCTTAATCTACCTCCCGGATCCACCTCCCTCATCCACCTCCTTAACCCCCCTCCTTAATCTACCTCCCCGAGGAACATGCAGAGGCACAGCCAAACTAAATAGACAAGGGTCTATGAAAATTTAACCCTCGTAACTCTTTCAAAACGTGACATAAAAGCGCCTAGTAAACTCGATTGTTATCTCATATTTCTGTTTTTATAGCATTTCGTAGTTGTACTGTAAGGGTTTGAAGTTTGGAACCTTGCTAGCGCTAGGCTTGCGAAGACCTGATGGGATTGCCATGTTGGCTAATGGCTTCTTCTTTCACGGGTGAACTGTTCGGGCTACCTGTTTGTACCTTCCACTAACAGTACATCACATATTAGTCTCCGCCGTGAGCTGTGGGTTGCTTGTATTAGTTTAGTCTCCGCCGTGAGCTGTGGGCCTACTGAGGCCCACAGCTAGCTAGCGGACAAATCCGAGAAGCGAAAAGTGATTTTCTGATTTTCTGATTTTCGCACTGGCGCCCCGAACACACCCCCCCCCCCCCCCCCCCCCTCCTCTCCAAGGCAGAATTCCTAATTAGGGGTATAGCACCCACACGTGACTTTCAGCTTAGATAACGCAATAATAGTAAGGCTGCTTGCTTGTCTAATTAACGAAGTGAGAGCCCATACTACCGCGTGAAATCGTACCAAAATTAGGCCGGGTAGTATAATATAAAATTAAGTATTTATTACAAATTACTATAGTTAGGTAACTATAGGCTATAAGCCCTTCTAGGATAATACTATTAATAGGGTCTAATGATTTCCTTAACGTTCCCGAGATTAGAAATAAGAAAATTAAACTATTAAAATAACTAAGAAGCCGGCTAATTACTTTTTTTTAGTAATTAATTAATAAAATCACGTAGGAGTAATATTACTCGAGTTTTTTAGTACTTATATTACTAGAAAGTATATTATAATAATAAAGTATACCCTAAACTTAACCCCTATTAAAATAACTTAGTAGATTTTATTAAAATAATACTATAACTTTTAATAAATCTATTACTATATTACGAAGCTATTACTAAATAGGCTCATACGAATATTAATTAAGAAGAAATTATAAATAGATTAAAAGATTTATATAGAATCTTAGTTAATTCATATATGATCTAATAGTAACTATAAGAATAGAATATTCAAATATATACTCAAATAGTAGATATGCCTTTCTTTTATATACAGATTATAATCCTATATTATCTGGGAGATATAAATAAGGAAATACTTAAGGATCTTGAAAATTACGGTTATATAGCTTTAATTACTAAAGTTATCCGTATATATAAGAAGCTTAGTCTCATTTATTATATAACTATAATAGATAGGCAAGTAGCAGACAAGTAACTATTTATAATACTATAAAATAAGCTAAATAATAAACGGGTTATAGGTTATAGATAATAGTATTTATATATATATTTCTATTAATAAGATTTACTAGTAACCCGGTTAGTCTTTCTATACTTTACTATTTTACCCTAGCTTAAAAGGTTAGGGCCTTATTTACTAATATATTTTATTATCTATAGGGAAAGCTTATATATAATATTATAACTCCTGGATCCCGAGGTAATTATACTATAAATATAACGGATATAGTCCAAGAAAAGAGAATATATTATACCTGGGCCGGACTAGATTTAGTTAATTAATAGATATAATAAGCTATTACTATTTAGAATCAAGATATATACTTATATTAATACTTATTTATATAATATTATCTGGATATATATTAGAATCTCTAATTAGACTACCTATTTAGTTATATAATAATATCTTTAGATTTATACTCAAATAGGCTACTATTCTTACTTCTTTAGGGCTAATCGAGGCTCTAAACTTTCCCTTATTACCGAAACATACTTTATATTCTCGCAAATAACTAATCTATTAGTTATATATATAGAGAACTACTTTATTTCTGGGAAAAGTACCGAGAATTAGTAGATTAAATTCTAGTAATAGGAGCTTTAGAAAAGCTAGCTATACCGGTAATATATAAGTAATTCCGTTTCTTTATATCTGCCCCTTATTCTTTCTATTATTAGGAGAAAGTATTAGGTACTAATAATTATACCGCTTTTTATTAAGGCTATTAGGTCTAGTATTATAGTACCGGATTATATAACTAATTCTAATTAGTATATATAGAACTACTTTTAGGAACTAGCCTATACCGGGGATTATAATTACTAATATTTATAGGACCGGATTACTTTACTAATACTTTATATATAGCAGATCCAAAACAAGATATATAAGTTTATAGACTTATAAAATATCTATAAGATTAGAAAAGACAGATCTAGGCCTAATATAGTAGCCGGTAAGCTATTTAGACTATATATAAGGCCCCCAGGCAGGGTATAGTACTAGGGTCGCCCTATAAATATAGAGCTTTATAATATAATCCTTAATAATTACTTAGTTTAGGGTAAGTAATATAACCTTATATAGCTCTATATAAATAGTTTACTTATATACTAATATAAATATTAACGAGTTTCTACTAAAAGAAATACTAAAGTAGTATTATTAAAAACTTATATCTTATAATATAAATATGACTAATATTTATATAGAAGATACTAATAAAAACGGTAACCGACTATATATTTAAGCTTACTACTAGCTCCGATATATAGTCCGGATATATATAGCCTCAGGATAGCTACTAATATTAGAAGAGTCCGAGAAGCCAACTAATAAATATAATATTACTATTATATAAAATAAGATCCTTAAGTAAGTTATTCTAATAAATACAGAATATATAAATAATATATAGGCCGGAAAAATACCCGTATAGTTCCTAATAATCCAGGACTTTACCTAGAAATAGCCCTTTATTAGTAATACTTCTAATAATATAGGGTAATTAAATAAGCCAGTTACGAAATAACTAGATATATTAAGATAGGTATTATTTATTATTAAATATATTATTTTCGAAATCCCTTTTTTACTTTTAAGAGTAATACTAATAGAATTATTAAGTTTATCTATTATATAAATATTCTATACCCTTAAATTCTTATCTTTTAAAATAGTACTACTATTTCTCAAAACCTGCCCTAATACTATATATCTTATAGCCAAATACTAGTATAGTAATATCTAATATTATAAGTTCTATTAATCTACTAATAACGAATATAATATAAAGGCCGCTACTTTACTTACCTAAAATAGTAATACTAGTAAATTTAAACCTTATAGTTCTAGAATTCCGTTCGTATCTATCCCCTTCTTTATACCTGGAATACTTTAGATCCCTAGCTCTTTTTAGTATCCTTATTCTATATCTTTTCTTCTAGAAATATCTACTATACCTATTTCTCTAGTTACTATTACTATATAGCCGCCAGGTACTAGTTCTGCTCTATCCCAGGCTTCTCCTATTCTAATAGCCCTATAATTACTCCCTTCCGTATTTCCTTTTACTATGAGTTATATTACTCGACTTAACTACTCTTCTAGTAATACTTATACTACTATATAAGCTTAACGGGCTATAAATACGAGAGTTACTCAGGCTACTATCTAGGCCATAACTTCTTATACTAGTAATAGGCTACCTGAAGCCCTTTAAGGTCTTATAAATCAAAATATAGCCGGATCTAGTCTTATGAAATTATAAACCGTAATTTTATAACTAGTTCTCCATAAATAGATATTTAATAATATAAAGAATTAGAGAGCTAAGTAAAGAACCATCCAACTTTCTAAAGAAGTTAGTAGTAAGTTTTCTTCTATTTCTTTTACTAGATTCTTTATACGAATTCTAATAGATGTTTTTTAATAAGTGGCTTTCAATTTGAAATAAATAATCAAGTCTTTTCTATCCTTTCTAATATAGTTTCTTAGTAGCTACTCCCTTACTTCTCTCTCTATATTAGCGAATCTATCCGCTATTATTAATTTATTAATAATATAAATAAACTAGTATTCTATACTAGTCCTAATAGTAAAAAAGCCCAGGAACTTATAGTCTTGCCAGGTTTTATTTAAACTATCTTTAATCTTTCCTACTATAATATATATCTAGGCTCTAAGGATATCTAAATAATTTTCCTTATTTTATACTAGGATAAGACTTTATATAAAGATATCTGTTTTAAAATTACTTATAAAAAGCTAGAAAATACTTAAAAGAAGACTCTATATAAAGATCTCTATCTTAAAATTACTTATAAAGAGCTAGAAAATACTTAGAAAATATAGTAATTTGAGGAGATTAAATAA